ATTTCTCCTGATATAAATAAACAATAATTGTAAGGGAAGAATAGCATAATAACGAATAAGATAGTTTGTTTTCTTTCAGTTTTACAGCCTTTTTCTGCCGCTTAAGTGCTCGTTACTTGGGATAGTCCCCTTAAGATTGGATCAAGATACCTATAGCAGCTCAATTAATTACTCCTGCAACCCGGCCTCATCAATTATTCGGTTGCCTTTGTCTTGAATCCAAGTTGCCGAAACCCATAATCAAACAGGAAAGAGTATACGATTGCAATGACAACTTAATTGTGGGCTACCCAAAGTCATTAACTAAATTTCTAGGCAATGCAAATTTTTTATGACCCTTTTGGTACTGTAGACGTAAAAATTCTGCTGAGGTGGTGAGTATGGTGGGGTTTCCTTAGTAGGATATGCTTGTCATTCAAAGTTATAGTGATCATATTTATGAGCTAAACTATTTACCTTTTGTTTTTGCAGACGAGGTGATGATGATTTCAGTTGCCTTTCTTGTTGTATTGTTTAGTGTACAGAAGTTTGGAACAAGTAAAGTGGGACTTGCAGTTGGCCCTGCTTTATTTCTATGGTTTTGTTCTCTTGCTGGTGTGGGGATTTACAATATAATAAAATATGACACCAGTGTGTTTAAGGCATTCAATCCGATCCACATATATTATTTCTTCAAGAGGAACACAACTAAGGCCTGGTATGCGCTCGGCGGCTGTCTTCTCTGTGCCACAGGTAGCAAAAGAATCCTGAGTGCGAAACAAGTGTCTTCTTTGATAATAAATTGTTAAAATTCTTTTGCTTATAAAATACTCGTCTCCCACCCATGATGGTTAACAGATTCTCCATGCTAATTTAAAAGCTATTTACTCTTTTAATGGAAAATTTGAATGATGTTACTTCCTATTTATTCTATTTGTGTATGTTATCCAAACTGACTATGGGTGACAGTTATTTAAAGTTACAGATTTTTTATTTATATTTGGCTCGTTAGCAGATGAAATCTGCTGTTGTTCTAGTACAAAGTAGTCTCTTGTCTTGACCTACTGGAATCCTTATCTTGCAAATAATTTTGTAAATGGGTTGGTATTCCCTTGGTGCCTCTCTATGAAATACTTTTACTGATAGAAAAATAAATACATACTTGGACTAGCGATCAACTTATAATTCATGTACTATTATAATGTTCTCAGTAGGCAGAATTTCCCATTGCAGTCCCATTGTGAGTAGTTTCCCCACTTGGCCCCATAATAAAACTTGAAGTTTGGGAAAGCTACTCTCTGCTATCTCCATGGTTTCTTTGGGTGATTGATTATGAAGATTCATTATACATGGCTTTTAGCATTTTCTGGTTGTTGTAACGCTGAATGTGGTTTATTCTTCAGGTTCTGAGGCAATGTTTGCGGATCTTTGCTACTTTTCAGTGCGTTCGGTTCAGGTAAGAAAGCAAGAAAATTTAAGCTTTCCCTTTTATGTTGTTCATTTCCTGTCTATTTATGGCTGCTTCAGTTTTTTCATTATTCTTTCTTTGCTTTTACCCTTTTTTTTTTAATTTTATTTTCTAAGAAGTAGAAGCTGGTTCATATGATTCATTTATTTTTCTTTGCAGCTTACATTTGTTTTTCTTGTACTGCCTTGCCTTATGTTGGGTTACATGGGTCAAGCTGCCTACCTTATGGACCACCATACTGATTATGAGCAAGTGTTTTTCTCTTCAATCCCAAGTAAGCATTATGTAATAAGAATTTACAAATATTATCTGCATGAAGAAGTTCATCTCCCTTGATAGTTGACTGACTGATGGATTATACCCTCCTCAAACTATTTACTGCTCTATGGAAACAACTGCTTCTATTGGGGAGCTGAGTAGGAACTTACTCATTCTTATTCGTAGATTTCTAGTTTTATTCTGTGACAAATTTTTATGCAAGTAATTTAACTTCTTGCAGGTGCAGCATTCTGGCCAATCTTACTAATAGCTAATATTGCCGCACTAATTGCCAGCCGAACCATGACAACGGCCACGTTTTCGTGTATCAAACAATCAACAGTACTGGGGTGTTTTCCTCGCCTTAAAATCATTCACACCTCTCGGAAATTCATGGGCCAGATATATATACCCGCCATTAATTGGTTTCTGATGGTAGTCTGTGTGATCTTGGTGTGCTCTATATCGAGCATTACTGAAATCGGAAATGCATATGGTAATACTTACATCTCCTTGTCACCACTCTTCACTTCCATCTTGAGTCTGTAGTGTATGTGGAGTAGTAGGGAATCTCATTCGTTCATTTAAATTGTGTTGGTCTTCATAGTTGTGTTTGGCAAAGGGGAGAGGTGGGAGTTAATGCGGTTTGAAAGCTAAAAGCTGGAGAAAGGAGCTTGTGGCTATGGTTAATTATAATTATAGTGAATGTTTGACCTGTATCATTGCACATTAATACGAAATTAACATTCTTCTTCCCAATTACGCACCTTGAGCACTTGCCTCAACAACCACCTCTCAGGATTTGAAATTTTCTTTACTTTTATGCTGTTCTATCTCTTGCCCTGTTATCCATTCTCTTAAGTGCACATATTGTGAATAATTCTACTTACCAGTGCAATATAAAGATTGCATTCAGGTCATGCTGCATGGTTACTTGTAATGCTTGCAAATAAATGTGAGAAATATGTGAGATATGTCAAATTTCCTGTTGCATGTCATTATTTCTCTTAGCTCCTGACTATTTATGATGGCTTCTATAGCACTTCATCCTTGTGGGGTGGTTTATATTATATGATTTACTTGGAAGTGTTTTTCTAATATCCGGTTGATGTGGATCCCCCTTGCTTGGAGATAATGATGATTGCTGCACTGTGTCTTAGTGACATAATGAATTCAGACAGAAAATTCGGTCTGTAAACAGAGACGTCGTTGCGTTTGAGGAAAACTTTTTTCATTTGGTGCCACATATTGAGTAAAATTTCTTCTTAGTGTGTACAAATTTACAATCAGTAGTGAGTACTCTATATAATTATGCATTCTTCTTCACTAAGCTTCTTCTTCATAGAGACTGGATTCCCTTTTCATCTTTCCTGATGTTGATTCTGTTTAACAGGAATTGTTGAGCTGGGAGTGATGATGATGACAACAGTGTTAGTAACAATTGTAATGCTTCTTATATGGCAGATAAACATCATCATTGTGCTGACTTTTGTGGTCATTTTCCTCGGAATAGAATTAACTTTCTTCTCATCAGTTCTCTGGAGTGTGGGAGATGGTAGTTGGATAATATTGGTCTTTGCAGTAGTTATGTTCCTTGTTATGTATATATGGAACTATGGGAGCAAGCTGAAATATGAAACAGAAGTCAAGCAGAAGATGTCAATGGATTTGCTGCGAGAATTAGGTAGCAATCTTGGGACTGTCAGGGCTCCGGGAATTGGCTTGCTCTACAATGAGTTGGTGAAGGGCATACCAGCTATTTTTGGCCATTTTCTGACCACTCTCCCAGCAATTCATTCCATGGTAATATTTGTTTGTATTAAGTATGTCCCGGTTCCTGTGGTGCCTCAAAGTGAGAGATTTCTCTTCCGCAGAGTCTGCCAAAAAAACTACCACATCTTTCGGTGCATTGCCAGGTATGGCCAACAAAATTGTCGCTTTCTACGCAATTTCCCGAGTGTTAGAGTTGTGGGAGTCTTAACACACTTTCTTTGAATAAAGATACTAGTCTGTTTTCATGCTGGAATGAATGGGTTCTATTTTTGTTTAATGATTGACATCATATTAGGCATAGTTTTCATGCGGAACTCTTGTTCTCTGTGCTTGATGCTGAGCTTTGAGCCTTAAAACTCACTTGACTATTTTTCAAGGTATGGCTACAAAGATGTGCGCAAGGAAAATCACCAGGCCTTCGAGCAGCTGCTGATTGAAAGCCTAGAGAAGTTCATCCGTCGGGAAGCCCAGGAGCGATCTTTAGAGAGCGATGGTGATGAGGATATGGATTCCGAGGATGACAACTGTGGGTCAAAAGTTCTAATAGCTCCCAACGGGAGTGTCTATTCATTGGGTGTCCCACTTCTTGCTGAGTTCACGCAAGATGGCAACACCATCTCCGAAGCAAGCACTTCAGAAGACATCAGGCCAGTGGTTGAGGCAGCCCCATCATCCGATCCAGAACAGAGTCTCGAGAGAGAGTTGTCCTTCATCCGCAAGGCAAAAGAATCTGGGGTAGTCTATCTGCTTGGTCACGGTGATATTAGGGCAAGGAAAGATTCGTGGTTCATAAAGAAGCTAGTCATCAATTACTTTTATGCTTTCTTGAGGAAGAACTGCAGAAGGGGAATTGCGAACCTGACCGTGCCGCACTCACATCTAATGCAAGTCGGTATGACTTACATGGTGTGAAGGCATGCGGGTGGGTCAAATTATTTTGGTGGAGATTTAGAGAGGAGGGTTTTATCATGAGATGCTCAGCCCTCAAAGAAATTTCGCAGCTTCGAAATACGCAAGATGCTTTTCGGCAGTAGCCCCTGAATCAGATCCAACGTACCAGGAGTTTGTTCAAACTGGCCAAGGGAGCCGCTGTGAGGTATTTTCCTTTGTGCCAACTTGTATCCTTTTTTGACTGCTTGACTGCTACAGGAGGTGAGAACAGCTTTTGTAACTAGTTATTAATTGCCAAAGGGAAAGTGAATTTGTTCTTAAGGACCAAGGGAGAGAATTTCCGTTCCAGTTTTACCGCAGCTACCATGAAACTCGCTAAAGTTGACGGCACGATAATGAGATCCTGAACTATTTTTTTTTCTGTGGTCATGTTTGTTTCGAGGATGACCCTTGTGTAGTTGCTCCTTTGCAAATTGCAGTTTTGAGAATTGCATCCTCAAAATAATTTGTATTATGTGGCTTAGATTCCAGCTTCTGTTGAATTTCAATGAAAAAAAAAATTGATCGGTGTGTGGATCGGGGCTCACGCTGAGAAAGAATGATGGTAGTTCCAGTTACAATGCCGCACATGTGCGCAACACAAATACTTAATGCATAGATGCGATTTAATTTTGGTCATGCAATACACGTTCAGTAGTACAACTCGCAATCGAGGAAATTTAACATCCTGTCGAGGACACCATAACGCCTAATCGAAGTTTCACAGTCGGCTATGGCTAGTAGTAACACGAACAAAAAGGCATGTCTGGAACAGGAAGTAAATTATTCAGTGATAACCAAGCGGAGCTGGGGAATCCTTCAATTTCCTTCCCTGGAAATGAATGTCCTGCACGACAACATTGCAACATCACCAAGCGTCATTATTTGTGATACAGGTGACAACACAAAGCGAAGAAGAGCAGAAGGGGGGAGGCTCAGCATTTTGGCCACAAAGGCCACAAAAACACGTAAAAACTTGTTCGATCAAAGTAACAAAGAAGCTACACGGCACAAAAAAAACGAGAATTATCCAAGAGATTTGTCTGGTAAATTATGCACGCAAATTGATCTCCGTCATAAATGGACTATTGCAACCATTAGAATATCGAATGTAGAACATCCAAAGAGATAGACAAACATAAATTCAGGAAACCAAGTACTACTCCTATTCCACATAGGGTTTAAGAAATGAAAATTCTTTCCAGATTGATCAAAAACTTGTCCAACTAATATGAAGAATCATATCTTTGAAATCGAGTAGGACACAGAAAAAGAAAGAAGAAGCGCCACAACTCTAATAGTAGGGATACAATCAACGATGCGTATTTCCAGAGTGAAAATCAACCATAGTAACAGACTTTGCAATTGTTCTTCATGGCATTACTAAGATCTTCCGTTAATGCTCGAGCTTAGATGTTATCAATTCACATGGAAATTAACTCCTAAGAACATTTTTCGAATAGATTTCCAGGACTTTTTTCGAAAAAAATGTGAAATACACAACAGAATTGGCAATACATGGGCATGCAAATTCGAAGAGAACACTCACAGAAGCAAAGTGGTTGACGTCACGATGGTGAGCTTCATCGGCACGGATAACTGTTATCACGTCCTTCAGAGTTGAATCCTTGGGTAACCTCCAGTAGTCAATGGCAATAGCTGGAGCGGGAACATTTTCAATCGCACCACTGTTAAGATCCTTCAAGAACTCTGTATACGAGTGGATGGCCTCCTCTTCCAGATAGCCAACAACTCTATGTGCTAATTTAGGGGAGAGCAAATAGAGGACGAAGTAAGCATTGAAGAATCCTCCTTGCACTGCAAGAACCAGTAGCCTCTCGTACCATTTTGGTTTCACCAGCTCCACCATGGTCATCAGGTGCATCCTTTCATTCTCTGCTTCTTCCAGCAGGGCTTTGATCCAACCACCACTCTGTTCAAACTTGCGGAGAGACCTTAGGTGCAACAGCATTCCTCCCACCATTCCTGGAACAGCTGCTACAGTTTCAAGCATCATGGCGCGACAACCATAGCGTCTCTGGATTGCGGATTTATCAAAAACAATAAACAAAACATAGTTGTCAAGGTAAACAGAGATGATAGAACAAAATGAACTTTTTCACGACTTTCTACGATTTAGTGTTTGCCACCCGGAGTTAAGAGACCCAAGAGCTCATTCCGAGGGAACAGGGAGGGAGTTACAAACCGTATGTAACAGCCCATGATACCACAAAGAAATTATAGAAGGATAATGGCCACCCAGAGTAACAGATCAAGCCCAATGGAAACAGAAATTGAAAACGGAGGAGAGAAAGAACCATGTGTCCATTTATTTCCACAATCTGTTTGATTTTTGAAGTTTTGGTTAAGAAATCGAAAGGTCAAAGAGATTGGCGCCTCAAGAAGCATCAGTGCAACCCAACTTTTAGAACGGAAGGAACTATCACAAGAGGTGCAAAATAGAGAAGAATATATTCAACACAACTCAGAAAGGCCCATATTCATCTGCCGACAGTCAACTCCAACAATCATAAATTGATCAGTGTAACTCTTGCTATAAGCCGGGTATCTAAATCTTATAATTTAATCAGCACAACCTTTCCAATGCAAGTAAATGATATAAATCACCTGAAAGAAAACATCAGTAGGAACTCTCAGAAGCTTCACTGTATGATATGCAAATTTATCCCCGAATGTCTTCGGCACGTGGTGCTTTTTCAAGTCAATTGATACGTCTGCCCTATAAGTTTCCCAAGGCTGCATCAGAAGATAACACGTAATTACTGACGGATGAACCAAGTGTTTCATAAATGAAATAAGCACGAGAGCAATTCATTGGTGATATCAAAGACTTCATGCTGAAATTAGATCTAAACCCTGCAATGAGAGGGTTGGTTCGGTTATAGAAGTATATTCTGCTAGTAACAGCCGCTTCGATCATACATGAAGCTTGATGAATTTGCATGCATTTTGCAGATATTCCTTCGCCATACCATTCAGAATCAGTACATCACCGAGAGAGATGATGACAGTATGATATCCAGCAAACAGCAGTCCATCTTTTCGTTTCCTACAAATGTGACGGTCATCCCTAAACAAATATATCGAGCGCAGTTCATTGACTAATATCGTCGCTTAAAAAAAAACTCATACAGTTTGCAAAGTTGAGCCGCCGATGACTAGATTTTCACAGATCCAAGAGCAATCCGATGCTTAACTCCACTTGTTCAGAGTACAAACCAGCAGCAATCGTATAAAAACTTTTACGAGTCGATCATAAGAAATCATGCACCGGCACACCGAGAACATATAGAACCTTCAGATAACACATCAGCGACCCGAGACGCACGGAGTTAGCGTACCATGAAGCAATTCCAAGGCCACTCGGTACCGTCTTCTCTAGTGATCTTAGGCCTCGAGATCCCCCAGTAGCTCGAAGGAACCACCGCACCTCCACCGTTCTTCTTCTCCTCCTCGGCAACCGCGCTCTCCTTCCTCGCCTTATCAGCGGGAGCAGGATCCGTCGCGGGAGAACTCAGCATCCTCCTCGCGTAGATCGCTCCGCAAGGGACGCCGCCCTCGCGCCGCCCGAGCTCCGCCTCGAACGGCCGGAGGGCACCGCCGCCGCCGCCGCCGCAGCTGCCGCCATTGACGAAGCTCCGCGCCAACGACCTCATGACGCCCTGACGACTCATCCCGGATCGCTGAGTCGGATCGCTCCACAGTAAGTTCGATGCTTGTCGTGTGGTGCGAACTGAAAAACTGAAAATTTCGAAGCAGAAATATTGCGGACAAAATCATTGCGGTGACGGAGGGAGGGGGCAGTGCTTTTCTACGTGTTTCCGGTGAGCCGTTGATTGACCGTTGCGTGGGAGCTCGGACGGCCGAGATTACGGGGGTTTCGTGGGCAGCGAAGTAGGAGAACGAATGATCCAGACGCTCACCTTCAAGTTGCCCATTTTACTGGAGCGTGTGGGGGCGGTGGCGGCGAGGGGATTTGCAACGTGCGGCGCGGCCCAGGATTAAAATCGGGGTTGCCGCGTTGATGGACAGCTGTTCGCGGGTCAATGGTCCCGACGGTTGACTCCGTTATGTGATCTGAAAGTACCGGGCCGAAGATTGAGTACACGTACAGCACGAACATATTGACTCGACCGGGGGAGATTCATGGCCCTCCTATTTTCGTCGGAAATTCAATATTATCGCTCTACTTTTATTTTAAAAAAATCGAACTGTTCATGTATCTGTTAAACATTTCTTTTGCTGGTCAGTTTCTTCTCACATGGATCATCGAATTACGAATATGGATGTCGGAATACACGCGATTTGCTAAAAACTGTTTTGTATCACCAAATAGACGTTACGTCAATCGACATAAAAACTGATAAATTAATTTATTAAGAGAGATCATGGCTTCTTCATATCGCAATACTTGTCACAGGAAAATTAATAACCATAAAAATTTGTTGCTTATGGGAGTGAAACTAATCGATGGCAAGTGTTTTCATTACAATCACTATAGTCATTCAAGCATTAGTTGACGGGTGCATGGCCGCTCGAGCTCATGGCGCCGCGCCACGACTACTTGAGCTTTGGTACGAAATGGTGTTTGAGCTCGAAGCTTGCTGCCTCCTTGGCCAAAGCCAGCTTCAAAACTCTCGACTATGGCCACTAGAGGTGAGCGGTTTCAAGTTTCTTTCAGGTTTCACATGGAACCTGAAACCTATCGTCGGGTACAGGTTTCTCATTTTTTGGAACCTAGAACCTACCCGTCCGAACTTGAAACTTGGAACATACCCTGTCACAGGTTCCACGGTAGATTCCAAGGTCTAACAGGTTCTTTTTTTATTGCATTTTTAGTTAAACAAAACAAAAATGAACGCAATAATACTGAACAAGCTTGTCATTCATAAAAAAGAATACAAAACACTAGTTTTCCTAGCATTACGGTTCAAATAAATATAACTAAAATGAAAAGTCATTGCGTGAATTGATACTAGGGATGAGCAGTTCTATGTTCCGTATAGGTTCTACCCATGATAATAGGCTCCTTATTTTTTAGAACTTGGAACTTACCCTATTACAGGTTCGAGGGTCGGTTCTAAAATCTACTCAAGTTTCACTTGTATTATTAATTGAATAACTGCAGTGAATCATCACCTTTAATAACCACCATTTACTACTATGATCCACTAACCACAAATTATATTTAAATACATGAAGAATATGAAACATTAACAAGTCATAAAATGAAAATTCAGATTAGTGGTTCCAGATCATACATTTATCATCTAATGCCTTGAAATATCGCAGGATCATGAAAAGACAAGTTCAGGTTCCAAGTTCCAAGTTTTACCTACCTAGAATCTGGAACCTACTCGTCGAAACAGGTTTCCCAATTTTTTGAATCTAGAACTTACCCTGCATACCTTGGAACCTGGAATCTACAAATTCCCATCACTACAAAAAAACTGGATTTTTGCCACGAAAATTTGCGACGAAAAAATTTTCGTTGCAAATTTGCGACAAATTTTCCAACGAAAAGTAAAATTCGTTGGAAATTTCCAACAAAAAAATTTTCGTCGTAAAATTCGTTGGAAATTTCCAACGAACTATATTTCGTCGCAAAATTCGTTGGAAATTTCCAACGAAAAAATTTTCATTGGAAAATTAGTTGGAAATTTCCAACGAAACAAAATTCGTTGGAAAATTCGTTGTAAATTTCCAACGAATTTTTTCCGTTGGAAATTTCCAACGAATTTTCCAACGAATTACAAAAAACCCAGACTTGTTCGGGCATTTTTTATATTCGTTGGAAAATTTTTTGGAAATTTCCAACGAATTTCAATTTTCCGGGCAATTATTTCCGTGTGTGCAATTTTCGTTGGAAAATTCGTTGGAAATTTCCAACGAATTTTCCAACGAATTTCAATTTTCGGGCAATTATTTCATTGTATACAATTTTCGTTGGAAAATTCGTTGGTAATTTACAACGAATTTTTTTTCGTTGGAAATTTCCAACGAATTTTCCAACGAACTCCAAAAAACCGTGTACCGTTCGGCATTTTTCATATTCGTTGGAAAATTTGTTGGAAATTTCCAACGAATTTTCCAACGAATTTCAATTTTCGGGCAATTATTTCATTGTATACAATTTTCGTTGGAAATTTCCAACGAATTTTCCAACGAATTACAAAAAAAATCGGTACCGTTCGGCATTTTTAAAATTCGTTGGAAAATTCGTTGGAAATTTCCAACGAATTTTCCAACGAATTTCAATTTTCGGGCAATTATTTCATTGTATACAATTTTCGTTGGAAAATTCGTTGGAAATTTTCAACGAAAAAAAATTTGTTGGAAATTTCCAACGAATTTTCCAACGAATTACAAAAAAAACCGGTACCGTTCGGCATTTTTAAAATTCGTTGGAAAATTCGTTGGAAATTTCCAACGAATTTTCCAACGAATTTCAATTTTCCGGGCAATTATTTCAGTGTATACAATTTTCGTTGGAAAATTCGTTGGAAATTTCCACCTTCTCCCCCGCTGCCTCCCCCGCCGCCCCCCTTCCTCCTCCGACTCGGCTCCGGTGCTCTCTCTCTCTCTCTGTGTCTCTCCTTCGCCTTCCACCTTCTACCCCGCTGCCTCCCCCGCCGCCCCCCCTCCTCCTCCGACTCGGCTCCGGTGCCATGGACACCAAGATCGGCATCCGGGTCATCCGCGACGTCGGCTCAGTCCCCCGAAGGCGTCGCTGTGGCCATCCGGGGCCGGGCCCCGCGGCGGTCGGCGCTCCGACGCCACCATGGGCCGCCCCGACGCCCCGACGCCTCGTCGCCGGCGAGGGCCGAGCTCGCCCGGATCCGGGCGAGCTCGAGCTCGTCGCCGCGCCGAGGGCCGAGCTCGCCGGCCATGGCGAGCTCGGCCTCGCCATGGCCGGCGAGGCGCCACCCATCCCGCCTCACCGCCACCGTCCAACCGGCACGATCTCTCTCTTCCTTTCTCGGCCGCGTGAGCTGCTTGGAACCGCCGCTCGCCGGTCCGCGAGCCTCGCCGGCCATGGCGAGGGCCGACCTCGCCATGGCCGGTGAGCTCGGCCCTCGCCGGCGACGAGGCTGGCCCTTGCTGCCGGCGAGGGCCATTTTTCGGCCAAAAAAAAAAATTTTGAAATTGAAATTTTTCGACCAAAAAAAAAAATTCGATGGAAAAAAACTTTCCACGATTTTTCGATCAAAAAAAATTTGTAATTTCCAACGAAAAAAAATTCGTCGGAAAAAAAAATTCGTTTCCAACGAAAAAATTTTCGTCGCAAATTTCCAACGAAAATTGAAATTTTTCGTCGGAAAATTTTCCAACGACCTATTACCAACGAATTTTTTTTCATTGGAAAATTTGTTGGAAATTCGTTTTCCAACGAATTTTCCAGAATTTTTCGTTGGAAATTTCGTCGGAAAAAATCAGTTTTTTTGTAGTGCATTGGTCAGGTTATCAGATTTCAGAGGAGAACTTGGAACCATGCTCACCCCTAATGGCCACTCCAGCTTGAGATGTAGGCTTGTGACCATGGAAGAGCTCAACCGGCCATGGCCACGAGATCTAATGATTACAGATCTTGAGCTCGTGGCTATCATGGCCACTCGAGCTTTGAGCTGCAGCCAGGGCCACGAAGGGTGATCGTGAGTAAATATTTACAAACTACATATTTGGAGGTTGTTAAATTTTGTGGAAAGAAGAAGAATGAGTCGAAGGTCAAAGACAAAGAGAAGGTTTGGAGCAGTAAAAGGACTGTTTTGAATTTCGAGCAAAAGTAGAATGACTATCGGCGACTTTATATATACTGAATATCCATTTCTAACTTGAAAATTTTGTGATCGATCCATACATATATTTATCTTGAGCTATCACGTGTGTTGAGTGATAATATTATTAATTTACAAAGTATTATCGCATCTGTCTTTGTTTTTTTTACAAACAGAGGACTTCTTAATTTGCAAGTAAACTTTATTCTTACTTGGATAAGTGAACAAAGCATCGAGCACCGGATCACGTGGAGACTCGACTATTACACTAACAAATTACTCAGCAAATGGTCAAATTCAAAATGGACATCGAAGTATTGATCAAGAGCCTCGAAAGTTCAAGATAACATTGGAATATTGATCCATACATTATTGGCAAAGCTGTGGAGGCACAACACTTCGAGATACCTTCTCCCCTGGGTAGATTGGCTGTACTTCTAATAGCAGGGGAACCTCTTGAATGCCCAAAGCGAGTTGAAATTTCACGCTTTTGCGACATCTTGACCGTGGAAGAGTCGCCTTTCTGATCTAATTATCAGTTTATGTTATGGACAACGAATAGCTATTTAATCCCTCCCATCGTGGTTCACCCGTCAGCTATTAGCCCAAGGAATTCGGTGGTTTCGATAATCTGTTGAACTACACAAGCAATTGATGTGTACGTTGGTACCCTAAAGCTATCTTGCCTTCTTCGTCGGGTTGAAAATGATGGTTTTCTGCCGAATGTCATTTTTAATTTAAAGCTCCAGCTGGTAGCAACTATGGATGGTTGATTGAGAAACCGAAAGAAGGGCGCTGAAACTTCTCTGAACACGCGTGAATCATATCCACGAGGCAGTTGTTGTTACGGTGTCTTGCGCTGTTGATATGCTCTTGAAATAATTGGCAGTAACCCTTCTGGAATCAGGGTGGGACTTTGAATTTGGCCGTGGTTCACTTTTTCTCTTTGGCCAGAAGGTGCTGAGATGTTCCTAGGGTGGCCCTAACTGGAGGAAGCACGTCAGACACACGGGTCCTATCGGATAAGCAATCATGAAGCATTCCACGCAATTTGTGATCGGATATAACACATGAGAGAATGGATGTATTATGTCCATTATGGGAAACGAGACGATATGATACTTAAGTTTGCCTACTGAATACACAGCTTTAATGCCGAAAATCTCCGAAAGGCTTCGTTTTGCATTGTCTAGTTACAACGTAGCTTGTGTGGAGAAACTCTCTACTGCTAACATCTTTTTTTTGTTGTTATATCAAATTTACAACGTTCTTTTTTCTTGAAATTTAAGAAGGACCCGATGTCAGTTACAATAGCTTGTGTGGAGAAATTCTACTGCTAACATCTTTTTTGTTGTTTTCAATTTCTTTTTTTCCTTTTCTTTTTTTTTTCTTCTTTCCTCCTCTTTTCTTTGGGTGCGAGGTCGACCTCGCCTTTCCTCGGCGGGCCGATTAATTTCCTTTTGAATTTTCCCGTTTTTCTTTAGGTCGACTTTTGCTCTTACTTATGCATCATATCATGTCGGGACTCGACCACAACACTAGCAAATTACTCAGCTAATAGTCACGCTCAAAATGGACATTGAATTTATGGAGTCGGCCAAAGAGCCTCGAAAGTTCAACATAATAGTGAAGAGGGTACAATTTTTTTGCTATGAGGGTCAAGATTTCTTCTATTATTATTATTATTTTTGGAATTGAGGGTACAATTCGAGAATGGGCCCGAATCTCAATCTGAGCGGAGGCTTTTCTAAAAGCTTCAAGTTGGGCCAAAAGATGGCCCAACACTGAAAAAGCCCGAACGGTGCGAATACTGGTTTCCCCACAAAAAGTTAAAAGTCAGCGAAAACGCGAAGTTCGTACGACCCCGGGGGTGTGGTGCTGGCAGGATTTCAGGCACGATAAAGTTAAAAAAAATAAATAGAAAAAAAAAACAAAGAAGAAGAAGAAGAAGTGGAAGACGCTCGCCATATGACAAGCGAGCAATTAGCGAATGCGAGTTTTTCCACTGCTTTCACAACGACTTTTCGACTTTCCAAGAAGAAGAGCACCGCAAGCGCAGCATTAATTACATAAACCCCCCCACGGCCCCCCTCCTCCTCCCTCTTTCCATCGTCCTTCCTCCTCCCTCCTCCTTCTCCGTTCGCGTGCAATCCGAGAAGCCTTTGACTGTTCCATCGTCGTCGTTGTCCTCCTCCTCCCGATTCCGCGTTCGTCGCGTCCCCTGTGTTGCTCATGGCTCAGCGCGGATCGTACGGCCTCAGTCCTCAGCTAGGTCACACCCCTCTCTCTCTCTCTGCCTCTGTCTCTAGATTTGCGCTCTTGATCAATCTGCTGGTCTGTCGAGTCCGATCTCCTCTCTGATTTGCCTGCTGATTGGCGTGCCGGACCTATTTTGGTTCCGTCGTGGAAGCTCAGTGGTGAGCTGGAGCTGGATTTGGTTGACGCGAGTCGCGCGTGTCTCGATCGTAGGACCGCTGGGAGCGTTTTGTCTCCGCCGAGAGCGTTTTGTGCGGTACTGTTTGGTTAGGATTGTGTGTCCGAGCGGGGCGGGTTTACTTGGACTGTGATGTTACTTGGAGTTAGGTTGGTGCTATCTGCATTCGAAGCTGACAGCTGATTTCTGGATTTGGTGCTTCGGAGGACCGAATTGAGTCGGGATGTTATTAGCTTCTTGACCTGAGTATGGGGAGCACTTTCTGCGTGCGTTGATTTAGGGATGACTGAATCGAATCGCGCGAGAGAGAGAGAGAGAGAGAGAGAGAGAGAGAGAGAGAGAGAGAGAGAGAGAGAGAGAGAGAGAGAGAGAGAGAGAGAGAAGTACACTTTAGTAGGTCTTGACCTTCCATTCTCAGTGCAAGACTTCAGGGGTTGATCTGGTTGTCTAATATGTTCTATGCAGATATTGAACAGCTACAAGTGGAAGCTCAACATCGATGGTTGCGACCTGCTGAAATATGTGAAATTCTTCGCAATTATCAGAAATTTCAGATTGCTTCCGAGCCTCCAACCCGACCCCCAAGTATGTATTGCACATGTTGCAGAAAAGCTTTTGATATTTCTCATGCATAGAGGCTTGAAGTGTACCTTTCCCCTTACAATTTGAGGGCAGGGAATATTGATCATACATCATTGGCAAAGCCGTGGAGCCGTAATGATTCGGGATCCCATTTCGTTGAGCTGACTGTATGTGTACTCTAATGTATTAGTAGTAGGGGGACTTCTTAAATCCGCAAATCAAATTGAAATTTCTCACTTCGACATCTTGACCATGGAAGGGTCACCTTTCTTATCTAATTAGTAGGTTAGGTATACTATTATTTTGTCCGGCACTTATCTTATGGACTTCGTATCACTATTTAATTCCTCCTGTCATGGTTCTCACGTCAATTGTTAGCTCAAGTATTTTGGTGGTTTCGATAGTCTGTCGAACTACATGAGTTTCTTGTAGGAGAACCAATAAATGCGTATATTGGTAGCCTAAACACTTCTCAATTGAAAGAATAAAACACGTATAGAAAATTCAAAAAATCGGCATGGTTGCTGAAAAGCCAGATTGCATTTACTGTATGCTTACTGTTCTGTACTACACGACTTAAATCATTGCAAAAAAAGTTGAAGGCGATGATTACAAGTTCTTGTGGGTTGTTGGCCATGTTCACTATCATATATGATTACTTCAGAAATGGAAACGGGAACTGTATCTAGCCGAGTATAGATCGTGCTTGTATCTCTTATCTTTGTCGTCGGGTTAATGATAAAGGCTTTTTGCCAAACGTTATTCCTAGTTCCTTAAGTTAAGCATCCAGCTGGTAGAAAGTATGGTTAGTTGATTGAAAAACAGAAAGAAGGGCGCTGAAAGCTCTCTGAACATGAGTGAACCTCATCTGCGTGGCAGTTGTTGTCAGTGTTCTTTGCTGTTGATATGCTCTTATTTTAATTGGTAAGGCTTCTAGAATCAGGGTGGGACTTACATTTTGGCCTTCCAGGTGGTTCACTCTTTCTCTTTGACCGGAAGGTGCTGAGATACTTTAGGAAGGATGGGCATAACTGGAGGAAGAAGAGGGATGGAAAGACGGTGAAGGAAGCACATGAGAAGCTGAAGGTAAGCCTACCAGAGGATTTCCCTTCTTTCTTGTTTTGTTCCTGTGATTTTGCCTCGTCAACTCCTTGTTTTTGTACTTCCTCCCACGACTTTCTTTTGGCATCAGAGAACATTTTGTGGCAGAGATTTTGATTTGCACAGAGATCTTTAATACAGTTGCAGTGTTTGGCATTTCACAAAACTGTTTTGGTCCGTGTGTGAATAATCCGAATTAATCATTGTCTGATGGATGAATCTTTTTGAGTAATCTTAGGTTGGAAGTGTAGATGTACTGCACTGTTACTATGCGCATGGTGAAGAAAATGAGAACTTTCAAAGACGCAGCTATTGGATGCTTGAGCAGTAAGTATAAGCTTTCTCATACTTTATTGACTAGTCATACAATATGAGTTTTCAAGTATGGGACTTATAGTCGTTGAAGTTGTTCTTTGACGAATATTGACCTGAGAAGAGTGAGATCTGAACGTTTGACATGCGGCCGAACTATGGATATTGTAGGAGGATGTTGGGTGAAGGATATAATGATGCGTACCATGTTTGCTAATGGCTCCTCAAAGTTGATGAAAATTTAATGTTTGTTGCTTCATGAGGATAGGGAATATTAATTTGTAGACCGGACGAACAATTATATCGAAATTAAGCAAATAAGTGACAGCAGCAATGATGGGTCCTCTTCCTATGGGTTTTGCTTACCAAGCTGTTGGATTATTTAGTTTGCTCTAGTATGCTTTTCATTCTCCTAGGAGTGCTTAGGATGCACTTCTCTGTGAGCTAATGTAATAATCTTTCTGAGTGCTGTTTGCACCGATGGTGGCCAGTGATCAGGCCGCCCCGTTAACCGGAGTGAAGATGCCATACATTTTCTGATTTAAGAGATGATCATCTCTCTATCATCTCCAATAATGATTAGAAGTGGTAGAACAATGGAAAAGAGCCCCCCATAGTTTAGGAGCATAACAATCTGGCGGCAGTAAAGTTATTTGTTTTAGTAACATGAGGTTTTGGGTGTCGCAAGGGTCCTTGCTTCTCCTGAGTTCGCCTCTTTCTAAAATTGTTTTCTGCTCATAACTTTCCAAGACGAGTAGTCAATATGAGATTGTTAAAAGTAATTTATCTACTGAATTCCATCTAGCTAGTCAAGGTTTTAAGTGCTTTCAGTAAAAGTTTCAGTGTTGAAGCGGTTGTGATCTGATGAACTTTTTGGAGATTGCAGGGATTTGATGCACATTGTTTTTGTCCACTACTTGGAAGTTAAGGTACTTCATTCCTTTCTTCTCCTTGTTGGTTGCTTTTCTTACTCTTCTTACGTCTTGTCATTTGTTTGCTATCCCTTTGTTTCTTTTTCCTTTTTTCTGTTTTTGAGGTCGAGTGGTTTAGCCTGCACATCAATTAGCATAAGGTTGACTATGTGAGAGATTGAGCTTGTTATGTAGGTTTTATTCCTCCTCTCTTGTTATTTTATTTCTAGGAACCACAATAAGGAATTTTGCTGGCATTCCTTGAACCAAAACAGAGTCATAATAAGATTATTACTCCTCTCTTCTGCTCTCTTCTTGGTTTCTTGTGTGCCGCAGAGGAGAAATTTGCTCTCTCTCTCTCTCTCTCTCTCTCTCTCTCATTTCCGGGAAAATGCTCATTAAAGAAGGTGTCATGTACCTGCTGTTTTTCTTTGAGATTATTACTTCCTTTATATAGTCTGTCAAGGTGTTGCTTTGGAAGTAAAGGCGGATGGCTTATAAACTCTTTCTTCATCTGGGCCTCCCTTTGTTATTACAATATTCGTGTTTTTCATGCCTTTTCTTCTCCTATATCTGGTTCTAGCACATCGTTGTCTATATAGCAAGGATGCCTCATCATTCTTCAACTATTCTCTTATGCTTTTTGGCAAGGGACGTTTTGCAGGTTTTATCTATGCTAAGACTATTTAATTTGTCTTGACCCTCTCAAGCGCCTTCTGTGTCATCTTCTGTTGCTTTGATTAGGTCTTGTGACTTGCACTACATGTGTATTAGTAGATTTAACGTGGAACTTAGATTTTCATCATCGATTTTTGTTTCTTTCAGGGAAATAGAACAAGTGTGAGTGGCGTGAGGGAAAATGAAGAAGGTGCCAGAAGTTTCCAAAAGGACAGTCCTCCCTCATATAGCTACTCCATGAATCACAGCGCCGCTCTTTCAGGAAATACTGATTCGACCAGCCCAACTAGCACTTTGACATCACTATGTGAAGATGCTGATTCAGGTACCGTGTCTATGGCTAGGGATAAACAACGATGTGGATATTCTGTCTTGCCTGCCAATCTCGCTCATGTCTCATATGGTGTTTGGTGCAGGAGAGATTCACCGAAATAGTTCTGGTTTACATCCAATTCCTTCATCACTACAAAAGGAGAAAGGCTCCCCAATGAACAACAATGCCATGTCCTCAAGTACCTATTTCCCAAGTTCCTATCCAGGTTCTTGCTTCTCTTTCAAATGTGCATGCTTGTATTTAATATGAATCCTCATCTGAGGAGGAAACACCCACATTCTTGTGCTTCATCTAAGTTTGTTTTGCCACTGTTGCATTTGTAGTTTTAAACCTGACAGGCTCACTTAATGTTTACCAGAGAATCACGAAGGTTGGTCCTTGAGACCTGATGTGAATATTACCTCAACTATCAATGTTGATGGTTCCACCGATACTGGTAACGGCATTCAATCTCAAAAGTCTCTTGGTTTGGCATCTTGGGAGGAGATCTTAAAGGAATCTATGTCTGGATCTGCCTTGGTATCTTCTCATGCACCATCATCTTCAAGCCAAACAATTCCTTCAGGAGTTGTCTTTGAACAAGAAAGTATGGTTCTAAGTGAGCTTTTAGGAGGGGAGAGCGTTTCAAAACAGCAACTTAGCATTCCTGTGTCTGCGCAACCCCATTGGCAGGTACTCTATTTTTTTTTTTTTTTGGTGTCAAAGGCAGGTACTCTATGTTTGCTTTGCACTTTTTTATGTAACATGCTGGCATTTAGACATGCAATGCGACTCTGCTTTTATAAGCTAATTTGCAGAATATGTTCTCTCAATGCAATGCACCTGTGAGAGTGCTATTTGTGCTTTGCAACGTACCATTATTTTTTTAAGGAAAAGATTCGAGGTCAATATATTGGATTTGCTCTACTTGTTTGATTTAGCTGCAATAATGGAAATCTGTAGACTCTGGCGTTTCTTGCTTTTTATTATTCGTTGTACAGATATCTGGGACAAAAACTTTTATATGTCTCTTATGTGCTTATCCATCATGAGTTTGTTGCAACTATTAAGGAAGTGGTGGTTGGCTTTGATGATTCTTTGAATCACCAGTCACCTCTGCCTTGCAAGTTTCACCTTGTCCCTAATATTCGATAATTTTAGCATCGAAAGAATGTTTCAAATATACCTAGGGTGATTGCTTGCAACGTTTGGTCATCTGTTTGTTGTCGTAAAAGGACTTCCTCTAGTTTAAATTCCTTAAAAGGATCTCATAAAAGTTAACATCATTCAGCATGACATGAGACAAGATCAATAATGAAAGCACTGATAAGAATCTGCTGAGGGTTGTCACAAAAATATTTGAGGTTTAAATGTTGTAGAGCATGTTTCTGTTTTTCTCATTTTCTGGTGGATTGCACGAGCTGCTTCATTGTCAGCACGTATTGACTTAAGTTTAATATGCAGGTTTCTGGGGAAGATGGCCCATGGACCACGGACCAGTCTTTGGATCTGGATTTGGATTTGACATATGAACCAGACATTAGGTTCCTTGAGCAAATCAAACAGAATTCCGAATCACAGGATGCTTCAGGTGGTCCTACTCAACAATATGAACACCTGGAAGCAAATGAGGACAGAAATGTGCCTGTGGGAGGGGAGGTTAATTATGCTTTTGCTGCAAAGCGACTATTATCTGATGGAGAGGATGGCTTGAAGAAAGTTGACAGTTTTTCGAGGTGGATTTCGAAAGAACTTGGAGATGTTGTGGATCTACAAGTGCGATCTACATCTGGCTTACCATGGAGCACCGATGAATGTGGAAACGTTGAAGAATCCTCCTTGGGTCCCTCTATCTCCCAGGACCAGCTTTTCAGCATTCTTGATTTCTCTCCTAAGTGGGCTTATGGAGATTCTGGAATCAAGGTCAGAAATCAGGATATGTGGGTTATTGGATTACTGTCGATGATTTTCTTTTTGGGAGAATAGTGCTTATTGGTTCAAAACAAGCTCGTATTTTCTTCATCTTTCACTTCTATGACTCACCATAATTTTCAAGTAGTAAGCATGGTTACCGAGTTTAAATTATATTGATCTAAGTGATACTCATAAAGCGGCGTAACAAGTACTGGTGGAAAATGTTTCTGCTTTTCGTTGTAATATGTGTGTAATTTGAAAATCCTGCTACATATAGCTATTGAAGTATGTGTTGATGTTCCGTGCTGATGATGATCCACACTCAATTGCTAGGATATATTGGATAACATGCTTCTGTTACTACAAATGACTAGTCAATTTAATATATTTGGAGAACTGTTGCCTCTGATGCACAGTTTGAGTAAATGTTTTTGGATCTTCTATTCTATATTGTGTTGCCTTTAACGGATATTCGTCTTGTTTACTGCCAAAAAAGGTTCTGATCGTGGGGACATTCTTGAAGAATCAACAAGAGGTTGCAAAATATAACTGGTCTTGCATGTTTGGGGAGGTAGAGGTTCCAACAACGGTTTTAACTGATGGGATTCTTTCTTGTCGAACCCCAGCTCACGTTATTGGCCGAGTCCCTTTTTACATCACATGTTCTAACAGGTTAGCTTGTAGTGAGGTACGTGAGTTTGACTTCCGAGCTGGATCTACTAAAGGCTTGGATATCAGTGAGATTTATGATAATGCTCCGGGTGAAATGCATCTGCATTTGCAACTTGAGAGGTTGCTGTCGTCTAATGCTGCTGGTCATCCTGATAATTCTTTTGAAGGCCTCCTTGAGAAACGGAAATTAATTGATAAAATCATAGCATTGAAGGATGAAGAGGAGAGGTATCGGGTCAATTTGTATCAGCATGAAGCAAAGGAGGAGCTCCTTCTGAAGCTTTTGAAAGAGAAGCTGTACTCATGGCTTCTTCACAAAGTAATTGAAGATGGTAAGGGACCATGCATATTAGATGATCAAGGGCAAGGCGCGATACATTTGGCAGCTGCACTTGGTTACAATTGGGCCATAAAACCAATTTTAAGTGCAGGAGTTAGTATCAATTTCCGGGACGTTAATGGTTGGACTGCACTTCATTGGGCTGCATTTTGTGGCAGGCAAGGGCCTTTTAATCTATTCTGAATATTATTGCTCTTATTGTTTTTGTTTACGATTCATTAACTTTGTTGCCATGAGATGCCTCATAGGGAAATCTCTTACTTGATGGTTTGCAACCTGTTGTATGATATAAACTATTGTTTGCTGACCTTTGCTGACCTCAATCAGTACTTACTGCCTTGTTGACGTACAGAAAGGCATAATGATGATGATCTCTGTTAGAATTATGATAATGAGGGTAGAATTGAAATATTGTGTTTAGAGGGGTTTACGTTATGTTAAGTATATATATATTGTAATTCCTTCATTAAACACAATAAGAAATATCATTATCCTCTCAAACAATCTCCATTGTTACTATCATTTAATCTGATGTGAAATCTCAGTGGCCCTATCTCAAAGAATGTTCTTATTTCATTTTTCTCCACTTCATATAGTTATTTGTCATATGATGGATCACATGGAGTTTTGGGGTTGTTTTGACTCCTCTATATTGTGCTTGCAGAGAGCAGACAGTTGCTGTCCTTCTTTCGCTTGATGCTGCTTCTGGTGTTCTATCGGATCCATCTCCAGAATATCCACTTGGCAGAACACCTGCAGACCTGGCTTCTGACAATGGGCATAAAGGAATCTCTGGTTTTATCGCAGAGTGTATGTTGACCAGCTATCTTGAACCGCTTACAGTGAATGATCCGAAGGAGGATTCTCCCTTGGAAGTTACTGAAAAGGCTGTGCAAACGATTTCGGAGCGTTCTCCAACTCCTCTCGGTGACGGTGACATGCCGGATGTACTCTCACTGAAGGATTCACTTAATGCTGTCTGCAATGCCACCCAAGCTGCTCATAGGATACATCTAATGTTCCGAATACAATCTTTTCAGCGGAAAAAGTTGGAAACTGGTGATTATGCATCTGAATTCTCAGATGAGCGTGCTATTGGTCTTGTTGCTACTAAGAACCGAGGGACTTGGCTGAGTGATGGGCTTGCTCACGGTGCTGCAATACAAATACAGAAGAAGTTCCGGGGTTGGAAAAAGAGGAAAGAATTCCTTACTATTCGACAAAGAATTGTCAAAATCCAGGTTTGTAGCTTTTATTTCTACAGAATCAGAGTTCTACTGTCCGTTGGTTTTGTTTTCCGATAGTCTTACGGAAGTGTATGATCGTGATTCATGTGTAAGAGGATCAGTGCTGCTGTTGTGAGAGAGACCACCTATCGAGGATGTAGGAATTAGGAGATGGTCTTTAAGCTTGGTTACAAGGGATATTATTTTCACTCCTGGAAGAAGCTTCATCTGTGTCACAGTGGTCCTAAGTTACTTAATGATGAATCTTATTTGTATATACTAATCCACCACATTTTTCTCGTATGTGATGGAGCTTTCCTCTACTCTTTGATGTTCCTTTCTTTCCTTTTACAGTCAATTCGTATGCGAGCTTTATATGATATAAATCTTTTCCTGTGCCATGGCTTGAATTGCTGACTTACTTTACTTCATGAAGGCTCATGTGAGAGGACACCAAGTAAGGAAGCAATACAAGACTATCATCTGGTCAGTGGGAATTCTGGAGAAAATTATACTGCGCTGGCGGCGTAAAGGCAGTGGTTTACGGGGATACCGCTCGGATGCACTGAATAAGCACACTAGTCAGCAAGCTCTTCCCCAAAAAGAGGATGATTATGATTTTCTCAAGGACGGAAGGAAGCAGACTGAAGAGAGGTTGCAGAAAGCTCTCACAAGGGTGAAGTCTATGGTTCAATATCCTGAAGCCCGGTCTCAATATCGAAGGCTGTTGAATGTGGTTGAAGGGATGCGAGAGAATAAGGTACAAATGTCTAGGATTTACCTCCAATTTACTCGAAGTTTCTGAGTTGGGCTTTTTGGTCGTATCTAATTTTCTAGGATAAGTGATCTATAATCTCCTGTCAAATCAATCTTTGAAGACAAGTGAAATATCCCAAGAAAGACATTTGCAAAACTAATTTGTGATTGGTGGTGAAAAAGTTTTACCAGTATGAATCTCAGAAAAGGAAAAGGAGAAAAATTGGAGGAGAAACTTATAAATGCCTACTGTGGCAGAAGAAAAAAGAAAAGATAAAATTGGTTGAGTGAAGAATTTATCTCCGACAATTGGAAGTCTGTCTCCTTAAATCAAATATTTTTTCTTTTTTCTACCCTTCATGCATCAGTCTTCTCAGCAGCTTGACATTGAGTAAGAACTTATAACATCCTGGTCATGCTGCATATAGTGGATTTTTGGTTTGTGAATGTTTACGCATCGATGTGGCTCCTGCGACCCCTTGTCAGCTACATATGCTGAACCATAACTTTTTGTGTTCTCAAGATGGTTACTATGTTCGAATTCGTCGATGATAAACAGAATCGAGATCTTACTTTCCTCTGCCAATCTCTTGTTTATGGGGCTTATATGGGTTGTATGGTTTGCAGACACATGACATGGTTTTGAGCAATTCAGCAGAAGTAGCTGATGGGGAAGAGGACCTTCTTGATATTGACTCTCTGTTGGATGATGACACATTGATGTCTATAACATTTGACTGATCCTTTGTAACTCAAACTCCCATTAACTTGTACATAGATGGGACGTGTCATTGCTGCAGTGTAGGGGTTATACAGGTGTTCTATAGTGCAAATTCTTTGTTTTTTCTCGAGCTTCATTAGTAATTTGTAATGGTCAGATAGCATTTGTCAGATAGGTTTCCAACTACATGTTGACATAAACTGTAATTTCTATTTAAGTTTTCATCATTCAGATAAATTAGGTCCTAGGTGATCACATTCCGCCGAAAGATTGGCACCCCTTCGAAGTTGTCTCGACATGGATTGGCTGGAGATCTTATAAAGTTGAGATTAATGAGGGAGCTACTCCTGATACAGCAGGGCAATCGACTTTGCTTTATGTTTTTCTTGTTATATATTTACATGAGAATGGATGTTTATGACTTGGATTGTAAAAGAGATGAAATGATGATGACAGCGGTTATGGTAGTGTTCATTTGCTCAAACATTTGAGACACCAAATTCGGTTTGTACTCATAGAAAGATATGCCCAGGTGAATGTTGGTTATTTATGATTTGTTGTTTAGTTTGCTGGTCTGATTTGATCATTTTAAAGTTTGCTGCACAAGCTTTCTTTACCTCTTTGGATCAGGGGACGGTTCTTTGAACTGGGCTTTGGTTAAAGTCATCCAGCTTTGCTCAAACCAAAATAGCGGTGGCTTACGCGGGGCTTTAGATATTGATATCCTAAGCCTCTTTGTTAAAAAGAAAAAATACAGATTCGTAAAAAATGAGTGATTCGAAAAATATTTTTCGAAGTATAATCGTTTATATCGCTTGTATAAATCAATGAACGAACAAAATATTTTCATTGCTTATAATGAAAATATTTTTTATTGATTAATTATTTCGAAAGATATAAATAATTAAAAAAAATAATTTTTAAATTATTTATTTTTTGCGAAATAAATAGAGTTTAATGTATATAAGGCTACATATGCGTATCGATTAAAAACCTGTAATGGCCAAATTTTGGCGAAATATACACGTTCTTACAAAAACCAGAAGATGACATTGTATGCTCGCGTATTTTCCGAAGTTTTGTCGCCGACAAATTTGTTCAGACCAGATAGTACTTGGGAGCCCAGGAGAAGATTCGTTGTTCTGTGTGCCGTGGGCCCAAACATCGCGCGAGCATTCCAACCCGCGACTGCCCTGACGGGAAATCACTCGCCTTAGATCAAAATCATTTCTCTTTGGTCCTAAAACCCTCCTAAAACCCCTAAATTCTCTCCCTCTCCCCGCTCACCCTCACCCCTCCGCCTCTCTCCTCTCCCGCACGTAATCCGGAAAGTCACAGTCAAGTTGCTCCGATTCAATGCTCTGAGCATGTCAAGGCCATTGCAAGTGCTGAAAGCTCATGTGTCGAGCCCCAAGGCGTGGATCGTGATCGGCGTCACGGTCGCCGGCGTCGTGATCCTCGCTGAGGCCCACCGGCGGAGGAGGAGGTTGGGATCGAAGGCCGCGAGGGAGGATTTCGGCGCTTTCTTGGAGAGATTCGAGCTCCTCCCGTTCCCTCAGCCGCCTCCGCCCGCGCTTAAACAGCCGCTCGCCGGTCTCACTTTCGCCATTAAGGACATGTGCGTGCTTCTTCCAGCTTCCTGTTGTTGACTTGGGCTTTTTTCTTTTTGGCTGTGTGAGTAGTCGCCTGGGTTTTTTGTACTGAACGAAGTGCAGAGAGGCAAATGATGCGTGGGAGTGTAACATAACCCCGCTTACGTCAATTTGTTTAGGCTTTATAATGTGTCAGCAGGGGCACTGCGTGGTTTTACGCCGTTACAGGACGGGAGTTATATATTCTACTTGATTATTAAGGATACCATTTGATTCTGCAGGATCCATGTAGCGACCTTAGAAGAAACTTTGATGTTCTTGTTGTTGTTGTTTTTAACGAAAAATCTGAATTGGGGTATACCGCTTCTTTGTTTTCTCGTATGAAGGATAAACAGTTTATGGAGGTTTTGGTGGTTAGCAACTATCTTGTTAGTTTGTGCTGTTATGTCACTGCTCTGGTTCCCCCATACATTCTGATTCGAAGAAGTGATATCTTTGCCAGATTTGAGGTGAAGGGATATGTGACGGGGTTTGGGAATCCGGATTGGGAAAGGACACATGAGGCTGCGGGGAAGACGGCGGTTGTGGTCACTGCGCTTCTCAAAAATGGGGCCAAGTGTGTTGGAAAGACTGTTATGGATGAATTGGCTTTTGGGTAAGCCTCTTTTGTGCACTATACAATTGTCTGTTGCACGAGAATCTTTATGTGTATGCATTAGATTAGAATTGCTGGATTTGTATAGCTTTGGGTCTGTAATATGCTTTGTGGCGTTGTTCTAGAATGACTGGAGAGAACATCCACCATGGAACTCCTGTCAATCCCCAAATGCCTTCTCATATTCCAGGAGGATCTTCTGGTGGTTCAGCCGTCGCTGTTGCAGCTGAAATCGTCGACTTTGCTCTCGGTATGGGATTTTCATGTGGCTAAAAGTCCTTCAATTGCTTTGCTGCTGTTTGTGATTTTCTCATGGAAATTGTCAATTAGACTTAATTGGCCCTTTAACAGTATGATATTACTGCTTTTATTGTGAAGTGTATGTTTTGCCTCCTCTTGATTTTTGTTCTCCTAAACTTATAGATGAACTCCAAGAGAGAAAATTTCCCTGATTTCTCATGCAATTATATTTTTTATGTGGGGGACTACTAGCAGTTCTAGTATTTTAGATTCACCAACAGATTGCTGTATGTAGAAACATGGGCTTAGAGCTTCGGTAACTCTTTGCCTGCAGCTTCAAGACTGAAATCTCTTCATTTCACATGAAAAGAATAAAATGATTTTAGTGAATTTGTTTTGTTCTTGCATCCTCAGTTTTATGGGGTAGTTTGTGGGGTCTCTTTTTGGATGTAATTCCCTTTCGTTGTTTGGGATTTTATTAAAAGAGCAAGCATATGTCTGTCTTGCTTGCGTGGAAGTTTTCAGTGAGAGGATAATTTTTCCTCTGACTATGAAAAACTTTTGGTCTCTGGAAGGTAGTCCAAAGGTAATAATCTGGACAGGTGAAATATAACCCTCGTGTAGGTATTCACCTACCTTCAGGTCTAGGAGCATCAGTTCATTTTTCTCTCTTTTTAGTTGGCTCAACAACATCATTGGTTGCAGGATTAAAGTTGGCGTTTCTCAACTAAGCAGAATCTCCTTGCTGTCTTATTTAGCTTGATGCATGATACTGCCACTTCTATTATTCCATTGTATGTTGGCATTAGATCCCGTATTTGCACATGCCTCTCATGCTTTTTGATGATTTTGTAGGGACTGATACCGTTGGATGTGTGAGAATTCCAGCATCATTCTGTGGTATCATTGGATATAGGCCATCACATGGCACCGTATCTACAATTGGGGTTTTGCCCAACTCACAAAGCTTAGATACCGTCGGTATGAATATGAAATAAGTTGACAAGTCTGATATCACTGGTGTTGGATATTCCTAGAAACTTTCTTTTCTCAACTTATATGTGCTACTTGATTCTTTCTTGACAATCCATAAATTCCTCTCTCCTTTTCTCGTGTTTCTTTTTGTTTTTTTTTTTGGGCGGGGGGGGGGGAATGGGAGTGGAGTGGAGTGGAGTTATTGGATTGTCGAGGGAGAAGTAGCATAAGGTCTGCCACTCTTTGCACAAATTGATATTGGTGTTTGGATGAACTTTTCGCTTGGAAGCTTTTTGAGGATTCTCTTACTCACTGCATTGTCTTGTCTTTTATTCGAGCATTTTTTTTGTCTTCTACACTTGATAACTTTATAGAACTTCTGCAGGATGGTTTGCCCGTGATCCATCAATTTTGCATCATGTTGGACACATTCTACTACAATTGAATACAGTAGAACCTAGAAGGCCAAGGAGACTTGTTTTTGCTGATGATCTCTTTGAGCTTTCTAAGGTCCCAAAGCACAAGTCTCTGTATATTGTTAGTAAAGCCGCTGAAAAGTTATCTGGGTGTAAGTTTCCTTTTATGAACTTATCCCTATACTTGGTTATGTTTATATTGTAATTTGATAGTCCAATATTTGCTCATGCTATGTATGTTGCATTAGCTTCTCTGAATGGAATTTTTCTTTGGGACTGTGCAGATCAGCCTCCCAAGCATATAAATTTTGGTCAGCATATTGCTTCAAATGTCCCCAGCCTTAAAGATTTCCGTGAACAATCAACTAATCTTCAAAATGGAATATCTACTCTCAAAGCACTTTCTTCTGCCATGCTTTCATTGCAAAGGTGTTTCTCTATTATGACTTTGAATTAATAATGATATTATATTCCTAGGCAGGCAGATTTATGTTGCTCCTAGAAAGGCCAAAACGCGAACAGAACCAGAAGCAGGGGTCTAGTCATGGTTCTGGATGTCTTGGCTTTATGGGGGCAACAAGACTACCTGCCTGCACTATATTCGTTTTGTACTATTCCTAGAGCAGTTGTTATCTCTCAGCTGCGCATTTAACAAGTTCCCTTTGTCAATTGCATAGTTGACTACTTGTTGGTATGTTTCGGTTTGGTTGAGGTAGTGTCATATGCTGACCATCTTTAGTTTTCTGTGCAATTGCTTCCCAGATGTGAATTCAAAACAAACCATGAAGAGTGGGTCAATTCAGTTAAACCCAGGCTAGGACCTCAGACGGCTAATTGTGTTCTTACAGCAGTAAATACTTCATTTGAAAACATTAAAACTCTCTACAAAGTCAGAAGTGAGATGCGAGCAGCCCTTCAAAGTCTCTTAAAGGTAGTTGATACTGTTCTATCATACTGCATCTCATGTTGCAAGTGTACTGGGCTCCATAATTTTCTTGGTTAGCATTTTCTTTATGGTTGTTGTGGTGGTCAGTAATCAGTTTTATGTTCTTTCTTTTTACAGCTCCACACTGATGTTGCCGTATTTACATTCTATTAAATTATCCTTTGACCAACTTTTTTATTGATGTTTCTTTTTGTTTCACATTGTACCCCAGGATAACTAGAATTACATGTTGTGAGAGAACTGTTTTGACAATTTTCTGATTGATTTTATATCTTCTTGTTCTTGTTCATCAGAACTGTTGGGATTTTGCAGTAGATGAGATGAGATTTAGGCTTAGGAAAAAAATGCAAAATTGGTTGACTTAAAAAAAGATTATTCTTACTACTTGTTTCATGTTCGCTCTGCCATGGCGCTTGTTTGATGTGACATCCTCTTGCTCCTTCCATAATTCTGTAACATTGATTTGATGTCTATTGTATCTTTTGCATTCCAGGATGATGGTATATTGATAATTCCGACAGTAGCAGATCCTCCCTTGCCAACAAACTTAAAGAAGCGCTCCTCTGCTGAATTTTTTGACAGAACACTTGCATTGATAAGTATCTCGAGCATGTCTGGATGCTGTCAGGTAAACAGCCTAGATTTGCTATGCCACATAGATTTCCTCTTTTAACTTCTTTGGTGAGTCCAACTCACACTCTTCCTGTTTTCTAGGTTAGCATTCCACTGGGAAAACATGATGGCTGTCCCATCTCCGTCTCATTTATTTCATATCATGGAGGCGATAAATTTCTACTCGATTCAGTTTTAGATATGTATTCATCTCTTCAAGAGCAAGTTACAGTTGCTTCTAGTTCATTACCATTTGCAGATACAAATGGTAACCTGGATACATCTGAACTGTTAAAAGAAAAGGTTTGTTTCATCTATCATATGTATCTTTGAGGAATAACTTGGTTATTCCTATTTTGTTTTGTTATTTTTGGTTGACAGCAAGTTGAGTTCTTTCAATACAATTTATTTGATGGCAGCAACATTTACGTAAGTGCCTAGTGTTGGTATTAAAATAGTGCTTGCCCTTGATATTTTGAGCGATCTTCCATCAAATAGGTAGCCAAACCTTTGGACGTTATGAGGATGCTTTTCTGGAACTTTGTCTGCAACTTAAATACACACGTTTCTCTGTCTTTTCTATTTTTATTTTTTGATGGAATGGCAAATTCATTTACTAGAGTTGTCAGCATTTTTCTGTCTTTACCATTGACGCAACCATGTTAAAAGTGGATACATTTAAACTGAACCATGTGAATGTTATCTAAACTTTGCTCATGTGGTTTATTTGTGCAATATTTTGCAGGGTAATGCTGCATATAAGGGACACCAGTGGAATAAAGCTGTAACTTACTATAGTGAAGCTATCAAATTGAATGGGACAAATGCCACTTACTATTGCAACCGTGCTGCTGCATATTTGCCATTAGGATGGTAACTGAGTATTTTTGTTATATCTCAGCTATCTATATTGACTGGCACTTTATCTATATTTCTTCCTGCTAACCACCATTGACTTTCTGCAGTTTTCAACAAGCTGAAGAGGACTGCACCAAGGCAATCTCACTGGATAAAAAGGTAGAAGATATAGCATGCATAGGAAGTCGTTTTTTCTCTTCTTGCATCACTTGATTTCTTAAGTACCGTGCTGGGAATTAGATTAATGAATCAAGAGATAATGTACCCTTCACCATTTACCTCAATTTCTCAAGTCCACAGTTGATAGGAATTAATTTCACAAAGAACACAGTAGAGTTGGCTTAGGAGAACTTAAGTGGCCAATGTACCATCAATATCTATATGAGTATATGATATTATAGTAATTGATGAATTTCTGATATCTAAAATAGAAAGCTACTTGTCATGCCACATGGGTTTTTTTTGGGTCCATGCAGTTGCATGAGTTGGCATCATGAATGTTTGAGCTCAAGTAGGTAGGATTGTTATTTTCCTGAATGCTGAATCCTTTAGTTGGGGCTTGGAGATGGGATTAGATTGTCCTTGACTATGTGCTTGCAGAATGTTAAGGCGTATCTAAGACGTGGAACGGCTAGGGAGTCGCTTATGTGCTATAAAGAGGCTTTACAAGGTGCACAACCTAGACCTTATCCTAATGCGTGACATGTGACAATGCTTGATTCAATGGATCTGTGCAATGAGGAGTCACTTTTATTGTTTCCTTCCCAAACTAACAGTTTGCTATTGCCATCTACAGATTTCAAGCATGCTCTTGTTCTGGAACCGCAGAACAAGGCTGCTAGTGTTGCTGAAAAGCGACTCAGGGAATTGCTGAGTTGATATTAATGTGAATTTAAGCCTACCCATGAAGATGTGGCTGTTTTGGGTGATTGTGAATGAGGATGTTTACTGTTCTCGTTTAAAGGAACGGAGTGAAAAGAGGATGATGCTTTATGCTCAGGAAAGATTTTGCCACTGGTTCAAAACATGAATTTTTTTAAGCCTCTGTGGAGTAAGCAATGCGCTGTTATAATCAGATTATGCAAATTTTGATTCAAGACGAACCATCGGGGTCGCTCCCAGTCCTCGACTGCGTACTTATACAATACTTGAAGTGAGTTGTGGCTTGTATCTATACCCCCGATTTTCTGCTTCTTTAAGCTCATGAACTGTGGGGCCTCATGCCGTGATGTCATTTTCCTCGTGGCTCAATCAAGCATTAGCCTCTCTACTCATGTGTCAAATTTGGTGGCCGTTCCCGCAGTCGGCAGTCGACGGAAGAGCTTTCTTCCCTCTTATTTCATTATATGTGCGAATTAAAATGTAATCCGTGTTTCTTGTGATTTTTTTCTTCTCTATTTTCTTTTTCTCCTTGGGGCTTCGAATATAACGAAATATGAATTTGGGTTTCTGTTGCGAAAATCTTGAAGAGGAATGAACGAAAGGTAACGGACCTCTAAAACAGACAAGAGAACGTTCATCCTGTACCCATCCTAGCCTCATTTCGTTTCCTGGTAGATACGGTATAATAGGATCAAAATCGGAAAAAGAGGAAATAACAAAATTACTAACCAAAAAAAAAACAAAGAGAAAAGGAAATGAATCTGGAGCGCTATGCATAAAAAATAAAATTCATTCAAAACCACAATTCTCCTCCCAACGAACGGTCCCGAAACAACTGTACGAACCAAAATGTTTCTCCCCGCCTCGAACTTGTCCGTCTTTCCTCTAGCTCCCAAACAAGACAAAGACAAGGACAAAAAAAAATCCTCCGCCAATCACCCCTCCGTGTGACCCTGTCCTCCCAAGTAAATCCCTCCTCCCATGCACAGGCACACGCCAGTCGGTCCCCGCGACGCGACCTCCATGGAAGCACTCAACTCCCTCACCGCCATCGCCCCGCTCCTCCTCCGCAACCTCGTCACCTCCGCCTTCGTCTTCGCCGAAAACTCCTTCCTCAGCCTCGCCGAGAAGTACCGCCTCCTCGAGCTCCTCCGCTACCTCCTCCTCTCCTCCTTCCTCTTCTTCCTCCGCCTCCTCCCTTCCCTCTTCCCCTCCGCGGGCCCCGCCTTCCGCGACGGCTACGACGCCCCCCTCAAGCCCCCGAAGTCGTCCGCGGCGGCCGCCCCCTCCGGCGCGGGCGACTCCGGCATCGCCCGCGCGCTGTCGCAGCTCCTCGTCATCGTCAACAACGTCCCCGTGAGCTCCCGCAAGTACGAGGCCGTCCGGTCCCTGGCCGAGAGGCTCATCGATGAGAACCAGCGGGAGGGGGCCGAGGCCCTGCTCGAGGTCAATCGGACGGTTCTGTCCGCGGCTTTCTCGAGGACTCTCTACCAGCTCGAGGCCGCGATGATGGAGAGAGAGCGGCAGCGCGGCTGCGTGGCCGGCGGCGACGGCGACGGCGACGGCTCGGTGGAGTACAGGAAGAACCGGGTTCTGAGGGCGATTCGGTCGGTTCGGGATGTGGCTCGGCGTGGACGGGTCTGGTGGTCGAGCGAAGAACCGACCCGGTTGGGGAGCTCGGCTGAGAAGCTTGCCGCCGAGCTGGTTTGGTTGGCGCAGAAATTGGCGGCTTGCGGGTGCGCCGAGGATGCGGTCCGTAGGTGGGCGTCGGCTAGTAATTTGGCTTGGCTCGCTATCTCGGCGGAGCCGCGTCTCCAAGGTTCCCTAGTCAAGGTTTCTGGTAATCTCTGAACCTATTGTTCTGGCAATATTTGCTTGAGAATAAAAGAAGTTAATTTGACAGTGAACTTATCTAGCATTACAGTATCAACATCTCTTGAAAGAAAAATGGTTACTTTTCATTGGAAGGGCACGTCTGTGAGGTTTTCTCAATTGCAGTATCAACATCTCTTGTTAATAACCTCACTGTGGTTCAACGGGTACCCCATTTTATGCTTTAGATGGGGGAAAGAATTCAGAATTGTTACCGAGAGAAAAATTGTTTATCTGCACCAATTGGTTACTGTCTGTCAAATGGAGGCAGTAAAAGCTATTTAATAACTTTCCTACATCGTACACATTGGTAGAAGATATCATCAAAACGGCAAGAAAAGTCCATATTTTCTAAGTAGGCCTCATTGTGCACGATTGAGATTGATGGATCAAAGATGGGTCCTCCGGCTGGAGCCACAATAAGCACAGCAAGACTTCGAATAAGAAGAATGGATGATAGTTGAACTCGAAGACTGGTAGTTTTTACTTTCTTCCACTACTGCAAAGTAGCTACCGAATATTTTTGTAAATGCGGCTATTTACTAATGTGCACCAAACAGCTATGGTCGATGTCAACTTGATTTGCTTTGTTCAATATGAATGATTGATGGTCCGTCACTTTTCTTTGTGACCCTTTGTTTCATAAATAAGATACATTATTTAATCGTGTATGTTGAATATGACGCAAATACTTTGATCTGCCCTCTTGCTTCGACGCACTTCCCCAACCCTGTTGCTTTTTTAATAATCCCATCAGTTCCTTTTCTCTTCATACTTGTGTTTTTCTTTAGCAATCCATCTTCAGAGTATTCATCGAAATCTTTGGGAAAAGGATAATTGGGATAGGATTTAATTGCGATGAAAGAATCAGTGGTTGTTCTAGGATGCCTTTGTTGACCAAATCAATTGTCAAAGAAGACCTTTCTGGGCAAGTTACACCTCTTGCTTAGGCACCATTAGTTTTACAAAGAAGAGGATGGTAATTCCAATTTATTTCTTCGACGCATGCGTGAGAGTGTCGACCTTGACAATTTAAGCAACAATGTGTAATATTTGAATCGTTGACTTTTCTGCCGGCGTTTTGAGTCTGGTGGCTATCTCTGTGTGTGGGAATTTTCTCACCTACAGGTCAAGTTTGGTGGTATGTCAACTTCTGTAGTATACGCTGAATACTGATGTGCTGCTTCTGTGCAAGCAAATTATTAAGCCATTTTGTCAATTCAATCATTTTTCTTTTTCCATTGAGCGTCCTAGCTGAGAAAATGCATCCTATCGTATTGTGTGCCCGATTTTCTTCGGTAACTTTTAAGCACATAAACACTGATAAATTGTGAGAGAGCTGATTAATTTTTGAGGTTAATGTCCTACAACTGGGGAGGGTCTGCACTATATCCTGTTATTTCTATGAGGCAGTGTCATGATTTTGTCTTCGGGTATGTAAATTTGACTATGGCTAGGAAACATCAATTCCTGCAACTATATTTCTTCCTTTATTCTTTGTTTTATCTTAGCTCTGTTGTTTCATAATTTCACTTCAATTCCTTCCTTTTATCTTTAGCATTCCTATTCAAGCAAGCCAAGAACATGGGGCTGGACGAAATCGATGAAAGCAAAAAGGAGCAACAACGGCAGACAAGGATGAATATGTTGATGTCATGGTTGCCGCTGCTATGCAGAGCAAGCAATGGAACAGATGTCCCCGTTCTAAGCCTCAGCGAAAGAGCTGAACTGGAGAGGGTGTTGGAGGAAACCATCGAAATGCTGGGACAGGAGGAGGAGCAGGAACAAGTGCTCTCCCAGTGGCTTCACCACTTCATGTATTGCCCATCATCCGACTGGCCTAATCTTCATGCCTCCTTCACTCGCTGGTGCACGGCTTCTCGCAAGCTCTTACTTCTTCAGTGAATATGTAGTTGAATTAGTTTACTAAAAGAAGTTTCTTCACTAGCTAGAGGGTGCAAGGTGTATGGTATTGATACAGCAACAGCATTTTAAGGTATTATATGAAGTTATGTAATCTAAGCTTTGAGAATGGAAGAGAGCAAATGCTTCTCGTTGTAGATTGTACTATAATCTAGCAAATACAGCAGATAATATTCTTTCAATATGGAAAACTACAGAAAAGTATTCTCATATATCATAGAGATAATGACTTTCACCCTATACTGCGATAAAAAAGCTCAGTGGAATATGATGTCCGAATTATCAAGAACGGGAAAGCTCAAGTCACAGAGAAATCTCTGTTGCGTAAATGTCAAACACTTCGGATGATGATAGTTGAACTTCCTGCATGCAAAGTGCGAAGGTGAGCTCAATGATTATGGTCATAATGAATGAAGTACTTAGGCACAATAAAGTCATTTGTATTGCAATTTTTACCCTCATGATGGCATTTGCCACAGTTCTTAGTGGGCATATTCTCAATTATTTCATTTGGGTTGCCAGTTTATTTGTTTTCCCTCTGGATTTTAATAGACACGTTTTCAACATTGATGCCATGTGCGAAATCAACGACTCACGGTTACTCAGCAACAAAGACAACGCACATTCATCTCCCGTGAAGTTTTGAGAGCTGTGCAAGATAATCTTGATCATTTCTCCAACAGCTAAAGATCTTAGCAGTGCCTATCTTGGTGCATGAACAGACGTAGACAAGTAATGTGCCTTGCCTTTTTCCCAGACTAATGATTTAACCCTCATCGCAAAATGTTCGGCAACATATGTTTTCTTCTGGGAAGTCATGTGGTTCGCTCATTTAATTGTGTAATTGTTGTGAACACCAACAGGCTATAGATAAGTCAACACTGACACTCTGACTAATGGGTTTCCCCTGGGCCACAAAAGAACTCTCCTCATCAAAACTTGAATCTGATCGGGGTAATTTCAGGTGCAAAGCGACTGTAATTATTTAGAATGATTAGTACCTGAGTCAAACCAGCACCAAGCACCTTGTTAACAAGGGATGCGATTGGACCCTTAAGACGTACTCCGGTGCTGGCCTCGCGAATCGTATGACGCATGGCGTTCAGTAGATGGCCGTATGTGAGTTCATTCCCATTTTGCATTGCTTGAATGAAGCTGTATGTCATGGCACCAGTTGCCGTGCTACCTGATAACGCCTGCAGAGACAGAAGTGAGATGCCACATACATTGCCTGTCGATGCAATGGAATCGACCTTTTTCAATGTCCTGATCCGTTGATTAATGGCGGTTCATATCTGGAATCAATCCTGGAACTCAAGTCTAAAACAAGCATCATAGAAGGAACTTTTCATTTATATCACTTCATCCTAGGACTCATATTGGCCAAACTAAATGAAAAAACTCTAGTACTGAAATCCAACGACGCTTCACAAGAAAGTTGCTTTGGGGTTGATCATCTAGCACTTACCATTCTTGTGACGGGATGTTACCTGAGGGGTTGCTGTAACAGGTCAACGACTGCAGAACGGAAAGTCCAAACCGGAATCTCACTCACCGTTGTGTCCGCAGAGCTCTGGTTATCATCACAAGCGCTAATAGAGAGGGCTAGCCCACCTCCTGTGCCTTTATAAGCAGCTGAGACGCCTCTCTGATCTTCCCATCTGTAGGTACCTTCTCTACACAAAGATAGTTGATACTCAGTTTAGTCAGCTTGGTGCAATGGAAAGTGCAATAACCATATTCTCACTGTCAACAGAGACGTGAGAAAGTTCGCTGACCGGTTCATCCTGCATAAAAAGGGTAGATCGAGCATGGTTCCGCTGTAACAGGCATCAATTACAGCGTGGAGTTTGGCTCCTCGAGGCAGCGGTCTTACAATGGTGGTGTTAATTTCATCGTCAATTATCTTCCCTGCAATCTCATAATCAACTGGGCAGAGAGATTCATCAAACCCATCGATTTCGTCCATATCATAATCGCGCTGTCTTGAGCCATGGCCAGAGAAGTGAAACACCAATGAGTCACCAGAGTGGCAATCATGGACCAACCATCGCATGGCCATGAGGATGTTGTGCTTTGTTGGGATCCTGAGTGGATCAGTCTCTTCTTCTGTGCACAATTTGGGTTGTTACTGTTAGCAATACGAAATCAAATTAAGACTATGTCATGTAATGCGCATCTTTGGTATGGTTTTTAAGCTCATGGATATAACTCGGTGGGTTTCCATTTAATTGAAGAGTGTTGTTAAATGGTCTGGTCAGCCATATGAAGGATTAGCTATTAAGTACATGGAGTCGGAGGAAGATAATATTATATGCTGGCGGCGAACTCCCTCAATGAGATAAAACTCCTAGAAGATGGAATAACTTAAAGACACAGGCAAAAAGAACAGAACAGAGGAAGTTCTGTAGCTCTGAGATTGAAGATATGATGAATTAAACAGTTGTAACTGGTCCAAATCACTCATAAATAAGAGGTTCACAGAGAGAGAGAGAGAGAGAGAGAGAGAGAGAAAAAGAGAGGGTAAACCAACTCCGAGCTACCTGAGAGAATGAGTATGGAGTCATTTTGAAAGCCCATCTTCTCGACCAGGAAGTAGTGCATGCACCTCACGTCGTTGACACTTCCTTTGAGCTTGTACCTCTTTCCTCTATAGGTTACTCCACAAAGCAAAGCACGCTTCCTGCCATGGACTGAAGGAGGCAGCAGTGGCAGAGACGGAGCAGGAGAATAATAGCCACAGTTTGATGCGTATGCTCCAGGAGAGTTGCCGGTCGATTTGGCTAGAGAATTGATGTTGTTTGCGACAGTGCCAACGAGCCCTTTTAACAAGTTAGCTGCACGGTATAGAGAATTCTGAGCTTGAGTCAGTGGAGGAACGTAGAGGTTAGTTTTGGTGACAGACAGGCACACGGCACACTGAACTGCTTGCGCCTCCGGCGGCACCACAAGTTGCACACCACACCAACTGCATCTCTCTCTCCTATCTGCCATTCGATATCTCAGAGACTACGGTTGGTATGGGAAAGCAACTATCTGAGGATCTAATTAAAGGCTAGCAGCACACAGATGCCAATGAATAATACTTCACGTGAATGAAAGTGTCGAATTAAGAGAAAAAAGAGCGAGGAGAAAGTTGACTCATTGAAATAATCGGGCGAAGTTGAACCAGATTCTATTCAAAGTTGTCTTTGATATTATTGGCCAAATTCTCTTAAAAATCTCCAACTTTAGCTCGAGTCTCAATTTTGACAAAAAAAAAATTCTCACAAAAACACCAACTTTAGGTCTGAATCCAATTCTAGCCTAAACATCTTGTTTATCTCATTAAAAAGAACCAATTTTAGGTTAGATCTCAATTCTGGCCTGAACTTTCTTCTGAATAGAAACTACCTAGGGATTTGCATCCTTGTAGTGTAGAGGAGTACATTTATTAGAAAAGATCACCCTTTCTGTTTCCTTCATTCACTTTAGCCTTATTGAGTCATGTCACGGATTGCGGCGAATCAGATTCTTGCTTATCGTTTTTTTCTTTGTTCTTTCTTGTATATGGTCCTGAGGTCAAGGGAACCAGGGACAGGTTCTTATTCTACTACTTGGTTGTTTGGCACTTGAACCTCATAAAAATGTCAAAGACCTTCATGGTAACGCCTTAAGGCATCAATGGTGGGAAAAACTGAGCGGTGTATAGAACTTCCCGCATGAACAAGCATGGACCTCCTTTCACTCAACAGCTCCTAGATGTGTTTTTTGAGCGATTCTCGTTCTTGGCATGAGTCCCTTCATAATTTGAGGAATCTTCCTAAAATGCAAGTCCTCCTTGCATGTCTGAGAACCATCTGTATAGTACAGACAGAAATTTACATCTGAACATCATTGCAGACCCGTGCGCAATTTCTACAGCCTCCTTGTCATATCTCAAAAAGCTTTTACCATCTCATAATGAAGTACAAAGGATCGAGAAAGAAACCAGTTACAGAATGTATGGGATCTTATGCTCATCCGTTTCCTTTCATGCCTCATCATCTACCATACGTGACAGATGTTCACATTGTTATTTCCTTCCATCACAAAATCTCCACAAAAGCATTTTTTGGTTCCTGATAAATATCCCACCATCCATCCCAGAGTATGCTGTACTGAAGACATTTCCCTCTCTATAGCTCGATCTTCCTATTTTCAATGTCTGTCATCTCAGAACAAGATAGCACAGGTTCCTGTAGAATTCAATTACAAGTAACTCAAAATCATTCTACGGAAATTTAAGAAATTAAGACTTCAAAAACATCTACTAATGAGACCTGCTACCATATTCAAACACTGGCTTCTTTTCGATTGACTAGTACTTAATGCACAAATTTGGCCGAGATTCCACATCTCCAATCTCCAATCCTATCTTATCACAATTGCACCACCTTTTGCCTTTTATTGAGAAGACAACCCCATTTGTTTCTTTTATTTTCTTGAAAACTTTGTGTCCCGCCTGTCATCTTTTCTGAGATCGGCAAACTCCAAAATGATGGTAGATATGTGGTTGACATGGCGATGATGATCTCAGATATTCCAAATGCTTCTAATAAACAGAAACATCAGGTCCCTTTGACACCTAATAATCTCTTCTTGAATCAAGAATCATGGCAAGATATATCCTAGATTCTAGGATGAATTATGAGATTCCATTTCAGGTCGCAATTATATTGACTCAATATTACATTCAGGAAGGGAAGAAGATGACCTGTAACATTTTGGCATGAAACAACCTTGATAGGATAGGACTATTTAAGCAATTAGATTTGTTAGCTGCATCGATGACATCTTGCATCGCTTTCAATAGTTGTTTATATGTAACCCCAGGTTTTTCCTGAATAGCTTGGATGAAGCTTGAGGTCATGGCACCACTCATTGTCTTCCCGTAGAGAGCCTGCAAGCAATGATTATTATTGAAGAATCTCCAAAGAAAATATTAGTATATTGATGCTGTTAATATCAAAAAACCAGAGAAGCTTAAACTTGCTAAACTGAGTACGCTTCATGTTTGAATCAAGATTGTTGTCAAATTCACAACTTTTGTTGGCACTAGGCACTGTTCTTCTGTGGAAGGGTTAAATTTCTTTCACATTTCATGCAAATCTACCTAGGACAAGGCGTATTCATATAATGAGATCTGGTTGTTGCATGTTGCAGGTGCATGTGCGCCCACATTGAGGGGTGGATGGCTGAACTCAACCTCAGTTCATCCGAACACATCTAGTTCAAGTCCTAGATGGAGTATCGTCGTTTTCCTACTGATATACAGGAATCTGAATGACTTCATGATGTAAAGAATTAGCTTCTTATCCTTTCATGCAACACTTTATCCTTTTTTCACATATTAACAGACAAGGATCACTGATTTTCCTAGTAAAAATTTCTGGAGACATTTGCATAATAGCCAGGGAAACAAACTAAAGAGAGCAACAGATGGCATATTTTTTACATGTAAAAGAGACATGACTGTCAAAAGGGCATATATCTTACAGAAGTATCAGCAGCCAGTTCCTCATCCGCACAAGCACTTAGACAAATGGCAAGTCCACCATTTGTTCCCTTATATGCACCCGACGGAGGCCTATTATCCACCCACTGACCTCTGTTTCTCAGAAAATTTCCTCAGAAATTAACATTAGATAATCTTCTCATAGTATAAGCATGCTAATTTCAAATTGGATAGGACCATTTTAGGTACTTTGCCTGCCTTCTTATGTTTCCACATAATAACTCGCACACAGACAATTCATGGTTGTATGCATGCACATAAGTGCGTTCAGCTATGTATGCACTTTTTTTTCTCAGGCATTAAAGTACCGATCATATATGAGAAAACCCTAACAAGGAGGTTTATGATGCAAATATAGTAGACCAAATTGCACAATGAATTCAGTGCATCGACATAAAACACAAAGTGCAACTATCCAGCGATGTTTTATGACAACATAAACATTTTTATCAAGTTAAAGTTGAAAGACTCACTTTTTAATGTCGTATACATATGGCAGATCTAGGACAGTCCCACTATGACAAGAATCCACTAGCGCATGAAGGGTTACCCCTTTCGGCAGCGGACGAACAATTGTGGAGTTTATTTCATTATCGAGGATGACGCCTTCTGTGGTAAAATCAACCGGACAGATGCTTTCATCAAATCCATCCAACTCATCGCCATCACTTTCGGGATGCCGTAAACCGTGCCCTGAGAAGAAGAAAACCATCGAGTCCCCTGACCTGCAATCCCTGATAAGCCATTGAAACGCGTCCAGAATGTTCTTTCTTGTTGGTCTTTGACACTCCTCCTTCTCCTCTTCTGCAATTTAGGACATATCCAATTGTGATTTTATCTGGTTTTGGCGGTCCAACCCAGCTCATGGCGGAATGGCACAGCCAAAAAGCTATTCTATCAAGCTCCTCTCTTGATTGTCCTCTTATTTTCCTCAATTGATTGTACATTTCTTGTACATGGAGATACTTCAAAAAGTAACTAAAAATTTCTCCAAGAAATAATTGTGTTTTAACAAGCATAAGCACTGATTTCAGGAATCAATGACCAAATTAGCATGCATTTGAATTCGAAGCTAGATATAAAGAAAAGGACAGGAAAAGAGTGCGAAAGACATGAAAAGAGGGCAAGGCAACCCGCGAAAATGACTGAACAAGCAGTACCTCATACATTGCAAGTGAATATAAGAATGCCTTAACAAGTAAACAGCTGAAGTAAACGCGTGTTGTAGTACCTGTGAGGACTCGGATGTTCTCCTCCAGAAATCCAAAGGTACGAATCAACAGTTCCTTCATGTGCTTCACATCATTAATAGTTCCCTTGAGCTCATACTTCCTCTTCTTGTAGCTCACCCCACAGAGAACAGCACGCTTCCCTGGATGCGGTTTCGACGCTGATGTCATACCACTTTCGGGAACAGAGTAGCGATTCGAGGAATTACCATTGGAGCTGGAGCTACTTGAATTCCTGCTTTTGAACTTACTGCGAAGCTTTTCCTTGAGGATACATTTGGCCTCCATGCTTGCTGGTGGCCTGACATCATACCTCGTGAGTTTGATGAGATTATGACAACAAGGGCAGTGCATTGCCTTTGAAGTCCATATTGGCCTCATCTGGTTTTGGCACTGGCTGCATCTTATGTAACGACTATCCGTTGTGACCTGCGACATTTTTGCCAGTTTCGGGTCTAAGCACTCAGACAATTCAGAAATGGAGCCTAGACCAGGATGATGTTTCTCTGTGGGACGGCGACAGGAGATATCAACCAAGGAGTTCTGGAATTTAAGTGCTGCAAATTGCCTTGCTTGTAGAATTTATACTTTTCTTCTGACGAGTGCACACCGGAATTTTATAACATCATGGACTTTATAATCATATGCTTTTCACACGGAAGCACTTCCATGAATACATTCACCGTGTCTGTACGAGCATTTTCCACGCCACTAGATTGACAATCAACATGATGAATCACATCGCAACCTTTTACTGTCAATGGTGCTTCCTTGACAAATGATGTTCGACAATTTAGACAAAGCTGAAAAGGTGAGATCTTGTCCTCTGATTAACAACCAGTTCCACCTCGGGTGCTGTTAGTAGCATAAGTGAATCCATTTTTTTCATCTTATCATTCAAGAACTTGTAGAAACATTCAAGCTTAAGCAGATGCAGCTACTAAATTTCCTACGTCACTTTTTCTTTAGCGTCTTCTGCTATGAACAACTCCTTATCATGAACATGGATGGTGATTGTGATTCCATGGCATGTTCTCTTGCCTTCTCTGTTCAAGCAACAGAACTTTTCCCGTGAATGGCATTGTAAAGGGAGGCAGCTAAATCTCATCTTTCATATATATTAGCAGTTAAACCCCTAAAAACCAGTACAGCAAATCTGTTTGTGAATGTACTTGAATTATGGGGTTAGAACGCTTTAAGGATTTTGTGTTGATTAACTTTAGCAATATTAAAACTAAGAATATGCCTCTCGTTATTGTCTTTTTTCCATTATTCTTTGATTTATTTCCATGTTCATGTGTTTTTTTTTTTTATTCTCCCACAAATAAAGAGAGAATCTGATGCACCACCCTTTATTCAGTCGGTCTCTGATCAAGATCTGTGGGCTCATCATCCCCCTTTTCCCCCGCAACTAGATTCTCGCTCATTGGAAGACTAGAGGTGATTATTCTCTGTAAATTTGCCGGCAAATTCCTTTCCATAGGAAGAGGAGAAAAGGCCAATCGAAGAACGAAAGTGCAAGAGCCATTGAGGCAGCTTTACCTTCCTTATCTTTTCTTGAGTTCAATGAATATGGAAAATCGAAGGGCGTAGCGATGTCGGCTGCAAGAGTCAAATACAAACGTGCAACATTTCACGGGGAAAAGGGAGAGTGATATACCGAAGCAAATCCTGCCAGTACATGTCATCTTCACTTTCCCATGAATAAACATTCCAGAAGTAAGCCTTACCAAAAAAAAAAACATTCCGGAAGTAAGCAGAGACCCTGAATTTCCCAATAGATACGAAGTCCAACGGTCACCTAATTACATTTAAAATCTCACCTCCACACCCAGATACACAAGCTTTTCAGTCCACCAGGATGAAAAAGGTTAAAGAGAAAAAGAAAGGTGCGACACGACGGATCACAAAATTCAAACAACCGACACTTGGATATCAAAACAGAAATAACAAGCTTCTAGTTGTTGTAGCGCATCAGACCACTAAAATAGATATTATGAACGTTGTTTCTCTGGCACCTTGAGCGAAATGGTCGTATGATGTTAAATGGTCAAAAAGAGCCTCAGCTGGTACTTGTATACTCGCCATGAGTTATTTGTATTCCTTTTCACCCTGCCGCAGCGTGGAAAGGGCCACTAAAAATAATTGACATCCAACTGGGGGGAATAAACCTCATGTCTTAGCAGTCGCAGCACTTACCAAGTCATCAAACATGATACTACACTAATACAAGCCCAAGTACAATGGCGACCACACCATTAAAATCATAACCAATCATAAAAACTGAACAGAAAGAAACAAATGAGCTATGTTAAACCTTCCAAGAGGGGGCTAAAACAAGGGGACAGAATTGTATACAGATTTCCCAATACATAACATGATCTGAGATTTGAGATTAAACCCTTAATATTCGGGGGGGGGATTCTGCCAATAGATAAGGCATTCATACACACAGAATACACAACATTAACTATATATACATTACACCAGTGACTTGACAGGTCAGAAACAAGTAAAGCAAATACATTTGACTGCTCAAAAATGGTAATCGCAGATAATTTCCCTGTTGGATCTCCAGTCTGCATTACCCTGCCAAGCAATTTAAGCAGTATACGTCAGTGGACTGAACACTCATAAGTCATAACCGTATGACTCCAGCAAGAAAATGGATAAAGGACCAGTGGACAATTAACTGGGAGGAGCTCGTCCAAAAAGGAGCCAACACCAGAACAGATAATATTACCGATCATAACTGCAGCTGGCCCACAGAACAGGATGATTGTGAAGCCAGCTCAGACATGGCCTCAGTTCGAGGCAAAACCACTGTCCAGTAGATTGAGTTGTCCAGAGATTTTAGCTTTGCAGGTTGGGCACATAAAACCAACCGACTCTGATGGCAAATCTGAATCAACAGCATCATGCTTAAACTCTACGCCGCACCACATACAAGCAGTAGTAAGCTGCTGTCTTGCAACCACATCTAACATCACTTCTTCTGGTCCAAACCGAACAGGAGAAACATACTGCTGCTCTATGTCAGCATTATTTGGCATTTCTACCGGGACATCTGTCAGGGGATCTTCTGCCGTTACCAAATCATACTTCATAGTTTCCTCTTCATCATATCTCATCTCCTCAAATGCTGCAAAGTCATAATTTCTCTGTTCAGCAGCATGGGGATCACTCTCCTCCTGACAAACGATTTACACAAAAGAGGATTCATCATTACACGACAAAAAATGAAGTGTCCTACCAAAGAACCAGGCAGCTGATTAACAGCCCGTGACAACTTTGCATCAAGCATGTGGAGAGTATGAACTAGCTGAGCCCACAGCCACAGAGGAGTCTATTTGGCATTTTCAACTCGGCAAAAGCATTTTCAACTCGGCAAAAGAATCAAAGTTTGCGTAATAAACAAAAGAAAACTACAGCCGCCAACTACAGTAAACAGATGCCGAACATGGAGTTGCGTATCATAGAATGTTGACCAAACCAAGTCAGCAACGTGAAGGATTTTAATTGGCCTTAAACCAAATCAAAGACCGTTATTGAGAAGTCTAATTTGGAAAGCATAGAATAGGAACTAAGAACTCTCATTTGCATAGTAAGATCAAAATAAACACGAGACTGAACAATCCATCACTGCTTCATTGATGACATCATCCAACAAATGAAAGTAATCATGGTAAGAGCACCTTGGAGACTGAATCAGGAGCTTCGTCTTCATCAAAGGTACTCTCAAATATCTGCTGCATTGTCTTGATCACATGATCACTGGCTTCATTTTTCCTGCTTCCCAATGTACTTTCTAGCTCTTTCCCATCACTCTCGGGAGGATCTAAGTTGCTAGCCAAACTTTCAGCATTTTTACAATTTGCAATACTATTATTATCATTCAGTAGGACGGGAGAAATTTCAGGTCCTTTTTCCTGCAAAATACCACATTTATCGCTACTTGCTTGAACTGCAAATGCCTGATCATCTTCTCCACCAGATGTCTTGGATGTGTGACAAATTTCTTCAATAGCTAATTCGATTGTAGTACCAAAATTAGAGCTTATCTTGACATCTACAACATCGCCGCAGTCATCAAACTTCCCTTCCTTATGAGCATCCATATTCCGACCATCTTCATCAGTTGACTCTGGTTCCATAGCTTCCTCACTGGAGTTTCTTTTTATTCTTGGTTCACCGACAGAAGGACCAAAGTCTATCCAAGGGCCAGTATTAGTTTCTGTTACAGCATCAACTTTCTCCTCATTAAGTCCATCACGATGACAATTGTCAGACAGTTTATGATCATCTACGACAGGAGAAGTTTCGAGAATTGAACTCTGTGCAATTTCAATGAGAGCATCCATTTTAGATATCTTCAAAGGTAGAACATCCCTGCTTGAAGACTCAATGTTCTTCTGAAGAACCACCTGTCCAGGCGTTTCTTCCACTCTTCTAACATAGTTTCTCACATGGATTCCCACATGACCATTATATCGACGCCTTTCATCAAATACCTTATGGCAGAATTGGCATTCGTATTTTCCATCTTTCATTATTACTCCATCTCCTACAGATGAACCAAGCCTATACCTCCTTGTTGTCCTTTGGTGGAAGGATAGCAGATGTTGCAGATACGCATCCTTCTCATCAAAAGTCATGTTGCATTTATGACATTCGAAAAGGTCGAGTATTTGAACCTCCGCCAAATTGTCAATTCCAAGCAAATTAACCTCCTGACCATGGTCATTTGACAGAGACGGAATAGGCTTACTCATTCTGCTAATGTTGCCAGGGCTTTGGCTACTGTCCTTATAGGTAACGCTTGCATGCTGAACATATACAAGAAAATATTTATCAGTAACATAGAAAACCAGCCTAATGCATAAATTATATACTCAAGTGTTCAGAACCCACTTTGAAATCGTGCTGAATATCATTGGTTCTTTGACTCGCTGGCCTGCATGCATCTTTAAGCCCAAAGTGCGCACGAAGGTAGGAAGAAACCTCCTTGCATGATATGAATTGTTGACCACTTGGGCTAAGAAAAGCATATAACATTGGAATAATGTGAGACCAGCAAAGAGAAGAGCAAGTAAATGGCATAACAAAAGGGCTTCACAATTACTGACATAAACTTGCAATAAAACTTATTAATAACCAACAGAAGCGAAACGAAAACTTTATGAGACACGAGAACCGATGAATGTCTTGAAAACATAGTTGTCAGATCAACAGTAAACCAACTTAGATTCTTCGCGAACTGAAAGTACAGTGCGCATAGTCAGAAAACTTGAAATTTATAAGGTTTCTAATTATCCATAAAGTGCCTATACTTTGTAATCCTAAAATGCAAGTTGAGATCCAGCAAACTAACATGCCCAAAACTTCCCTTGGCAAACCGGAAGATGTGGTAGCAAACTATAGCGGAGCAACCTCCGGACAATTAAGCCTAGTGGGCTAACATCACATTCTCTTTTATAGGAAAGTAAGCAAGCCAACAATTGCAATAACGAAAAAGGAAAGACACCTTATATATCGGCGGCAAAACACCGAAGCGCGTCCCTCTTTTCTCTTGAGACCAAGCAAGAGCTTCCACCCAACTGGCAATGCATCCCCTAAGACACATGCATCGACAATCTTCCTCCTTTTCCTCCTACTGCCCCATTGCCCTCCCAAATCCCTCAGAAACCCTAACAACTCCTCCTCTGTCACCAAACCTTCCGTCCTTTTCCTCAATTCTTCGGCATAAGGATCGTCAGCACTCGCCAATGACTCAATGTCAACCACCGCTCCATCCCTATTCACAATTTCTAACCCCATTTCACTTCCCTCCACATTCACCTTCACCTTCGGCTTCCTTCCTCTCTTCCGCTTCCTCTCGTTGCCGAAACTCATCCAATTCATTGACTCCCTCACGGGGCCTAGTGGTGCGGGCAGCGAGGGAGGGGTCAAATCGATGTGACCGAAATTAGGATTAGGGTTTTGAGAAATGAAATGCTTGAGATAGCTGATGATCGTTCTGTTTTCGTGGCGTTCCGGATCGTCGGCGGAGACTGGAGGGGGTTTCGGAGTGGGGAGAAGACCGGGGAGGCGGTTGCGATGGTGGTGACCGGTCGTGGTGGCGGATGTAGCGGCGGTGGCGGGGGATTGGGGCTTCGGGGGACGAGAATAGGTCTGGCGGCGGGAGCCGGCGCTCTCGTTGAAGATAGAGCGATCGATCTTTGGGCAGAGGAGTTCATCGGGGAGGTGGGCGTCGACGGCGGAGGAGGAGCGGAGGGAGAGGGCGAGGAGGTCAGATTGGGTCATCTTGGTCATGTCAACAATGTCAGAGAGAGAGTCGACAGTTGGGATTGGCGGCTGTTGGGAGATGGTCGCCGGAGAGGCGGAAATTGTCACCATGGCGGCGGCGGCCGGTGGCGGCGGCGGTGGCGGCGGTAGGCGAGTGCAGTGACTTGGCGAGGACTGAACCAACTTGGCAAAGCACTTGAGAGAACGAGTTTGAGCTCCGTCAACTCGTGGCAAGAAATTTACAAAGTAGGACACCAAGTGAGGCCCAAATACTAAGGGCCAGGCTGGTGTAGCCCACCAATCATGGGCCAATTTGGGCCCATTTGCATTGGCCCATTGTCCATGTGTATGCGAAGATCAGTCCAATAAAAAATTCAAATATCCACGCTATTATTTCAGGAAATTCCGACTCCACACATTCGGCATGAAAAATTTTCGAAAGAGGAGAGCGTGATGAGCAGAGAGCACCAGCCTTTTGAGACTGGCTCAGTCAGGCTTTTTACTGCTCCAGCCCGGAACTTTCATAAGACCTAAGCTTACTTGAGAATATTAATTTAAAATCTCAAATTAGGCACGCTATAATACAATTACTTTAAACTTTAATTATAAATTTGTACCCATGTAATATATATATCCTCCGTCAAAATTCAGTCAATGAAGACTATGACGCTCACTTGACTTAATTAAAATAAAAATTGACGTTGTTTTGACTGAAAAATCATCTGACAGAATTTTGATGAAGTTTTGGATATTTTATGTCACAAGAAAAAGTTTAGGGTAAATGTATCATAATATACTTAATTTGGGATTTTTAATATATGATATCGCACATGCGATACTAATAAAAGAAAAGACAAATATATCCTGGGAGCGTAACGAGAAGAGAAAAGATGAAAAAATAAAAAGAAACGAAACAGAAAATAATCCGACCTGCCGGATTCGAACCAGCGACCTAAGGATTACTATGAGGTGTACCCACTACAGTCCTCCGCTCTACCAACTGAGCTAAGGTCGGTTGTTGTGGGAGTCTCCCAAATTAAAAACCTAGATTCTTCTGTGACATGATTACGAGATAACCTCTACCCATATGCATACATAATATAATAACAGAAAAATAAATACGGAATCGGACCACAGATATCTCAACTCAAGATTGGGCTTTGACTCTGGCCAGATTATTGACGCGTCGGATTTCTTTCTCATTTATCTATTAAGAGATGTAATGGACTATGTTGTAAATGGTCAAATATACTGACTATTCAAAGGCTCGAATTAATTTGTCCCATCGCTGATAATATCGGTCATTGCGAATCATGAAGTGTTGGTCTACCTTACTTTAGCAATACAAAATAATACCTATAAACGTGGAGTACCGCCACTGTAGCAAGTGCTCCACTTCCAGGGTTGGTGCCAGTGCTCATCCTCACTTGCGTGTTGAAAGAGGATCACGAAGCCATCCACCACGAAGGCCCACGCTCTGTGCGTACCCCTTCCGGCACAGGGCCACATAAACCCCATGCTGAAACTGGCCAAGCTGCTTCATCACAAAGGCTTCCACATCACTTTCGTTCACACAGAGTTCAATCACCACAGGTTAGAGAAGTCCTTGGGAGAGGACGCTCTTCAAGGCTTGGACGATTTCAGGTTCGAAGTCATCTCCGATGGATTACCGCCCTCAAGCCCGAGAGGCATACTCGACCTCCCTTCCCTGTGCTTGACATTGCTGGTGGACGGCTTACGTTCGTTCCGTAAGCTCATCATGAAGCTCATGAATTCCGATGGCCCTCCTCCCACATGCATAGTTTCGGATGGCGTGATGAGCTTCACCTTGAAAGTTGCCCAAGAATTTGGCGTTCCTGAAGTGATGTTCTTCACTCCTAGCGGTTGCGGCATGTTGGGGTACCTCCACTTTGAAGAGCTGGTGAATAGAGGCTTATTCCCATTGAAAGGTAGGTGATATGCTTCCTCTATGCAAAACATGATTAGCTTCTCCATAGGATTGAATTCACATGTCGTCTAATTCATTCACTATGCGATATGAAATTGTAGACGAAAGCTGCTTAAATAATGGATTTCTCGACACGGTGGTCGATTGGATACCCACAATGCGGGGAATCCGATTGAGGGATCTCCCGACCTTCATCAGAACAGCCAACCCCGACGACATAATGTTCAATTACAATTCCGAGTCAATCAACAACGCATTCAAAGCCGACGGCTTGATCCTCAACACTTTCGATGATTTGGAAGTGGAGGTGTTAGAGGCCATCAAAGCCAAGTATCCACAGCTTTACACGCTAGGCCCGCTTCCCATGCTTCACCAACAGCTACTCCCATCGCCAAACTCGTTGGACTCCATACAATCAAGTTTATGGAAGGAAGACGGTGGCTGCTTGGGTTGGCTTGACGGAAGAGAGCCCGCATCAGTGCTGTACGTGAACTTCGGGAGCTTAATAACAGTGACCCAAGAAGAGCCGAGAGAATTCGATGTGGGGCTCGCCAACAGCAAAAGCCCCTTCTTGTGGATCATTAGGCCAGATGGAGTCAAGGGCGGGGAAGATGTGATTTCAGGAGAGTTCAGGGAGGAGATAAGGGACAGAGGACTGATAGTGGGGTGGTGCGCTCAGGAGAGGGTCTTGGGCCACGGCTCGATCGGAGGCTTCTTGACGCATTGCGGGTGGAATTCCACGTTGGAGAGCATGTGCGAAGGAGTGCCGCTCATTTGCTGGCCCTTCTTCGCCGAGCAGCACACGAACTGCCTGTATTCCTGTGCAAGGTGGGGGATTGGGCTGGAGATGATCCATGGCGGAAGCGATGGTTTGAAGAGGGAGAGGGTGGAAGGGGTCGTGAGGGAGCTGATGAAAGGGGAGAAGGGGAGAGAGGCGAGAGAGAAGGCCATGCAGTGGAAGAAGAGAGGTGAAGCAGCAACGAGGCCAGGTGGTTCTTCTTGTTGAAAATTAAACTTGATTCATGAATCTAGGTGCATTATTCTAAGATTGGTATTATCCATGTACTTCTTCCTAGGTGCATTGATGTAGTTCATGTATGTGTCATGCATTTAATTAGTCCATTAGATTTTCAAGATTCATGTACTACAAAGTTCTAGGAGTTTTATGAGGTCTTAATAAATGCATACAATGTACGAAGGGTCTTTATGTACCTATAAAAGGGCTTGCGATTGAATCATTTGATATAGCCAAGCCACAAAAATATCAAAGAGTATTCTAAGTATTCTCTTGTGTTCCTTTCTCTCAACTTCCCATTTTCAACAAAGTGGTATCAGAGCTATGGTTGAAGATGAATAGCTCTTTTCCTTATGTCATTCCCAAGCTTTCGAAACAAAATTATGGGCAATGGTGCATTCGCATGAAGGCATTGCTTGGCTCACAAGACGTGTGGGAAGTTGTTCAAAAAGGCTATGATGAACTAGAGGATGAAGCGGCTTTGAATCAAAATCAAAAGAACGCGTTGAACAAACTTCGTAAAGGTGATCAACATGCCCTCTCTATTATTCACATGGGCTTGGATGAAGCCATGTTCGAGAAAGTTGCTTCCGCATCAAAGGCCAAAGAAGCCTGTGATATTTTAGAAAATAATTTCAAAGGAATTGAAAAGGTGAAGAGGGTACGTCTTCAATCTCTACGTGGTGAGTTCGAATCTCTACATATGACGGGGTCCGAATCCGTTTCTGATTTCTTCACTAGAGTATCCTCCGTAACCAATCAAATGAGGCAATATGGCGAAAATATTGACGATGTTCGTGTTATTGAAAAGATTCTTAGATCGCTTGACTCAAAGCTTGATCTTGTTGGTGTTGCCATTGAGGAATCCAATGACTTGGAGACTATGACCCTTGATCAGCTCATGGGGTCATTGCAAGCATATGAAGAAAGATTAAAGAAGAAGGGAGAGACGGCGACCCAAGTACTCCAAACTAAGGTCTCTTTGGGAGATCAAATGAAAAAGCAAGAATGGTCTCATGGGAGAGGTCAAAATCATGGCCGTGATCGTGATCGTGGTCGTGGTCATGGCCATGGAGGAAACTTTGGTCGTGGTCGTGGAAGGAGCGGAGACCAACATTCCATCAATGAAAGGTCAAGCTTTCAAACAAGAGGACGTGGAAATTATGGCTACAATAGAGGTGAAAGAAGAAGGTATGATCAAGCTAATATTCAATGTTATTCTTGTCACAAATTTGGGCACTATGCTAATGAATGTAGGAGTGCCACTACAAAAAATGAAGTGAAGGTCAATTATATTGAACTTAAAGAAGAAGAAGACGAGACATTGTTGTTATTGGCAACGAATGAAGAAAGAGAGAAAGGAGCATGGTATCTTGACACCGGTGCCGCAAATCACATGAGTGGCAACATAGAGTCATTATCAACTCTTAATGAGGCGGTGAATGGCAACATCATCTTTGGAGATAATACTAAAGCCCCAATCAAAGGAAAAGGTGATGTCTTAATCCGTGCTAAAAATGGAAGTCATCTTTTGATATCTCAAGTTTATTATGTTCCTACTTTGAAGTCTAATATTCTAAGTTTGGGACATTTACTTGAGATGGGATATGATATTCACTTGAAAGATCGTTGCCTTCTTTTGAGAGATGATTCTCATAAGTTGATAGCAAAGGTGCCTATGGAGAAAAATAGAATGTTTTTGCTCAATGTTCAAGTTGATCATCCAAGGTGCTTGAAGAGTTGTGTTGAAGATACTTCTTGGCTTTGGCACTTGAGATTTGGCCATTTGAATTTTGGTAGCTTGAAGACTTTGGCGAATGAAGATATGGTGCATGCGTTGTCCAAAATCAATCATCCCAACCAACTGTGTGAAGGATGTCTTTTTGGCAAACAAGCTAGAAAAAGTTTTCCTAGGGAGGCCACTTCAACAGCATCGAAGCCACTTCAACTTGTTCACGCCGATGTGTGCGGACCCATCAAACCATCCTTACATGGTAAAGCCAATTATTTCCTACTCTTTATTGATGATTATTCTCGCAAAACATGGGTTTATTTTTTGAAAGCTAAAAATGAAGTTTTTGGAGCATTCCAAAAATTCAAGACTCTTGTTGAGAAAGAAAGTGGCTATTATATTAAAGCATTAAGGACCGATCGAGGTGGAGAATTCACTTCCGGGGAATTTGAAACTTTTTGTGACACCAAGGGGATTCGTCATTTCTTGACTGTTCCAAGCACTACAAAAAAACTGGATTTTTGCCACGAAAATTTGCGACGAAAAAATTTTCGTTGCAAATTTGCGACAAATTTTCCAACGAAAAGTAAAATTAGTTGGAAATTTCCAACGAAAAATTTTTCGTCGCAAAATTCGTTGGAAATTTCCAACGAAACAATTTTCGTCGCAAAGTTCGTTGGAAATTTCCAACGAAAAAATTTTCGTCGCAAAGTTCGTTGGAAATTTTCAACAAATTTTGCGACGAATTCAAAAAAACCCGGTATTGTTCGGCATTTTTTATATTCGTTGGAAAATTCGTTGGAAATTTCCAACGAATTTTCCAACGAATTTCCATTTTCCGGGCCATTATTTCAGTGTTTACAATTTTCGTTGGAAAATTCGTTGGAAATTTCCAACGAATTTTTTTTCGTTGGAAATTTCCAACGAATTACAAAAAAACCAGTTACTGTTCGGCATTTTTGATATTCGTTGGAAAATTCGTTGGAAATTTCCAACGAATTTTCCAACGAATTCCAAAAAAAACCCGGTACTATTCGGTATTTTTTATATTCGTTGGAAAATTCGTTGGAAATTTCCAACGAATTTTCCAACGAATTACAAAAAAACCAGTTACTGTTCGGCATTTTTGATATTCGTTGGAAAATTCGTTGGAAATTTCCAACGAATTTTCCAACGAATTCCAAAAAAAACCCGGTACTGTTCGGTATTTTTTATATTCGTTGGAAAATTCGTTGAAAATTTCCAACGAATTTTCCAACGAATTTCAATTTTCCGGGCAATTACTTCAGTGTGTATAATTTTCGTTGGAAAATTCGTTGGAAATTTCCAACGAATTTTCCAACGAATTTCAATTTTCCGGACAATTATTTTAGTGTGTACAATTTTTGTTGCAAAATTCGTGGGAAATTTCCCACGAATTTTGCAACGAAAACCCTACTTGTTCCTTATTTTCGCGCTCGTTATTCCCACAACTTTCAATTTCCACATTCACTCTCTCTCTCTCTCTCTCCTTCGCCTTCACCTTCTCCCTCCGTCTCCCCCTCCGCCTCCCCCGCCGCCCCCCCTCCTCCTCCGGCTCCATGGACACCAAGCCTCCAAGCCTCCGACGGCCCCGACGCCCCTGACGCCACCAAGCCTCGTCGCCGGCGAGGCTAGGAGACGACGACGGACTTGACGGGCGGCGGCCCCGAAGCCTGCTCCCGCCCCTGCTGCTGCTGCTGCTTCTTCTTCATCTTCGGCCATGGCGAGGGCCGAGCTCGCCATGGCCGGCGAGCTCGGCCCTCGCCGGCGACGAGGCTTGCCTTCGCCGGCCATGGCGAGGGCCGAGCTCGCCATGGCCGGCGAGCTCGGCCCTCGCCGGCGACGAGGCTGGCCCTCGCCGGCCATGGCGAGGGCCGAGCTCGCCATGGCCGGCGAGCTCGAGCTCGCCCAGATCTGGGCGAGCTCGGCCCTCGCCGGCGACGAGGCTGGCCCTCGCCGGCGGCGAGGGCTATTTTTCGATCAAAAAAAAAATTTTTGACCAAAAAAAAATTCTTTTTCGATGGAAAAAAAATTTCCACGATTTTTAACTCGACCAAAAAAAAATTTGTAATTTCCAACGAAAAAAATTCGTCGGAAAAAAAAAATTCGTTTCCAATGAATTTAGCCACGAGTTTTCCAACGAATTTTCCAACGAAAAAAAATTTATCGCAAATTTCCAACGAAAATTGAAATTTTTCGTTGGAAAAATTTCCAACGACTTATTACCAACGAATTTTTTTTCGTTGGAAAATTCGTTGGAAATTCGTTTTCCAACGGATTTTTCCAAATTTTTCGTTGGAAATTTCGTCGGAAAAAACAAGTTTTTTTGTAGTGAAGGTCTCCACAGCAAAATGGTGTCGTAGAGCGGAAGAACAGAACCATTCTCAACATGGTCTGAAGCATGCTTAGAAGCAAAAAGATGCCAAAGGAATTTTGGGCCGAGGCCGTTGCATGTGCGGTATATTTGTCCAACCTATCTTCTTCAAGAAGTGTTCGTGGCATGACACCTCAAGAAGCATGGAGTGGTAAGAAACTTAGTGTTTCTCACTTACGTGTTTTTGGAAGTATTGCTTATATTCATATTCCAAATGAGAAGAGATCTAAGCTTGATGAAAAAAGTGAGAAGTTTGTCTTCATCGGCTATGATCCTAAATCTAAAGGCTACAAGTTCTACAATCCTTCCAATGGGAAGATCGTGATTAGTAGAGATGCAGAGTTTGATGAAAATGCCTCATGGGTTTGGAATGTTGCTGAAAATGATGAATATGCCATTTGTCCTTTACAAGAGGGAGAATCAAGCCAAAGTACACATCAAGATGTTATTACTCCACCTCCATCTCCTACTTCTCAAGGTTCCCATGATAGCTCCTCTGAAGAGCCTGTGCGCAAAAGGAATCTTATCAACATATATGAAGAAACAGACGTTGTTGATACTCCAAGTTTATTTTGTTTCTTTGCTGACATTGAACCATTAAACTTTGAAGAAGCGGTGCAGGATGCAAAATGGAGAGATGCAATGGAGCAAGAGATTCAAGCAATTCAGAAGAATGGCACATGGGAAGTAGCAACCCTTCCTAAAGGACAAAAGGCAATTGGCGTAAAATGGGTGTATAAAGTGAAGAAAAATGCCGATGGAAAAGTGGAAAGAAACAAAGCAAGACTCGTTGCGAAAGGCTACAGTCAGAAGCATGGCATTGACTATGATGAGGTGTTTGCTCCTGTAGCTCGTTTGGAAACTATTCGTTTGATTATTTCCTTGGCAGCTCAAAATAAATGGAAAATTTATCAAATGGATGTTAAGTCCGCTTTCTTGAATGGCTATCTTGAGGAAGAAGTGTATGTTCAACAACCTTTGGGCAATGTTGTCAAAGGACATGAAGATAAGGTCTTGAAGTTGAAGAAGGCTTTGTATGGATTAAAGCAAGCACCAAGGGCTTGGTATAGTCGCATTGACAAATATTTTCAAGATCATGGATTCATCAAGTGTCCACATGAGTATGCTCTATATGTCAAAGAAGATCAAGCTAGAGGTTTTATGCTCGTATGTTTGTATGTCGACGATTTGATCTTCACCGGCAACAATGTAAAAATGTTTGAAGAATTTAAGAAGGTGATGGCTCAAGAGTTCGAGATAACCGATATTGGGCTTATGTCGTACTATCTTGGAATTGAGGTGAAGCACGTTGATGGTGGTATCTACATTTCTTAAGAAGCTTATGCAAAGAAAATTCTTGAGAAATTCAAAATGGAGAAATGTAAGCCAGTGAGCACTCCCATCGAATGTGGAGCAAAGATATCAAGGTTTGATGAAAGTAAGAAGGTGGATGCGTCTCTTTATAGAAGTCTTATTGGAAGTTTGAGGTATTTAACTTGCACAAGACCCGATATCCTCTATAGTGTTGGTCTTGTTAGTCGATACATGGAAGCACCTACCGAGAATCACATGAAGATGGCCAAGAGGGTACTTCGATACATAAAAGGTACTCTTGATTATGGTTTAATTTATTCTCCCGCTAGAAACTTCAAGCTTCATGGATATTGTGATAGTGATTGGGGTGGTGATGTTGATGATCGAAAAAGCACCACCGGTTTCTTATTTTTCTTGGGTGATACTGCATTTACTTGGAGTTCAAAAAAGCAGCCAATTGTGACTCTTTCAACTTGTGAAGCCGAGTATGTATCTGCTGCATCATGTGTATGTCATGCAATATGGCTAAGAAAGTTGTTGAAGATGCTTAACATGCCAGAAGAGGTTGCTACCACAATTTATGTTGATAACAAGTCTGCTATTGCTTTGGGAAAGAATCCCATTTTTCATGATCGAACCAAGCACATAGACACAAAATTTCACTTCATAAGAGAGTGCATTGAGAAGAAAGAAGTGAAGCTTGCATATGTGAAGACCAATGATCAAATTGCTGACATCTTCACTAAGGCATTGAAGTTTGAAGATTTTGCAAGATTGCGTGCTTCGATTGGAGTCACTAGATATAATCAAGTTTAAGGGAGAATGTTGAAAATTAAACTTGATTCATGAATCTAGGTGCATTATTCTAAGATTGGTATTATCCATGTACTTCTTCCTAGGTGCATTGATGTAGTTCATGTATGTGTCATGCATTTAATTAGTCCATTAAATTTTCAAGATTCATGTACTACAAAGTTCTAGGAGTTTTATGAGGTCTTAATAAATGCATACAATGTACGAAGGGTCTTTATGTACCTATAAAAGGGCTTGCGATTGAATCATTTGATATAGCCAAGCCACAAAAATATCAAAGAGTATTCTAAGTATTCTCTTGTGTTCCTTTCTCTCAACTTCCCATTTTCAACACTTCTCACACCAACCTTGAGAGGCTAGTCAACAAGCTCCGCGCCCCCCTATAAGTCAAATTAGTAATTTGATGATGCCAATTGTTGTTCATGGTCATTTTTATTTTGGTCAAAGCTGTTCATGGTCATTGAGTGCCCATTTCATCGTCATCTATTACATATCGAGACTCCATGATGTTCTGTAAGACAAATTGGTAATGATAACTTACGCTCTTTTCGATTAATAAATTAGAATTAGCGAAAGGTGTTTCGATAACCATTAATATAGGAGTAAACGGTTTGGCTACCTTGAATTGACAAAGGCACCGTCCCCCTTGATTACAACAGAATTTTACTCTTTGAAAAATGACCATCCAAGCAACCTAGTTTGAAAAAGCTTACAGCCAATCAAAGGTTTTTACAGTCAATTTAGGGCAGAGGATAAGAAGAAGGCCGGAGACAAATAAGGTTATTTCGTCTTTCTCTGTCAGTGAATCCTAGATGTTGAATTGAGCCCGTGTTAAGGATATTTTGGGCGGAATGGCCGATCCCATCCTTAATAGCGTTATTAACAAGCTTAACCTTGATAGATAGTACATTGTATTATTGGGTGTGGAAGTAAATTAAGAAGATGATTTGGAAGTTCGAACATATCCGCAATCATCGGTAGGCAATATATGCACACGCAAATTAAAGTTTTGTTTATGGCCGGCCACGCAATTTAAATTTAAAAGCACGGATTAAGTAGCCGCCGGTACATCCTTAAAATTGGTTTAGTTCACCTGTAGGTGTTTATATTCAGACAGAATCTCCTAATAAAAATAATAAGAAGAAAAGATAGATTACCTAGCCACATATTAGGAAAGGACGGTGGTGTTAATCACTTCAAAAGTCTTAAGTTTGTTCTACTTACCCACGACTTGTGAAATTTAATAATGAAACCGTGATTGTCGTTTCATTACACAGTAGATATAATAATCCTATATTCAAAGATCAAAGGTTGAATCATCCTCCTTGAATTCAACAGCATGTTTTTGCCCCCTCAATTCTTCTTGACAAGTGCATCCACCACATATCTACGGAGTCCACAAAAAACAAAAGGATCGGGAACTGTGTCCTAGATCCTCAATATTGATTGGCTGGACTTAGAACGTCCTTATATATGCGTTAGAGATCCTGTCCCATCACTTTTGGCGCATGTCCAACACTTCCATGGTCCACTTTCGTCCCCTAGTTTGACAGAGAATCGGATCAGAAAGGTACTAGGAAAATAAGTGAATATAAAGATGAGAAAATGAAAGAGTACTTTTTTAATTTTGTGAGCCCCTCACGCTATATTACAAAGTGAGTCTTTTTATATATACACTTTAAAAAATATTCATCTTGTGCTGAAGGTAAAAAGAAAATCGCATCTTGTGCTGAAGATGAAGGAAAGATCAGAATCATATCTTGTTTCACTTCAAGCTGAAGATGAGAAAATCAAGATCATATCTCGTTAGGAAAAGATGGTATCTTTGACTTGTTCGACCCCTTATATAAAATGTGTGTGCATGCAGAAACAAAAGGATGAGGTTCAGTAATGAAAGAGACGCAACATTCTACATCTAGAATTTATTTCGAATTTTTTTTCATATCTTAGAGACATGATCGCAATTTAGCCGGCTATTAGGAGGAGAAATAGCAGCAATGGATCGCTATAATCCCCACTTAAATCTAAGTTTGTGCTCGTAAGAATCGGATCCACAACCTTCAGGTTTCGAAACGAAAGAATGAGAATGCTCTTGTCATTAAGTCAATCCTAGAGTGGCTTTTTGGAATTTTTATATGGTGCACAGCCTGTGTAACCCATCAGATACACATCCGACCTCAACTACTACATATAATTGGTAGTTAAAATTTTTAGACGATGGATATGAAAGTTAAGACAGATGGTGTATTCGATTACATCCCTTCGTCCATCTTTGTCTCGTGCCGCAGCAAGAGGGTCGAAGGTGTCGCCATTGCATGGAGTGCAATGATTATTACAGAACAGGTATGATATGCCCGTCAAAAGGCCACTAGCTAAGATTATAAGAGAATGTGCTTGTGTTCACATAGGATCATCTTCGATTTCACCCGTTCAGCTTCTTTAGAAGAACTCGGGACATAAGCGTCTCCAAGTTTTCATAAGACGACCCACCAGGCTCAGTGGCTTCCTCAGCCTTCCTCTTCCAGTCCATGGCCTTCTTCTTCATCACCCTGCCCTTCTCTCCGTCCATCAACTCCCTCACAAGCTTCTCAACCTCGTCTCTCTTCACATCGTTATCAATCTCCATCCCGATTCCCCATTCGTTCTTGCTATAAAAGCAGTTAGTTTGTTGCTCTGCGAAGAACGGCCAACACAGGACCGGCACTCCGCTGCAGATGCTCTCCAGCATCGAATTCCAACCGCAATGCGTCAAGAACCCCCCGACCGAAGGATGCCTCAACACTCGCTCTTGCGGGCACCAACCCGCCAACATTCCTCTTTCCTTCGTTTCCGCTAGGAACTTCGAGGGCAGAACCGCCATGTCACCAGCGACAAGGTCGGACCTCATTATCCATAAGAAGGGTTTTTGGCTGTTAGCCAGTCCCCACGCAAACTCGATGAGTTGCTCCCCCGTTATCACGGCAATGCTCCCAAAATTTATGTACAACACAGAATTGGGTTCTTTCGAATCTAGCCACCCTAAACAGGCGGGATCTTCTTTCCACAAATTTGAGCCTATGCAACATGAGTTGTCGTCTTCAATTTTATTGAGAAGTAAGTGGATTGGACCGATGGTGTAAAGATTCGGAAATATGGAAGAGAAAGCCATTAGAACATCCTTTTCCAAGCAATGGAATGTGTTAAGGATGACTGCTGAGGCTTTGTGTGTTCTTTCCATCTCTCTGATGATGTAGTTGACCATGATGTCGTTAGCATCGGTTGTCCGGATGAAGCTGGGAAGATCACGCAGACGAATGTTTTTCATACCAGGAATCCAGTCTATGGTGGTGTCTAAGAATCCATTTGTTAGATAACTTGCATCTGCGTCGAAACACATGGATATAACATAATAAGAACAATAACATATTTAATTAAATAAAACCATCTAAAAAGAATGTGTTTGAGACCTTAGATATCATCTCACGACGACTTTCACATTTTTAAAGGACACACCCCAATCAATCAGCAGGGAATTTAAGATATTCATATCATGTAGATGGGGTGCTTTTAAACTTGAGACATACAGAATAAAGAAAATCCTATACTTCTACAACCTTTAAGGGGGAATAGCCCTTTTTCTCGGAGCATATGGTACTGAGTATAGACCAAAGCCCCGCAAGCACTGGGAGTCCAAAACAGCACACCAGGTACTCCAAGCTTCTCGGCAGCATCAAGTGCAAACGACATGGCGCCGTCCGCAATCACACAGCTCACCTTCGGAACCTCAGTATCATCGACGGACCCTTCATTCAGTCTCCCCAGGAGGTTCATGAATGGAGCCAAGCAATTCTTGGAAGTGGAATCACAGAGAGAAGGTATGTGTTGAGTAACATCCTCATCAGACTCACTCGTTGGGAGGCCATCAGGGATGGTTTCGAAGCGAAACCTAGGCAAGCCCTCGAGAGAGCTCGGGCCTCTGGACTTGAGCAAGCGCTTGTGGTTGTACTCAGTATGCACGAATGTTATGTGAAAGCCTCGGTGGTGGAGGATCTTGGCGAGCTTCAAAATAGGGTTTATGTGACCCTGTGCTGGGTAGGGGATGACCACTGCATGAGGCTTATCTCTTGCTTCAGAACTCATCTCTCTCTCTCTCTCTCTCTCTCTCTCTCTCTCTCTCTCTCTCTCTCTCTCTCTCTCTCTCTCTCTGAAGTCAAGATAGGCTCTCTTACAGAATTGGAGAAGATGGAGTTGATGTGTCAGTGTGCCTTCATTTCATGTATATATCGCTTTAGCTCGTAAAACAAACCCACGCTTTCTTTTCGTTTTTCATTCTTTTCGGTTCTCCTAGGCGTTCCAACTCCCCAGCTTGTACCGAGAACTAATTCTCTTTAATCAATACGATGTAAATATGCCTTTTATGGCCAGAGAAACAACATCATGGGACTATCCTTTAATGTGCTTATGCACGCTCATCGCACAAGACCAGTAACAACTATTTCTCCATGCAAAAAGAGGGTTGGCAATACATGCTCAAAAAAATGGAGGGTTTGTGTTGTAATGGACGATAGTCCCTAGCATTTTCCTTTTGGAATTACTCTCACATGGGGTCAGGGGACCATCCATATGCGTCCTCCCCTAGTCCGGGAATGGATCCAATCCATATTTTGGACGAATGATGCATTTAAGACACGTGTTTCCACCGCCAATCTGGAAACATTATCTTAAATTTGCAATGGGTCCCACGATCGTCGGAAAGTGCGATGGCTCTGTGCTTATCGAAACATCACAATGGCTCTTTGCTTTGGGAACGCAATTCAATGGATCCAACCGAACCATTTTTAGATAATAGCATGATATGGATATAAATCTACATCGAAAGGGCCGGCAGATCACGCCACGCAAGGAACGAAAGAAAATATATACTTTCTTCGACGAATGTCTTGAAATGATTGCATGTGAAGTCAAAATGAGCCGACTCATGCCTACAAAAGGATAAAAACACAAGGATGAAGTAAAATATTAATTGCATTTCCTTGAAAATATCGTCGGAGCACACTTATTAAGTAATTGAATGGAAAAAAAAAGTGCAATTCGCGAGACCCTTTCATTGGTACGTACAGTCAACAATCTGGAATCATATTTTCCTTGTTAAATATAGTACTCACCAAATCGTCAACATGGCACGATTATAGTTAGTCACGATAAACTATTTAGACAGCGTCTTCGTAGAAAATGAAAAAAGAAGAAAGAAATTAATATCTCAAATCACTTAGGTCTGGATTCGACCAGATCAATCGAATACCTAGAAGCACAATATGAAACATTTGAGTGCGACAACTATGTGACGAAGTTATATCCTTAGTTGAGATCGCCGTATCAAAGAAGAATACGAAAGGTGGCGAAATAGTCAAAGATGAATGAATTGAGCTAGCGTCTTATTTCCTTTTGTGATTATTGTTTAGATTCCTTGTCTTTGTAATAGACAAGCATCATGGAGACACCGCTAAGTAGATGAGTCTACGCAGTTTTGTCTCTTGCGTGGTTCAACTTCAACCCACGGGACCAGTCTTGCAATTATCGATCCCTTTCTTATTTTATTGGAAGCTCAAAAGGAATGACTGTGAAATGTGGGAGTCTTATCAAACTTTGGGGGATTAAGCAAACCTATCAGACTTTCAGATTAATTTATGATCAATGAAGCTATGTAAAAAATGTGGGGAAAAGTGTCAGAAAAGTCATAAACCTTTTGTATTAACGTCAATTTAGTCATAAACCTTTTTTTGGTGCCAATTCAGTCTTAAACCTTTTGTCTTTATGTCAATTCAGTACTTCCGGCTAATTTTGACTGGATATTGTTGACGTAGACGCTGGCCGGCCTATGTGGCACCGCCAGCGATGACATGGATAAAATTTAATAATATTTTAATATTTTTGATTTTTTAATATATTTTTTTTCTTACCCTTTCTTCTTCCTCCAACTGGTTGCCGAGACCGGCTGGAGGCTAGGGCTGGCAAGGTTCGCTGGCCTCTGGCGAGCCCCACCCCGCTGGCCACTGGTGAGGGCAGCAAGGCTCAACCCTCGCCGGATGGCCGCAAGGGCGGCCTTGCGCTGGGCTAGGCAAGGCACGACCTCGCTAGATCCGGCGAGATCATGCCTCGCCCAGCTCAACTCGAGGCCGCCCTCGCAGCCATCCGGCGAGGGCTCGAGCCTCGCGCTGGGCTAGGCGAGGTTCGCCCTCGCCGGCCATCAGGCGAGGGCTCGAGCCTCGCGCTGGGTTGGGTGAGGGTCAAGCCTCGCCGGCCATGGGGGAAACCTGACCTTGCTAGATCCGGAGATGTTGTGCCTTGCCTAGTTGAGCTCGAGGCCATTCGACGAGGCAAGCCTCACCGACCATGGGTGAGGCCTGACCTTGCCAGATCTGGCAAGGTTTGCTCTCGCTGGCTCTGGCCTCCAGTCGGTCGCTCATCAGGTGACCGGCTGGACGAAGAAGAAAAGGTAAGGCAAAAAAGAAAAAGAAAAAAATTTAAAAAATAATCGAAAAATATTAGAATATTATTAAAAATTATCCACGTCATCCTCGGCAGTGCCACATAGGCCGTCCGGTGTTCACGTCAGTAATATCCGACCAAAATTAGCCGGAAGAACTGAATTAGTATAAAGATAAAAGGTTTAGGGCTGAATTAGCATAAAAAAAATTTAAGACTAAATTGACATTAATGCAAAAGATTTAAGACTTTTTTGACACTATTTTTCCAAAAAAAATAAATGTGCATCGGAAACGTCCTCGTTGGTTGTCAGATCATAACATAGAATATTTTTCATGCATGCACTTTGTCAATTGGTCATTGGATGCTTTTGGAAAGACTTTCCTGATCTCCGTTAGAGCTATTAATGCTGCGGTCAGCCATTTTATAGATATAATCAAGCAAGTCAAAGACCTCGAATTATTGGTGAGCTTTAGTTATTGGGTATCCCGGAACCTACATGATGCGGTAGTTTATGTGACTTAGGCTTCATTTTATAAAATGGCTTGATGTGAGTATATTTGCATGATTTGATATACAAGAAAAGTCAAAGATTGCACAACCAATTATGTGTACTTAGAAACATCACATTTGTTATCTATAGGATACATGGGAAGTGTCTGTCTTAACTTTATCTATATCACTCGTTAATATACAACATGTATCTTTCTTAAAATATTTACATGTTTGATTGTTTGTTTTAAAACCTTCTAATGTGTAGAAATGGATTGTTTGTAAAATTATGTCTTCCCATTTCCTCTCTTCTTCGAAAATCGGTAAAATTACGACAATTGGAAGAATTGGAAGTAAAAGAAATTACACTCGAGATCTTATCTACTTCTTACACGGTTTTAAAATGTGCGCAGGCAACCCTTCTTTTGGTTAGAATGTGCAACATCTTCTTTTCGTCAAAAGTAGTAAAAAAAAAATAGTGGTAAATGCTATGTAGAGCACAAGCTTGATGAACTGAACAAGTACTATATCCAGACCGAGTGAAAATAGCTTTATTTGCGCGGGGCCATGCATGCATGCTTGCATGTATAGCGCAAAAGCTAAGTCTCAACTCCAACATCTAACTTGGATCTTCCATTCACCAATCAATTGATCGATGGGCAGACACTAACACATTGCATACAACACAAACGCTAGCTAGGTCTAAATTCTCCATGGAACAATTTATTAATTGATCGACCGACAGGCTAAAAACCTTCGACCATCTATAGCGGTCAATTCATGGACGAGAGTACTTCGGAGATGAGCTTGTCCACGTTGTTGTACGAAGACCCACCGGGCATAATTGCTTCCTTGGCCTTCGCCTTCCACTCCATGGCCTTCTTCCTCATCTCCTTCCCCTTCTCTCCCTCCGTCAGCTCCCTCACCAAACCTTCCACTTCGTCCCTCTTCACGTCATTGTCGATCTCCATCCCAATCCCCCACTCCGTGCAGCTATACCGGCAGTTAGTCTGCTGCTCTGCGAAAAACGGCGCCCAGCATATCACCGGCATGCCGCCACAAAGGCTCTCGAGTGTCGAGTTCCACCCGCTATGCGTCAGGAAACCCCCAATCGCCCAGTGCTTCAGGACCTCCTCCTGCCAGCACCAGCTCACCAGCATCCCTCGGTCTGCGATTTCTTCCACAAACTCGGGTGGCAACATGGCCGACTCGCCCGCCACGAGGTCTGGCCTTATGATCCACAGGAACGGCTTCTGGCTGTTAGACAGTCCCCATGCGAACTCGATCAGCTGGCCCACTGTCATGACCGTGATGCTGCCGAAGTTCACGTACACCACCGAGCCGGGCTCCTTCGAGTCAAGCCATGGCAAGCACCTGGGCTCCTCTCTCCATAAGTTCCCCCCTACCAAGCTCAGGGCTTCGTCTTGGATCTGGTCTGCAAGAAGCTGGAGTGGCCCGATGGTGTAGATGCGGGGAAAGACGGAGGAGAGAGCCTCCAGGACGTCGTGTTCGAGGGTGTCGAAGGTGTTGAGGATGACTGCTGAAGCCCTGGAAGATCTCTCGGCTTCTTGGATGAGGTAATTGAGCATGATGTCTTGGCGATCTAGGGTTCGGATGAAGCTGGGGAAGTCTCTCAGGCGAATGCTTTTCATCCCTGAAGTCCAGCTTACTGTGGTCTCCAGATATCCATTCGACAAGTAGGTTGGGTCCGTCATCATCATAAAACAAAGAGTTAATTATCACAAACAAAGGGTATATAGAATTAATGAGAATATTGTTCAAATATCTATGTACAGTTTATCACAGAATCACCTATTATTTTCCCTAGCAATATACTCCTAATAAAAACAATGATGCTAGGGGTTCAAACCGTAAGTATGATTTGAAAACAAAATCGTAACTGTTCATATATATTTTTGTTGCTGGGAATTATATGAGCTATGTCTTTTGGTGGTTCGGACACAAAAATAGTGTACGGCCACTTGTGTGTTTTTGAAAACTAGTATTCGTATGTAACTTGTACCCTAGCACTATGTTAAGTATAATATAATTTCGTATTGAAATTTGTTTATTAGTATATGCAATATCGGGCATCAGATATTCAAATAAGTAGGACCTAACCAAAATGATCGACTTATTTAATACCCAGCGTGCTCTTGCCAGATCATGTATAGTAAACATCTTACTAAAAGATTTTAGTCTCTTTGCATTTCTCTTATTCTCCTTTATGCTCATGCCATGTACGAAATGAAACTACTCTTCTTTTGAAATGTAAACAAAGGACGGGAAGAAACAAAAAGCAAAGGAAGAAAAGTACATATGGAAACGTGTAAATTCCAAAATAGGTAAGTGCAAATATTTTTATAGTGAAAAAAGTTAAAAAAAAGCCTAAATCCTCCTTTGACAAATATCATATGAAGTGCGTACCTTTCATGGGCGTAAAACCATCCTCGACAAGACGACGATACCTAGCGTAACCAAGCAGCCCGCAAGCACTGGGCGTCCAAAACACAACTTCAGGAATCTTCAACTCCTCGGCGGCATCCATAGTGAGCGTCATCACACCGTCGGACACGATACACGTGACCGGAGGCACGACACCATCTTCGGACTGTTCTTGGAGCTTGATGAGAAGACTCTTGAATGGCGATAGCCCGTGTTCGGATAGGGAAGCACAGAGGGAGGGGATGTCCTGGGTGGAGTCGTCTGAAGGCGGGAGGCCGTCGGCGATCGTGTCGAAGCGGAAACGGGGCAGTCCGTCAAGGGAGTGGGGCCCCCACGACCGGAGCAAGCCCTTGTGGATGTGTTCGGTGTTGACGAAGGTGATGTGGAAGCCCCTGTGGTGAAGGAGCTTGGCTAGTTTGAGCATGGGATTTATGTGGCCCTGTGCTGGGTATGGGATGCATACTACATGAGGCTTCTCTCTTGCTTGAGGATAACCCATCTCTCTCTCTCTCTCTCTCTCTCTCTCTCTCTCTCTCTCTCTCTCTCTCTCTCTCTCTCTCTCTCTCTCTGTTGTGTGTGTGGAAGAAGTTTGTGAGTCTCTGACTCTTTTTATAAGCGAATAATGCTACTTTTACAGTCAGATCTATCGATGAAATTGGTATTTTAAGTGATGTTGCCGATTCTCATTTACTATTGAATATAATTCGTTTTTTTTAATATTTAATTACAGTACTTAATTTTTTTAATTTTATGAGACTGGCTTAGTGTGCTTTTTAGATTACTTTTTATATGTGGGGTTGTCAAAATATGGGTGAAAAATGAAAAACAGATCATGTGAAATGATGAATAAACGGACTGTAAGCACGCGTGGTTCGGAGCAGCATCACTTGGAAATTTGGTGTCGGCCTTTATCAACGCACTAAAATGCCGGCTCGAATTAAATCCTCGCCCATAATTTTCGAGAAAACGTCTTCCTCATTTTTCGGTATTATTATCGCTTAGAAAAATAAATCAACGAAAAATATTTTTGCAGGAACGGAAAACATACGCTTAAATCGGAAAATATTTTTCAAAATATGACTAAATATTGGCGCTTAAACCCGAAACTTTACGTTTGAACACGGAAACCCCAACGTTGATTCCCGAGTCCCCAACACCCGGGCTGGGTTCGTCAAGGCGTGGCTCGAGTCCATCGAGGCCGGGACCAAGTCTTTGATGCTCAGGCAAGAGTCCATCGAGGCCGAGCCTAGGTCCATTGAGGCGGGGCTCGAGACCCTGGTGCTTGGGCCCCGACCCCCGGTGCCCATGCCTAGGTCTCTCAAGGCTGGGCCTGAACATTTGGTGCTCGTGCCCTATGCCCTAGCACCCAAGCCCGCATCCATAAAGGCCGGATTTGGGTCCTCGACGCTCAAGCTCTAATCCCTAGCACTCAGGCCCAGGTCCACAAAAGCCGTGCGTGAGTCCTCGGTGCTCAAGCTCGGGTCTTTAATAAATGAAACATTCAAACTTATAAAAATATTTTTTAAAAAATATTTTTATTTTTGAAAAAAGTTTGAATTCCTAATAATTTAAAAAAAACGAATTTTTAATTATTTTTTCTTTTCTTTCTTTTTCTTTTTACTTCTTCCTCGGCCAGTCGCCGACAATGGCAATAGCCAACAATCGGCCATAGGCAAGTCTTGAGCTCGCAGGCCTAGGCGAGATTGACCTCGCCAAATCCAGTGGGGTAGAGCCTCGCCGGAGTCTCTGGCGAGTCTCAAGCTCGCCGACCTCGCATGTGGCCGGGCGCCAGGAGTTGCCGTGGCCAGCGACCGGCAAAGATAGAAAGAAAAATCAAAAAATAATAAAAAAATTCGAATTTTTTGATTTTTTTCTCAAGAAAATCAAATCAGATTTTTCGTGCTAAATTGCGAAAAATATTTTCTAGTTCATTTTCAGATTTCAGCCAAACACCGGAAAATATTGTAATTTTTCTGGAAAACATTTTTCCAGGAATGTCACATTTTTCACGAAACGAATAGAGCTTAAATTACAAATTATTGGGTACATGTGAATCTCACAAGAGAAGACATGTACATGGGAGCCCTTATACCATGAATATAGTATCTAAAATTCAATTTGCGGAAACCTAACCCAATACATGCCACTACGGAATTTGAATACTGGAAATTACATAGATGATTACACAGTATATTGTCCGTATAACCAAAGTTCGTGAAATAAAATTCCGCACATTGTTGCCTCAAACGCTCCGTCTGTACTCGAGCGAAATAAATGTTGTAATAAAGGAAGATTAAGCGGTGAATTTCGAAACCCAAGCACCAAGTTTGGCAACTTGGGTTGAAAGAGAAGGGGAATGAAGTGGCCTAATTGCAAATGCTCTGTGGCCCAAACTTAAGTTAATCCTGTTTGATACGTAGAGGCAAATTAGCCAAGACTCCCTGATGATGCCGATACCGAGATAATTATCAAAAAAATCTTAAATCTATTATATGGATACTAATTTAGTTTTAAAATTTTTAATTTGGCCAATTAAGTTCTTTGGACGAATTGCCAATGTAATCTTTTTGGTAATTTTGGCCAAAAATCACTGACGTCGACACCAACCATCCTACATGACATAACCGGTGACGGCGAGTTCTGACTTGGATAATTTTTGCAATTCTTAGAAATTTTTCCAAATTATTTATTTATTTATTTTATCCTTTTTTTCTTTCTCGTTTACTTTTCTTTTTTTTTTTTCTTCCATTGTGGCCGACAAGGGTTGCCATGACCCTCACCGGCCGTGGGCGAGACAGCCCTCACCTAGATCTAGTGAGGACTTGGGCGAGAGCCACAACCCCTCACTAGCTACAAGGAAAAAAATGAAATAAAAAACAAAACAAAAGTCACAAAATTTTTTAAAAATTACAAAAATTATCCATGTCTGGGTCAGTCGTGTTATGTAGAATGACGGATGTCAAAGTCAGCGTTATCCGCCCAAAATTGACCAATGGTCACAATATTCAAGACTAAATTGGCCGAATTGAAAAGTTTAAAATCGGTATTCGTACGATAAATTTAACACTTTTTTCCGACATCTATTGTCTCCGATCAACAAAGTGACCTTCCATCAATTCACATCTTCGTCTCGATCTCTTTCCCCCCATCCATACAACAGGACCGTGTATGTCCATTATAATTCTCGAATCCCTCCTGAAACAATCATCTTATAGAGCTGAGGATGAGATTACTGTCTCCTAGTCCAGCAAAGAGATCCCGACTTCATTTTGATCCAAAGAGGGCTTACGAACGTTATTAGTCCGGATCAAACAAATTAGACATTATCAGCATCGTTCATTTCTTGACTTCCTGCTATAGAGATGCAATTGTATAAGATACTTCTCTAAACTAGCAAGACCAGCACGAGAAGGCCAGTCAACTCGGACAGAATTAGCTGGACGCGCCCATTAAATCATGTCAGCGTTACCATGCTCAACTACGAAAATTGCCACAATGCAACAAATCTATCTCTTGATCGAGCACTTTATACTCCTGGAAATAGCACTCGTAAGAAAGGTCCACATGACTGGCTGCAAATAGGATCCTGCTGTACAATGATTTCGGCCGCGTCTCTGATTCCCCCTGGCTTGAAAACGCTCATTAAACAATCATAAATCAACATAACGGCATCTGTAAATAGAACTAGAAAATAAAGTGCTGTATGATCTAAACCACCTCACATCCATTTACAACAACATGGAAACCGCTCTGCTAAACTGTTACAATTGACAGCGCTTTGTATTATTTAACAACATGACCGGATTCACCAACAGTCCACGATCCTGAGGTACCATACCCTGGCCTGGAGGACTAGTACAGACACACCAAGAATCCCCCCCTCAGGATGATTGATCAGGAAGGGGAGATCTTAGTCTTGAAGTTACCGCATTTACAAGACTCAAATTGGAAGAGAAACATGTATGAGAAAAAGAAACATGGTTGCGCAAAGAAGCATTTTAACTTCAGCAGAATCATCTAATCATTCGGGATAGCAGAGTGATGGCAATAAGCAAATCTCATCAGCTGAACTATCAATGGATATAACAGAACATTGTTTCTCCACTCTCAAGTACCTTTAATTGCACTTGGAAATGCACATCTCGCAAGATGACGACATCAGTCATGCATACTGATGCCCTTCAGCTTCTTCCCCAAAGATCAAACATAATCATCACATAAAAAAGACATAAAAGGTCGCACTGGAGCAGCTTCTGTCTAGTGCCTACACAATGTAAATCCAACCCCCTCAAGAAACATACATTCAGTAGTAGGGACTGTATCGCACTGACGTTCTAAACCTTGGAATTTTCCTGCAGAGATGAGATGTTTGCGAACCATTCAGTATAGATAGTGGAGTGCGTGACCCATTCAAAACATGCAGAGATATAAGCAGTATACCCATATCCATATGGAGGGTAAAATGGAGGCATGTAAGGACTCCTGAACCGGGCTCCCATAAAAGGATTAGGCCGACGAGGGCGATATTGCTTCATCCCAGGTACATTGGTTCGTTTCGCAGTTACCTAAAACAAAACCAGTTAACTCTTTCACTAAATTCACAGGGGAAAAACGAAATAAAATTGGTCAAAAATCAGCCTCAAGAACCCAATAAAAGGGGTTGACTGAAATGGCAATCACTATTAGTATTAGTGCACCTGTGTGTGTCTTGTTTCTGTAGAACCTCCCCCCCCCCACACCAAAGATAAAATGCATAAAAGAGGAAATCACCAAAACAGAATTTTTGCACCTTTAGTTGACGACCATGAAGTTCAGATTCATTCAGAACGAGAGCCTCTTGAACAGCCTCCGGCTCAAGGAATTCTACATAAGCATATCCCTTTGGTTGGCCATACTTGTCAGTACGTATGGTGACTCTATTCACTGTCCCACACGATTGAAAATGCTGCTGCACTTCCTCAGGAGTACATGAGTAGTCCACCTGCAAAAGAAGACATTGCCAGATGTAAAATAACCACATAGCCACGTCAATTTGCACAAGTTCAGAAATATTAATAGACAAAACATACCGCTGCGCTAGCAAATCAGAGGCCAGAGAAACCAATTTGAACTTCTAAACGTGTTTCAGACAAGCTCATCAGGAGCAAACAAATACTACTCAAAAGTATCCATGATGGGTGGTTGGTAATTAAATTCCTAGGAAATAGAAACCCTCGCTGGTGAATAGAGAATTTGAACACTATGAACAAACTCTTTCCCTCCCTTGGTGAAGTGTGACACCATGACTGATATGCAAAACGGCTGAATCGAGACAAAATGTAAAACTGTTCAATCTCAATTAGTTGAATTAGATGTATTTACAGTTTCCCCCTTTATCCTTCTTCTTTCAAGCAGCAGTATGAATATTTACATTTAACAACACCAAAGAATCTGCTCAATCGACAGTTTTTATCAATGGAGCATAATAAAAGAAGGTAGACAGCAATCTCAACATCAGGGAAGGCAAGCCACAGGCCCTTAAGTAGCAAATGCAAGCATATGTGCTAGCAATGTAAATTCAAACAATGCAAGCAATAAGAATCAATAAGAAGAGCTCACATTGCCAACAAAGATTGATCGAGAATCAATTTCTTCTTTATTTGCTTGACTTGCAGCTGCATTAGCAGGATCTAGTTGCAAAAGAAACAAAGAAGAGGGAAGTTGGATAGGGAATCACAAACTACATTTTACAAGTACAATAACCAGTAACAAAAGCTCATCATAGTAAAATACTACCGAAGAAAAAAAAATCAAGAGTTCAACTTGCATTTGTACTGCCAATAATTTTATTTTATCAAAGCGTTTGTTGTAAGATCAATGCAATAATGCACCATATCAAATAGTCCTAGAGCTAATAAAAACCCAAGAACTACATTTGCAAGCACAGCAACCAATTAAAAGAATCATCGTAGACACACTGCCAAAGATGAAGGTAAAAAGTTCAACTTGCTTTAGCACTATAAGTAATACCATCCTATTAGACAACCAACAGCTAGTGTGAGATAATGACATACACAATAATGAACCATCACATATAGCTTTAGCGCTGGTAAAACCTGAGGTCAAATATGTCCTCCTTCACCCACTCAAAACCCAAAATCACAAAACAATACAAGGTGACACACCTACTCAACCTCCACAGGTAAACCCAAAATCATCATATCCAAAAGAAACGACAGAAAATCTAACACCAGCGACTGCACTTGGGCTACAGCTTGTACATGTATATATGCAAAATCATTCCTCTTTAGCACCAGCCGACCACCTTTACATCTATCGATCAGACAGTCAGGAAACTGAACATTCTGCTAACAGTCACCGCCATGTTCACCCTTTTTCAGTAATAATCGGCACTCCACATGGGAAAGATAACAGCCTGTTCCATCAAATTCAAGACAATCCCCAAATTTGAATCTGCAGTGGACCGTGCATTGTATGCATTAGGCATGCAAAGCAGATAACCCTAATGGACATAGGTCCTGGATAAACCGATAAACCCAATAAAGTTTCGAATTATGACATATATCAACAAAAGGCAAGTGAACCTTACCAAAAAAAAAAAAACAAAAGGCAAGTGAAGAACGAGATGCAGGTATTTACAGTCGCTTTCTGTTCGCGCGATGCATGAACACCATTACCATAAATCAGACTCTCTGAATGCACCCTCCCTGGACAGGATCCAATTCCAACAAAGGTACAATTCAAAATTCCAGTCTAGAGGACTCTTTCACCATTACTACCACTACCATGGGATGAATGACACACATTAAAAACACGAGAATCACACAGCGAACCAAAGGACCATAAACCCATAAAAGGGAAAGGCCGAAAGGAAGAACCTTGGACGGAACCCATCTCTCGCTCGACTTTGGCCTGCATCTCGCGCAGGGCAGCGGCTTCATCCTCCATCTCCTTCAATCGCTTCTTCATGTCGTCCAACTCCTGCGTCATTCACACCCGCGAATGGATTCAGCTAGGGCATCGATCACGCGAGCTCGAGTCGTCGAGAGGAAAACCGAATCGAGAACAGATTGGTCGCGTGATACAGGAGATCGGAGAGCAAGAACACGGAAAGAGAGTCCGTACCGCTTCGCCGGAGTCCGCCGGAGACATCTCGACGTCCCCTTCCTTCATCTTCGTCGCTCTCTCTCTCTCTCTCTCTGAGCACAGCTGCGACTGCGCGTGCTACACAGCCCGGTACACTTCGGGAGGGAAGAGAGACAATGAAGAGGCGAGCCAAGTCGCGACTCATGGGCTTTTCGGCCGGTGCTCATGGTCCGACCCCTACGATATTTCCTCCACGTCAGCCTCTGTATTTCATCCTTCGTTTTTTTAACTTTCTTCTTTCTTTCGTTAAAATTTAATTACTGACAAAAGTGTCACTCACTCACCCCCTCTTTGGTTGGCCAATAAATAAATCTATCTAAAAAGCAGTAAATCAACGACTGATCTGGTTCGATTTTCAAATTCTAAATTTTGACTTTTTACTCTTACTGTGAACGTTGAGCACATGACCAAAATCACATGCAGTACCTAAAATTTTTTAAAACGTGTCAGTGTTAGAATTTGAAGTGATCAAAGAGTGAAGTATGTATTTATTTAGCAGGAACATCAAATGGGCCGAGTTAAAGCCATGAAGCCAATCCAAGGGGCCTCTGAGATATGAAATATAATATAGTTATACCATTATTTAGATTTTCTCTAGTGAAAAGCGTAATTTCAATTTACTTTTCTGTTTCTAATTATGGCTCGATTTGTTTCGCAGAAATTTTTTTCTGAGAAAATCTTATTTTCATTTTCCGGCGTGTGGATCGCTTGCGAAAATGGGTCAACGGAAAATTTATGCCTAAATTCAGAAAAATGATTTTCCCTTTCAAAAATATGATTAGACATTAGCATTTGGATTAGAAACTCTACGCTTAGGCATACAAGAACCCAACACCTATTCGTCGATCCTTGGCAACGGGCTCAAGTCCACCGAGGTAGGGCCTATATCCAAAGAGGCCGAGCTCGGACCTCGGTACCTATGTCCTAGTCCTCGATACCTGAGCTGGGGTTTCCAAAGGTCAGACCCAAGACCTTGATACCTGGGCCTGGGTCTATTGAGGCCAGGTGTGAGACGATAGAGGGATTGCCCGAGACCCTGGTGCTTGCGCCGAAGTTCATTGAGGTTGGGCCCCTGCACAAGGGTCCCAAGCTCGGCCTCCATGAACTAGGGCCCAAGCACCAAGGACCTTAGCCTAGCCTCTAAAGACCCGGGCCTAGGAATCAAGGACTCGGGCATGGGCGCCAACGAGCAGAGCACGAGCACCTAGGTCTTGGGCGTAACTTACGTGGACTCTGAATCAACGACTGTGCCCGAGTCTTTGAGATCCATCGAGGCGGACTCAAGACCCCATTATCCGCGTTCGATTCCCTAGTTACTTGTACCCAAATCACTAACACCCAAATAGTCATGGTTAGTTAGGTAAACAAAGTAGGTTTTCTTTTTGAACGACATAAAATGATTTTCAATTCATTTTCAGATTTCAGCCAAACACTGAAAATATTTTCCTGGAAAATGACTTCTTGAAAACATTTTCCAAAAATATCAAATTTTCCAAGAAACAAACAGAACCTAAATAAACTTTTTTTTGCACGCAATTAATTTTCTAATTTTGGGTTTTGGCATGTGATCATTGATAACCTTCCATGACTCAATTTGGATGAACGCATTAACTCGCTTTGTATGTTTATAGATGCACTTTCTTGTAACACTTAGGTACATTTATTTCACCGAAAACTTCATGACATAGAAAAATATTTTTCATGAAAATCATTTTCAATGAAAATTGTTAATTTTTATTTATTTGGTAGTTTAGAAAAGCGATTTCCTCTTGTAAGAAGAGAAGTTCTTTTCGCTCAATTTAAGCTTTACTGTTTTCAATTCATGGAAAACGTTTTTCTTAGATCGATTAGTTTTCCGTCATCCAAATACCGGAAAGTTAGCAGTTTTTTTTCAAATAAACGAACCTTGAAAATTGTAAAGTGTCATGTCGCAACTCTGAATCTCATTCTGTAGTACTAACATGTGGGGATAGTAATGCATCAAATAGCCATTTAAGCACACTTGACTTTCATGGATAAAATTTACATAGTTGCTTCTCGTGTTTCCTCCCTTACCTATCTAGGGTATTAGCAAGTAGCAAGCCTACTAATCGCTTATCAACATGCTGGTAATCAACTAATCATCACCCGTGTACACTTTTATCATCAGAAGGATTCATCATGACCTTTTTGGTTTGCTCTGGGGTCACAGAAATGCAAGCAACCAAGGCAGGCATGACCACTTCACTGCACTTGACAATGGCCAAGAACATGACTCGATACAAAATCACCATCCCAATCAGAACTACAAGATCAACCCACTTGGAATACTCCACGTCCATCTGCCAAAACCCTGTCAGGACCTGCTCGCCACTGATAAAAGATGCCTTGTTTCCAGCTTGACTAGGAAATTTCAGTCCCTTGAACTCATTCTTGAACAATCCCTCGTAAGCATATCTGTGAAAAGCAATGTAGTACAAAGGGTATTTCCATAGGAGTGGGAGATCATTCGGTAGTCTGAAGAATCCTCCTCCTAAGATCATTAGAGCCTGGATTCCTGCCCCCGTGATGATGCCCATCAGGAAGGTCGGTACGATGCTCGCAACTGCCATCATCAGGCTCTCCACCAACATCATGCAAGTGAACAACACCGCGACAAAGTACAAGAAGTGTTCCCATCCTCTCTGGAGTCCCGTGAGATAGTATGCAATCGCTCCGGGGATCAGGGAAATCAGCAACAGATATGGCATGGAGGAGAGCGTGTTCCCAATCACGAATGCCCCAGTTCCATAGTGCCCGTTTAATCTTTCTCGCGCAAATACCTGAAACAGTTCCAGGCCGAGAAGATTGAGATGGGAAAATAAGTATTAGTTGAAGGGGTGTTTTTCATAGATATGGATGAGCTTTATTTCAAGTCAAGAATAGGACCTTCATGTCCTCCACGAAAGAAGGAAAGCCACCGATCGCCATGAAAGTCAGGAATGAAGCAACAAAAACTAGGAGCGATCCTCTAGCCTGTAAATGTCAATGACAAAATTTGTGAATTCTTCTCTTCCCAGCTATTAAACGCTATGTATATACTTTGGTTTTCCCCTCCATTTGCAGAGTGCAAATGTGTGGACCCTCTACTCAGCATATACCTGAATTGAGCCATAAGTAGATCCAATGTTAAAGTATATGGTTCCGAGACCGAAGGCCACAGTTACATAAATGGCTAAACGCAACCAGTAGTAGCCTCGATCACGGTACATGTTCAATGAAGATCTTCTAGTAAGAACAAGACACTGTGTCACAAATTTTGCTTGGCTTCGCTCTTTCACTGGTGCTCCGTGACCCTGAGAACAGTCGGAGGAAAAGCGATTGGGTAAAGCGTATTACAAGTGAAGCATAGCCAGAATATATCTAATTACTGAAACACTTACTTGTTCATTAATCTTGGCTACTTCTCCTAGAACTTTTTGACAGTTTGGAGATGATCTGTATGATTTTACAAGAGTGTTGATCACTTCCTCTGTGGAAACTTTTCTGGGTGCACCTTGTTCAATATCCTGGCAAAATAAGTCACAAGATTCTTATTGCTACTAGTAATAATTATTTCCCAATAGATAGTACATAAAAATCGCAGGCATTTTATTGAAGGAGAAAGGCTCTCACCACATCGAAATCCTTGTTTATGGTTTTCAGAAAGTGATCTGATGGATTTTGGAGAGTTGGGCAGGGGAAACCATTCGACGCGAAAAACTACAACATTTGAAAGCAAGAGGTCAAACTAAAGTATAAATATAGATCTTTAAATTACCTCAAAATTAGTTAATACATGTAAATGCTCACCTCCGTAGCTGCGGAAGCAGGTCCAAAATACACTGTTCTGCCTGAAGACAGAAGGCAAAGATTGTGGAAAAGCTGGAAGACTTCACTACTAGGCTGATGAATTGATGCAATTATAGTTCTTCTGATTCCATCTCCGTGGTCCAAGCTGGCTATGCTGCTCATGACATAATAGGATGCCGCGCTGTCGAGTCCACTGGTTGGTTCGTCGAGGAAGAGAAGCTTCGGGCGGGTGACAATTTCCAGGCAAATGCTAACTCTTCTCTTTTGACCACCACTTAGTCCTTTGGTCCCCCAGCCTCCAATTCTTGTGTCCATGGCATCTTGCAGTCCCATTTCCCTTATTACAGTTTCTGCTCTTTCCCTTTTCTCGGATATTGGCATGGAATCTGGCAATTGTAGCTGAGCTGTGTAGTAAACAGCTTCTCTCACAGTTAGCGTTGTTATCAATACGTCGTCTTGCATCACATAAGCCTGAATTCATAAGAATAGAGAACCCTGATGAGTGATGAGAAGACAGTTCCGTGATCATTCATCATTGAATATAAGATCACCTCAAAAAACATGATAGTTGACTTAGGTTCAATTTTTTATGTGAAGTCACAAATTATTTCATATTAACTGGAGAAATGAAGGATTTTAGGATGAAGGAGAATTATTTTCAGATTCTACACTTACTGAAGTTCCATAAGCCAGAGCTTGTTTGTGGCCATTGACTAGAATGTCTCCTGTTTGCCTTATATTTGAGCTCAATCTCCCTGTCATGTGAGTTCCAAAAGTCGAAATAAGCAAAAAATGTAAGCCCCTTAGGCAGACAAGAGCGTGATTTTGAACATAATCTAAACTCACAAATCGAATGTCTTCTTTAAATAAGTTAATTACAGAGGTACACCTGAATAAATTGTTATTGGTGATTAGCGATGCAGACTGTACATGTACTAAAGTCGTATGTTCTTGTTTCTGTCTGTTCTTATCTTAGGAATGTTTTGCAAGGTTCCTTTTTTCTCATGCAAAATGGCTTAGCTGGAAAGAGAGAATAATCAATTTACCGGCGAGTGCGTCGAGGAGAGTGGACTTGCCACAACCAGAAGGCCCCATGATGGCCAAGAGCTCTCCTGGCCGGGCATAACCGGTGACACCTTGAAGTATCGGTTTCACCCCTTTGCTCTTGTTGGACACCATCACCCACATATCCTCCCATGTTAGAGTGAAATCATTTCTTGGCTCTTTTGGTTCATCAGGATCACAAGTTTCGAGCTCAACCTCATGAACTCTGCTTTGATAGTCTCGATTGGTGGTTGTTGTATCCATTCCCGTTTTCATCATCGTAGAAGCTGCTTCTACTTCCGTGCTAATGCTGATTTCTGTGGAATACACAGCCAAGTAAGTAGAAAGAAATAGATCTATGAGAGGCTATGAATTGTGAAGACATGCGAGGAAGGAAGGGTTTTATAAGCGAATGATACTGGACACTATTTAATGACCACGTTGGCATTTCGAGGATGTACTGTGTTTCTCGTGATCGAGAAGGAAAATATCGCGCAAACTTATTCTAATGGAATCATGTGGTAGACAAGCTAAGTCTAGATGGTCATTAACTTACAAAGGTGGTCATTTTCATTTGTCACTCATTTCCTTTACATGCAAATGGAGACAAGCAGCTAACGCAAGATATATCCGATATCTTGAGGTAACAAGAACGTGGCTCAAAATTTCTCAGACTCAATTATTTGTATAGTCGATAGTGACTCGTTGAACATTGGTTGCAATTTATAAAATACCGGAAGAATGGCATCTTACTTGGCTAGAAATCTGCGAAAGAGTAAAATGCACGTGATTGTACCTACATAAATGTGTGGTTAGAAAGCTGCTAGTATTTCCATGCTAATGCTGATTTCTGTGGAATACATGGCCGGGTAAGTAGAAAGAAACAGATGTATGAAAGGCTATGAATTGTGAAGACATGCGACGAAGGAAGGGTTTTACAAGCGAATGACACTGGACACTATCTAATGACCACGTTGGTGTTTCGAGGATGTACTGTGTTTCTCGTGATCGAGAAGGAAAAAATCGTGCAAACTCATTCTAATGGGATCATGCGGCAGACAAGCCAAGTCTAGATAGTCATTCACTTACAAAGGTGGTCATTTTCATTTGTCACTCATTTCCTTTACATGCGAATGGAGAGAAGAAGCTCATCAGGGAAACGCAAGAAATATCCGATATCTTGAGGTAACAAGAACGTGGCTCCAAATTTCTCGGACTCAATAATTTGTATAGTCGATAGTGACTCGTTGAACATTGGTTGCAATTTACAAAATACCGGAAGAATGGCATCTTACTTGGTTAGAAATCTGCGAAAGAGTAAAATGCACGTGATTGTACATGCATGAATGTGTGGTTGTGCATTTTTTATTTTTTTTTCACTTCCATGACCAGCTCAAGGTGGAATGCAATCGTCTCGATTGACATCGTTTGGTTGCATTATAAGAAAAGTCCAAAAGAAACGAAAGCAGACGACAAACAACATCAGTCCCTCGACATTTCCTCTTCCTTTCTCGAAGCTAAATGCCAGAAGGCAACGTGGGAAACGCCGTTTCTGTCCGGAAACGCATGGCCACTCAAAGTCTGTCACGCCTTCCCGTAGATTCTACCTCGTCCTGGAAAAGGACGAGAGAAATTATTGACACATTTAGAAGAAGAGAAAGAGAATATTCGTTACTCCAATTAGTTCGGATTGCATCGGGTCCGGATTGAAGGACGGAGAAGAAACTTCGTCACTTCCTTCTGGCCAGACAATTATTTGAGAGACCTTGAATAATGACACCGTGAAAGTTGTTTGAAGTTGTTGTCATAGGCGGCTTGGTTTGATCTCATCATGAAATTGTTCTAAAAGCTGTGAACGGTCAGATGAATCGTCTGTTCATTCGAAGAGATGATCTTCTTCACCGCAAGGTCCATCAATCGCATGAGAAATGGGAGCTTTTCGATAATTTCGCTCTCCCCGAATCATGAACTTCTATGTTAATGCTTTGGTTAGTCAACTAATTAAGCATATTCAGAAAAGCTGCCAGAGATAAGAAAACGTTGTGGTGTTTGAATCAGAAGGTTGACTTGGATCCAGCTGAGAATTTTTCTTTGCTATAGCCCACATTATGGCTTAGTCATCCGTGTGTTTGTATAACACTGAGGAGAAAAATGAACTCCAAGAACAAGTTTCATCGTACACGGATTTTCCACCTCCTTGTTTGGTCGGATGTGAAGGATAACACGTGAGCCACCAATTGTTTTGTCAAGTAACGCGAACAGAAACTTTGACAATTCGGACGGAGAAGCCAAGGACAGCAATTATTGCAAGAATATTTAATGAAGGGGCACATGAGGCTCAACTGCAATGGTCTATATTCAATGTTGCGAAGAACCTGAACGTGATGCACGCTGGGTTTTTAGACAAGCCATCAAGACCAAAATTTCTAGTGAGTAACCAATAAGAGAACTTCTCTACCAGCAATTCACAAGCTTGTGCACTAACAATTTTCACATAAAACCAGCTTTAGCCTATGACTAGTTTGATCTTAAGCACGAAATGCTCTTGTTCAATATTTGATCTTCTACAAGATCTTTACAACGAGCTTTACGTAAATCATACGTAATCTTACTCTCTCTTAAAAAAAACCTAAGATCTTTAGATGCCCTCTTCTTGTTTTTCTTGTAACAGGTACTTATGAAGCTGCTTTACGCTTTGCTTCCTGCAAAGGCACACAAAAGGGATTTACCGAGACTCATCTGTTTGTATCATGCGCAAGGCCATGATTCCCCTAACGATTGGCTTGAATTTCTCGGTCATCTTCAGAACACCAAAGAAGATGAGTCGGTACAGGACCACCATCCCGAACAAAATGGCCAGATTAGTCCACTTGGAGTAACCCATTTCCACTTGCCACATGTCCCTCAATATATCTTCGCTACTAATAGTGCTTTCACCGATTAAGGGATTTCCAGGAAGAGTTAGCCCTTCAAATTCATTCTTGTACAGACCTTGATATGCATATTTATGGAAAGATAGGTAATAGAGGGGATATCTCCATAGGACCTTTGGAAGATCATTCGGCAAGCGAAAGAAACCGCCACCGAGTATCATTAATCCTTGGATTCCTGCACCTGTTATTAGCCCCATGAGGAAATTCAGCATGACACTTGCGACGATCATCATTAAGCTCTCTACCAGCATCATACAGGCAAAAAGAGTCGACGCAAAGTATATGAAGTGCTCGAGGATTCTCTGAAGTCCCACGAGATAGTAAGTGATGGCTCCTGGAATTAGAGAAATGATAAGCAAGAAGGGCACGGATGACAGGGTATTGCCAAGAACAAATGCGCTTGTTCTGTAATGTCCATTTAATCTTTTCCTCTCAAACACCTAGGCAAAGAAAAGGATCAGAAGGGAGGTAAGTCAGACTTGAATCATGAAGTTGTGTAATCTCCAAGAGGATAAATTACTATTTCCCCACCTTCAAATCCTCCACAAAGGAAGGGAAACCCCCGATCGCCAATATCGTCAAGAACGAAGCAACAAACATTAGCATCGAACCTCTGGCCTGAATTAAGCAAATAAATTACATAGTTCAGTCTATTAATATCATTAAACATTACCACCTTTTGATTGAAACTTGGTAAAAAAGACTAAAAACATAAACAACGTTTTGAGTGCAGAGATGGAGCTTACCTGAATCGAACTATCACCGAAGCCGATGTCGGAGAAAACTGTGCCTAAACCAAATCCTAAGGCGATGTATATGACAAGATGCAACCAGTAGTATCCTGGATCCCTATACATATTTATGAAAGACCTTCTTGTAAGGACAGGAAATTGGGTGAAGAAGCAAGCTTGGCCCTCTTTGTCTAGTACATTCCTGTCAACCTTGGACAGTGCCATAACAAACATCAACGTTCACAGATACCAATATCTTCTCTTTTATAGATTTGATAAAAGTGCTCATCATATAACTTACTTGTCGACATATCTCAGATATTTGTAGTTGAATTTGCCTATAGGTATTAGACGATACATAAGAGCTTACAAGCAGTTTAATCACTTCATCTGTGCTTTGCTTTCCTCCAAAACCACGCTCGATGTCCTAGTTACAAAGAAAAATTCTAGCTGTGATCAGGCTGAGCAAGATAGCAATGCTCTTGAATTGAAATTGATTGCTTGGAAAACTTCACCCTCATACCTCGTCAAAATCAGTGTTGATAGTCCTGAGGTAGTGATCAGATGGATTTTGCAGACTTGGACATGGGAAACCATTCAGTGCAAAGAACTACATCGTACAGAATTCAATGTTCATTCATTCGTCAATTGCAAATTCAATGTTCATTCATTCCGTAATCACCTTTACTAGTTACTACAGCAAAAATTGAGGTTATGCACAAACTATAACATACCTGAGTTGCTTCACTGGAAAGACCAAAATAGACTGTTCTTCCGAGAGAGAGAAGGCACAGACTCTTGAAAAGCTCAAACACTTCACTGCTGGGCTGATGAATAGATGCTAACACCGTCATCTCATTTTGCTGAGCAAGACTAACTATTCGTCTCATGACGTAGTATGATGCTGCGCTGTCGAGGCCGCTTGTGGGCTCGTCGAGAAAGAGAAGCTTGGGACGAGGCAAGATCTCCAGGTAGATGCTGACCCTCCTCTTTTGGCCATTGCTGAGGCCTTTGTTTCCCCAACCTCCTATTCTCGTGTCAATGGCATCATGAAGACCTATCTCTTTGATCTTGGTGTCTGCTCTTTGTTTCTTCTCCAAGAGCGGCATCGAGTCTGGGAACTGAAGTTGAGCTGACAAGTATATGGCTTCTCTCACAGTCAGTGTCCATGTTAGGACATCATCCTGAGTCACATAAACCTGCAGGAGGAGATAACAATATTCAACCTGTTTACCTCCTATTAAGTTTGTCTGGATGAGTAGCCCGTGGTTTCACAAAATTCACGTGAAATCAAAACAAAATGAGTCAATTCTGTTCGCTTCTTCTTCTTTTAATTGTGGAAGACAGAGGCAAAGATTAACGTATGATACTCTTTCTCTTTTAAAAGAAAAGAAATTTGTCGTCTCAACAACTATCCCGATTGCTTAAACTATCAATATCATGTCGTATTGATCAAGTATAGAGCCAAGCCAGGCAAGCCAATTGATTTCCTTACTGAAGTCTCATATGCCAGAGGCTCTTTCCTTCCATTAAGAAGAATTTGTCCAGTTCGCTTCGTCTTTCCACTTAGCCTTCCTGCACAGTGCACAGGTCATCTAATTAAGTCATCATGAACATTTTCTTTCTTCGGATTCGGTTGTCTATTCTTTTGTAAATGAAGATAAAGCTACTCTCTCCTTGAAAAATAGTTGTGTAATGATAAAATGAGCAAACACTTTGATGACTCATGCTCAAACTGATCTAACATAACAGCTATTTTTCTTAATATTCATCGCTCGATGAACAATAACGAAAAATGAAAACTGCTATGAGAATGCATGATGTGTCACCTGCCAATGCATCCAGAAGAGTGGACTTGCCACAGCCGGACGGCCCCGTGACGGCCAAGACCTCACCGGGCCGGGCATAGCCTGTCAGCCCTTGAAGAATGGATATGCACCCGTGTTGCTTATCTGAGACCGTCACCCACAGATTTTCCCACGTTAGTGAAACTGTTCCTCCCTTCAGCCCGGTGATCATTTGTCCCGACCCATTCGAAGCAAGATCCGCCTCGCCTTCTTCTGGATCCAACGACGATCTGCCGAACTCATCTCCCAGGGAAGCTGCACAACTCTCTGCCTTCATCTGCGAGCCAGGTGATGATGAAGCCATGGAAGAGTTCAAATTGCCTTTTGTAGAATATATCGACTGGCGTGATTTAAAATGCGGGTTCACGGACATACATGAAGCAATAAAATATTTGAAAGCAGGACAGGCATCTGAGTTCTTTTTTTGTATGTTTGCTCCTCCTAGCCGCTTAGCTGAGTCTAGACGTTCATGTGAAGATTGAGGCGAATGGGAATATGGGACAAAAAGGTTCTGTAAAAGTTTGACCATTGATGTATCCGACTGATTGATACAGGAAAAATTCCAATGCCTGAACTGTCACAGCGATAACACGGATCCCGGAATCCATGCTGGCCATTCTTGGTTGTGGTTATCCAGGAATCAGGATATAGTACAATGTATTACACATCCTTTAGATATGATATAAGTAAATTGCCATTTATATCTATTTTTTTAATGCTAATTAATACCACCAAAATCTTAAATCGGTACACTTGCAACAAATTCACTCTTCATTAGTTTTAGTTAAATTTTACTATCAAATTGTTAAGTTGGATAACTCGTGACAGTTGATGAGTATACCAGTTTGGGGTTTTACTCTCCAATTGTCATATGTGCACCGGTTTGTGATTTTTCGTGGTATTAATCAAATTTAACAGAAACTAACGAATGGTAAATTTGTCATAAGTATACCGGCTTAGGGTTTTTTGTGATCAAAAAATTAGTTTGGGATAAATCTGTCACAGATATACCAGTTTGAAGTTTCGGTAGTCAAGAAATTAGTTTAAACTAAATTTGTCATATGAGTATCAGTATCTGATTTTTTGTGGTATTAACCTTTATAGTTTTGTTGTGTCTAGGAATTTCAACAGGTGGAAGTTGCAAGTATTAGGGGTGCAAATAGCTGGAGCAAGCCGGGCTCTCATTGAAAAATAAGCTTGGCCCATATTTCGAGCCTAGAGGTTTTGGACCAGACTGACAGGCCCGAACGGAAGCATGGATTTTGGGCACAGACCGAATTGGATTGGGCCAGTTCGCTTTGATCCGGGCGAGCAAAATGCTCAAATTAATTTGCATCTTATAATCACTTCCGTAGAGTAACTCCGCCAAACCATAATGTCTTCATCATCTTCCCCTCCTTACCAGACAAAAATCGGCCCTGTTCGGTTTTTCGAGCTCTCAATCTACATTTTTTTTTGCTCCCACAGCAAATATACAAAGCCATTGTTCTAGTGAAATTCTCGCCTATATTCATTTCATGGCGGATTCAATTCTCTTAGCCAATCAATGTATGGACCTTACATGAGACCTACCACGTCTTGAATTATGTTACTCTATCTATCCCTTAATCATGACAAGATTTTTTCCCTTACAAGACCTAATACTCGAGAGGGGATAGCTCGATGCACTAACAAGAGCTTGCATGACTCGAACTACGGAATATATCGAGGAAACGAGCGTACCTTTCACTAGAAAACCACCCCTGGGGCCAATTGTTTGGCACTTGCTGAGAACACTTTGCTCAATTGCTCCCGTAATAGCATAATGAATGCTCTTTTAAGAATTCTAATGATTGATAGAACGTGAGAGGCACATGTCTTGATTGTTTTAGAGGCGACAACCACACTAATCACTCAGAAATCTGATCATTGCGAACATGCCCAAAAAGGCAAAATAGGTAGTAACATAAAGGTACCCCATGCTTAGGTTCGCTGCGCGCTCCTTGGCTTACCCCAGCCCCGGTTGTTTTCATATACATAGATTTATGCTCATAAAATCGCAGTAGGGAGTCTGGGCAAGAAATCTTTAGGTGCGGCACCAAGTCCGGCCCAGTCCATTGATCACGTCTAGTAACTCGTAGCTGGGGACCATCACTCCTTTTAACTTTTTGGAGCATGAATATGCAAAGTAGAGTCATATGACCACCTAGGGGGTGTTTGGTTGGGCTTTGCCAAGGAGCTTTGAGCCTCCAAAGCCCTTTGGGGGAATTATTTTGTGTTTGGCAAATCATTTTTGGAGTTCTTTGGCCAAATCTTTGGCCTTCTCAAATTTGAAAGCCCAAGGTGGTCCGGATCGGCCTGGCTTTCAGAATTCCACGAATGCTTTTGTTCACATTTTTTTTTTTTTTTTTTTTGGGTTGAATCTGTTTTTCACCAGGCAGCCGGCGAGGGCGGCCGGCGAGAGTGGCCGGCGAGGGAGAGCGGCCGACGAGGTCGCCTGGGGTCGGGCGACCGCCCGGCGACGCCGATCCCAGGCGGCGGCCGCACTGGGTCGCGCGGCCCCGGGCGACGGTGCAGGTGGGTCGCGCGACCTCGGCGGCGGCCCAGCTGGGTCGCGCGACCTCGGGCGACGGCCGCTCGGGTCGAGGCGACCTCAGGGCGGCCGCTGGGCACGGGTCGCGCGACCCGGGCGGCGTCGCTGGGCTCGAGGTCGCGCGACCCGGGCGACGGCCGCCTGGGCCGAGGTCGCGCGACCCGAGGCGACGGCGCCTGGGCCGAGGTCGCGCGACCCGGGCGACGGCCGCGCTGGGGTCGCGCGACCCGGGCGACGGCCGCCTGAGGTCGCGCGACGACCAGCGGCCGTCGCCTGGGTCGTGTGACCCCGCCGAGGGTCACCTGGCCTCGGGCGATCGCCGGCGGTAGCCGAGGTCGGGCGGCCGCCGGCGAGCAGATCTGCCGCCGCCGGCGGCCATAGGCCCTCGCCGGCGGCCGGCTCCGGCGACAAGTAGGTTTTTTTTTTAATAAATAAAATAATTCTCAAAGTCCATTTGCAAAAAAAAAATTCACCAAACACTATATTTTGGCCAAAGTAGTTTTACAAAATATTTTTACCAAACACCATTTACATTTGCTCAATGGGCTTTCACTCAAAGGTATTTGCATTCCTCCAAGTAGCATTTTCAAAGTTGAACCAAACAGGCCCCTAACCCCCAGTCATAAGGCATATCTCCTTCAGAGGCCTTGGCCAAATTCTAACGTATGGATTGGATATTGGGCCCAATGGGCCGCCGGTCGAAACCGGACTTCAAAGTCGGTTCTCATGTTATTCACGAACCGGCATTTATATAGCATCATCTCCGCCGATTAGCAATTTCATTTTACGCCCCTTCTCTCTCTCTCTCTCATCACGGGCAGTGAGGGTTTCTCATCTCACACCCAATCGCTAGCAGGTTAGTTCCCCCAACCTCTCTCTCTAAATCGCTGTCGTTCTAGCTTTCTCAGATTGATAGATTTTCGTCGATTTAGCTTTCAATTGCTGGGACAAGCGACTCAACTTGCACCCGCCCTTCGATTCTAGGGTTTTTCTCAGAGGACGATCGAACCCGTATCAACCATGGCGACGCTGGATCCCGAGATCGCGAGGGTCCAAGAAGAGAGGAAGAAGATGGAGCAGCAGTTGGCCTCCCTCAACTCCGTCACCTACGACACCGACCTCTACGGCGGCACGGACCGCGACGCCTACGTCAGCTCCATCCCCGTCAACGAGGAGGAGGAGAACCTCGAGGGGATGGACTCCGAGGTCGCTCGGAAGCTCGCGTCCTACACCGCCCCGAAGTCGCTCCTGAAGGAGATGCCCCGCGGTGGCGAGGAGGACGACGACGCTGGGTTGGGATTCAAGAAGCCGCAGAGGATCATCGACCGCGAGGACGATTATCGCAGGAGGAGGCTGAACCGGGTCATTTCGCCTGATCGGCACGATGCGTTCGCCGCGGGGGATAAGACTCCGGATGTGTCCGTGAGGACTTATGCGGACGTGATGCGAGAAGAGGCGCTGAAGAGGGAAAAGGAGGAGACGCTAAGGGCTATTGCCAAGAAGAAGAAGGAAGAAGAGGAAGCTGCAAAGGCCGGGGGCGCGCCAAAGGAGACAGAAGCTGCTCCGGCACAGAAGCGAAGGAACAGGTGGGACCAATCACAGGACGATGGTGGTGCTGCTGCTGCAAAGAAGGCAAAATCTGGTTCTGACTGGGATTTGCCCGATTCAACACCTGGAATTGGGCGTTGGGATGCGACTCCTACACCTGGAAGAGTGGGCGATGCCACGCCTTCAGTGGGTCGGAGAAACCGTTGGGACGAGACCCCTACGCCGGGACGGCTGGCAGATTCAGATGCAACTCCCGGTGCTGTGACTCCCGGAGCGACTCCAGCTGGTATGACTTGGGATGCCACCCCCAAGCTGGCTGGTATGGCCACACCAACCCCGAAAAGGCAGAGATCAAGATGGGACGAGACTCCGGCCACCATGGGGAGTGCTACACCAGTGGCGGGTGCTACACCTGCAGCTGCTTTCACACCAGGGGTAACTCCTGTTGGAGGTGTGGATCTTGCTACGCCTACTCCTGGGGCAATTAACTTGCGGGGCCCAATTACACCTGAGCAGTATAATTTGATGAGGTGGGAGAAGGATATTGAGGAGAGGAACAGGCCGTTGACGGATGAGGAGCTTGATGCTATGTTCCCTCAGGAAGGGTATAAGGTTTTGGAGCCACCAGCATCTTATGTGCCTATTAGAACGCCAGCGAGGAAGCTCTTGGCAACCCCTACGCCATTGGGCACTCCGCTCTATCAAATTCCAGAAGAGAATCGTGGGCAGCAGTTCGATGTTCCTAAGGAGGCGCCCGGTGGTCTACCCTTCATGAAGCCAGAGGATTATCAGCATTTTGGGGCACTGTTGAATGAGGAGAACGAAGAGGAGCTGTCTCCTGAAGAGCAGAAAGAGCGTAAGATCTTGAAACTTCTGCTGAAGGTAAAGAATGGTACTCCACCACAGAGGAAGACTGCACTTAGACAGCTTACAGACAAGGCCCGAGAGTTTGGTGCTGGGCCTTTGTTTAACCGTATTCTGCCTTTGCTCATGCAAGCCACTTTGGAGGATCAGGAAAGGCATCTCTTGGTTAAGGTGATTGATAGGGTACTTTACAAATTGGATGAATTGGTACGTCCTTACGTGCATAAGATTCTTGTTGTTATTGAACCTCTGTTGATTGATGAAGATTACTATGCACGTGTCGAGGGGAGAGAGATCATTTCTAATTTGAGCAAGGCAGCTGGCTTGGCTACAATGATTGCTGCTATGCGTCCAGATATTGATAATATTGATGAGTATGTGAGAAATACAACTGCTAGAGCTTTCAGTGTTGTTGCTTCTGCTCTTGGAATTCCTGCTCTGTTGCCATTCTTGAAAGCTGTGTGTCAGAGCAAGAAATCCTGGCAAGCTCGGCACACTGGAATCAAGATCGTTCAGCAGATTGCTATTTTGATAGGTTGCGCTGTTCTACCACATTTGAAGTCTCTTGTCGAAATTATAGAACATGGCCTGAATGATGAGAACCAGAAGGTGAGAACTATTACTGCGCTGTCTCTGGCTGCTCTTGCTGAGGCTGCTGCGCCTTATGGTATTGAAAGCTTCGATTCAGTGTTGAAGCCACTTTGGAAGGGTATTAGGTCACACAGGGGAAAGGTCTTGGCTGCATTCTTGAAAGCTATTGGGTTTATTATTCCTCTAATGGATGCTCTGTATGCTAGTTACTATACTAAAGAAGTCATGGTCATTCTTATCCGTGAGTTCCAGTCTCCGGATGAAGAAATGAAGAAGATAGTGCTTAAAGTGGTTAAACAGTGTGTGAGTACCGAGGGTGTTGAGGCTGAATACATACGAAGTGACATTCTTCCAGAGTTCTTCAGGAATTTCTGGGTTAGAAGGATGGCTTTGGATAGGAGAAACTATAAGCAGCTTGTGGAAACTACTGTGGAGATAGCTAATAAAGTCGGCGTTGCTGACATAGTCGGGAGAATTGTTGAGGATCTGAAGGATGAGAGTGAGCCGTATCGGCGAATGGTCATGGAAACGATAGAGAAGGTGGTTGCAAACCTGGGTGCCTCTGATATTGATTCTCGGCTGGAAGAGCTCCTCATTGATGGTATCCTTTACGCCTTCCAAGAGCAGACTAGTGATGATGCCAATGTAATGCTTAATGGCTTTGGTGCTGTGGTGAATGCTCTTGGGCAAAGAGTGAAGCCATATCTTCCACAGATTTGTGGTACGATAAAGTGGCGATTAAACAACAAGAGCGCAAAGGTGAGACAACAAGCTGCAGATCTTATTTCCAGGATTGCTGTTGTCATGAAGCAGTGTCAGGAGGAACAACTGATGGGTCATCTTGGTGTTGTTCTGTACGAATACTTGGGAGAAGAATACCCTGAAGTTTTGGGCTCCATATTGGGTGCTTTGAAAGCTATTGTCAATGTGATTGGTATGACGAAAATGACACCTCCCATAAAAGATCTGCTTCCCAGGCTGACGCCCATTCTGAAGAACAGACATGAGAAGGTCCAGGAGAACTGTATTGACCTTGTTGGTCGTATTGCTGATCGTGGGGCAGAATTTGTTCCAGCAAGGGAGTGGATGAGGATATGCTTTGAGCTTCTTGATATGCTTAAAGCCCACAAGAAGGGTATTCGGCGAGCTACGGTGAACACTTTTGGTTATATTGCTAAAGCCATTGGACCTCAAGATGTCCTTGCAACCCTTTTGAACAATCTCAAAGTTCAGGAGCGTCAGAACCGTGTATGCACAACCGTTGCAATTGCTATAGTTGCAGAGACATGTTCTCCTTTCACAGTTCTGCCGGCTTTGATGAATGAGTATCGCGTGCCTGAGCTCAACGTGCAGAACGGTGTTCTCAAATCCCTTTCCTTTCTGTTTGAGTACATTGGTGAAATGGGGAAGGACTACATATATGCAGTGACTCCACTACTTGAAGATGCACTCATGGATAGAGATTTGGTGCACAGGCAGACTGCCGCTTCTGCCGTAAAGCATATGGCTTTGGGAGTTGCTGGGTTGGGTTGTGAGGATGCACTTGTCCACTTGCTCAACTATGTCTGGCCAAACATATTCGAGACTTCCCCTCATGTCATAAATGCCGTTATGGAAGCCATTGAAGGCATGAGGGTGGCCCTGGGTCCTGCTGTTGTGCTAAACTACTGCCTCCAGGGGCTGTTCCATCCTGCAAGGAAGGTCAGGGAAGTATACTGGAAGATCTACAACTCGCTATATATTGGATCTCAGGATGCTCTTGTTGCGGCTTATCCTGTGCTGGACGATGAGCAGAGCAACGTATATAGCCGGCCAGAGTTAACGATGTTCATCTGAGTTAACGCCAGAAACTATGAGATTTTGATGATGATGAACGGCTGGACCATCGGCTTTGGTTGGTGTCTCTTGGACTAGTATAGAGTATGCATTAGATAGAACTGGATCATTTCCTGTAATTCTCGGTCAATGTGTCCCGTAATGGGGAGCTGATTCGATAATCGTTATGAAACGGGCGTGGCCTTGTGTCGTGCACTATTTGTTGCTATCTTGTGAAACCTGATGTTAGTGGCTACTGGCTACTGCTTATGATGCCCTCTCATTGCTACTTTTTTGAGTTTCTTATGGAACATAGTAGTAGGAAGTCACTAAAGTTTGGATTATGTCTATTTATATGTCCAGATTCCACCTTTTTCCGTCGATCTTGATTATAATCAACTGCAAGCAGATGCATTGAGCATTTGATCATATTTGCGAACTTTCCGGTTATTTGAAGCCCAAGGCTCATGTTCGGAAACATTCTAATGACTTATTACTGGTTTTACTTTTCCTATACAGCGTGATAGATTGTAGTGGGAAATGTCGGCTGGATGGCAGCGATGGATGAATGGTCTGAAGTAGGAACCGGGAGTTCTATGCCCCACCAGATTGATTGTTCAAAAACAGACCTGAGCAAGCATGCCCCGACCAGGCTTAGGTTGTTCTGAAAGAATCTGTCTGTCAAGGCCTGCCCAGCATGCCAAAGGCGGGGCCGCTATTACCTCTGAAGCCGGGCGCGGATAAGGTTGAGATATCTTTCTTTGGGCGAACTTGCAAACTGAAAAATATTGAAAACTTAATGTAGAAGTTTTTTTTTTGGTCGAATTGATGTAGAAGTTGGGCAGTATAAAAAGCAGTGGAGATGGGCGCCTTGATCTCTGTGGACAGTAATTTCCCAAGATATATCGGAGCCAGACCATCTAAGAGTTCTTAATCTTTCCCGCCATCATCTCAATGGTTTTCTTCCTCCCGAAGTCTTTCAAACACAAAAATTGGAGGTCCTTGATTCAAGCTTGAATTATTTCTCGGGTTCACACCCCCTTAACATCCATCCACCCCGATCAAGATTCTTGACGACTTGAACAACTAGTTGGTTGGTCCTTTCGTGTTGACTATGCGCGATGCATGACCCCATCCAGAGCCTCTTTATATTGCCAATATCCCCCTGTATAGAGACGTTCCAGGTAACTTGGATACTTCACGTCATTGCAACGACCCTAATTTAGTGGAATGATCTTTCAGGGAGCTTGTTCCAGCTCCAGCATCTGCAAAGCTTGCACCTTCAGTTTTAATACCTTTTCTAGGCCTCTGGATGGAGCAATTGGTAAGCTCTTTAACATTGTGGAGATAGATATTTCATATAATTCATCTTCCGGAGAACTCTCGGATGTCTTTGAGGGCCTCATGAATCTCAAGCGTTTGTTGGCCATTTCAAACGGGTTCTCTGGTCATATGCTTACCTCGCTAACATGCTCTCCATCACTTTTCATGCTCGATTTGGGCAACAACAATTTGGGAGGAAGAATAAACATTGATCGTTCTGCAATGCACAATTTCGCTTTTCTCAATCTAGCTTCCAACTTTGTCCAAGGTCCGATTCTGGAGAATTTGTCCAACTGCCATAGATTGAATGTTCCCAATTTGGCCCGAAATATTATCCTGCTTTCAGAAACTTCACGAACTAAGAACACTGATATTCCCAAATAAAGGCCTTCACAACCTATCTGCAACGCTTCGGAATATATAACATTGCAAAAAGTTGTCTTTAGGTCTTTGCCAATTGTCTTCTGGTCTTTGCCAATACATTCTGATATGAGAACTGCCCGAATCTATCAATCCAAAGCTGACAAGGGTTTTAGTTGCTTCTAGTAGTCAATTAAGAGGCTCCATACCCGCTTGGTTAAGAGGATGCCGAAAATTTGGAATTGCTCGACCTTTCTTGGAGTCGGTTAAGTGGGACTATTTTAACTGTAAAGCTGATTTCCAGTTTGCCTTTTATCTGGATTTGTCAAGTAATTCGTTCAATGGGATATGCCAAAAGGCTTCACTGATCTACCAAATTAGAGAGACCACATCTCTCTTCAAGAGACCACCTCTGAACCGTTCCACTCTTTACAAGACACTAAGCCGGAAATTCCTTGAAGTACAAACATATATCAGATTTCCCATCGATGTTCAATTTGAGTTACAACAAGCTGACTGGACGACTTGGCCAAGCTTTTGCGGTTTTAAAAGCCTTCAAGTATTGAACTTGGCATGCATTAACATGTCGGGCACTGTTCCAGACAGTACATCAGCGATGGAAAGTCTGGACAAACTGAACTTGTCTCGTAACAGTTTGTCAGGTTATATATCTTGTTCCTTGACTTGGTTGAACTTCGTATCGAGTTTTGACTTCTCTTACTTTGGACAGGAAAAGTGCCAAAAAAAGTCCTAAACATTTTACATTGATGCCAATTTAATCCTAAACCTTTTTTAGTATCAATTTAGTCATAAACCTTTTGCATTGGTGCCAGTTTATTCCTAAACTTTTTTTTTGTGTCAATTCAGTCCTAAACCTTTTGCATTGGTGCTAATTCAGTCCTAAACCTTTTGTCTTTGTGCCAATTCAGTCCTTTCGGCCAATTTTGGCAGGATTTTGCTGACGTGAACGCTGATCGGCCAGCAGCCGGTTACTAGCGCTGACGTGGACAACTTCAATAATATTTTAATATTTTTTGAATTTTTTTTTGCCCCCTAAGATCTCTCCTTCCTCTAGCCGATCGCATAACCGGCGATCGGCTAGAGGCCGGCACCGGCGAGGCTCACCCACGCCGGCCACTGGAGAGGGTGACCTCGCGATGGGCGAGGCCCGACCTCGCCAGATCCAGCGAGGTCGTGCCTCGCCCACCAACCGGTGAGGCTCGACCTCGCCAGATCCCGCGAGGTTGGGCCTCGCCTAGCCATGGCGAGGCTCGAGCCCTCATCGGAGGCCGCTGGCGAGGGCTCGAGCCTCGCCATGGATGGGCGAGGCTCGACCTCGCTAGATCTAGCGAGGTCTAGCCTCGCTGGCGGCTAGCACGACCTCGCCAGATCTGGCCATAGCGAGGTTCGCCTTCACCATCGCTGGCAAGGGCGAGCCTCGCCTAGCCGCCGGCGAGGCTTGACCTCACCAGATCCGGTGAGGTCGAGTCTCGCCAGTGGCCGGCGAGGTCGACCTCACCAATGGTCAGTGAGGGCGAGTCTCGCCGGCGCTGGCCTCTGGCCTCGGGCCGGTCCGGCGACCGGCTAGAGGAAGGAGAGAGGAGAGGGGAAAAAAAAAGAAACGAAAAGAATAAATAAAAATTCAAAAAAGTATTAAAATATTAATAAAATTATCCACGTCAAAAAATGACCGGCCAATCGGCGTCCACGTTAGCAAAATCCAGCCAAAATTGGCCGAAAGGACTGAATTGGCACAAATACAAAAGGTTTAGGATTGCATTGGCACAAATGCAAAAGGTTTAGGACTGAATTAGCACCAAAAAAAGGTTTAGGACTAAATTGGCATCAATGCAAAAGGTTTAGGACTTTTTTGGCACTTTTCCCAACTTTGGAAGGTCAGTTTTCTACTTTTCCAAATTTGAGCTTTGAAGGAAACATCGGTCTCTGCATCAAACCACACCATGGCTCAAGCCAATCAGAACTTCCAACTGTTGAGTCTTCAAACTCGACCGGTGAATTGGCCTTGTAGTTGTCATGCACAATGCCATCTCGTTAAAACTTGACGATAATGGGTAGAGGTGGTGATTCCCTATGGTTTCTTTTTTGTTTAAGTTACAAATGTTGTTCTTATGGAACATGGTAGTATCAACCCATTATGTTTGGGATTTTGTATATTTATATGGCCAGATTCTATCGTCCTGGGATCTTAATTATGATCGAGTAGTTGCCATATGTTTGTGATCATATTTCCAAACTTTATTCTAAGCACTAAAATGGGTATTCTCTGCTGATGCAAGTAACAAGATGGTTCTACTTCAGGAGTCGAAAGCCAAGGCAAAAGATTTGCATTTTGGATGCGCCGTTTAGCTAAAGAGCGTGAATACACAAATACACAACAAAAAAAAGAAGAAAAGAGAAAGACAGCAGAAGAAGAAGATATGATCATACGAGAGAGATTAAAAAGTCGGTAACGAGGACATAAAAGTCGTTGGTTGCAGGTAAATGGGCTCTCCTTTCTTTGATTTTTGGTTTCCTATCGGGATGTGATGGTCATTGTTGCAAGGAAAATGATCTGCTTTGTCTTTTGATGACTTTTGTTCTGAAAGATCATTATTACCAAGTCTATCTCCGTCATCAATTTTTTGGATTCGAAATCAAAGGCATTGAGTCAAAGTTTCTATCCGGTTACCCCTGAGCAACCCAATCTGCTACAATGCTCTAGTTCCTACGTCACTCTTTGAATCTAATCTTCAGCCCATTTTTTCCGCTCCAATTTGTTTGGTCGGCTTTACGATGTATGCATAGCTGGCTTCATTGTTGTTATTTCTCCTTCTTATTTTTATCGTTTTGAGAAGTACAAGTCAACTGGAAGTGTTAAAATCATGACTAAAAGTATCTTTTATCATGGCCTGAGCTTTCGTTCTTCCTCTTCTATCCAAGCTTAGTCTCTTGCCTGCAATGGGATTATCAACTTTCTATTTGTCATTCATCTTTGTAGCACTTATTGTTGCGGAAACAAGCTATCGAAAAGTAAAATAAACAGAACAAGGAAATAAATTGAACACCGAATTTACGTGATTCGATCGATGTGATCTACGTCAGCAGGGAAAGCAGTAAAGAATTTTTACTATAGATCAAGTGATACAACGGTGATTACAACCACACTCGAGTTACTCAAATACTCTCAGGTTACGTTTGGTCGTTCGGATTTCTAATCAATATAGGACTGGATAGGATAGGATAATAAGTCATGGGATTTTGTAATATACTATCTACTATTTGGTGAATTTCGAATTTAAAGTCGGATATTTTTATATTTTATATTATCCATTGTTTGGTAGAAACCGGATACCAATAGAAAGGACATATATGCTCCTACATAGTGTCCATGAAATAATATCAATCTCATCATCATAAAAATATCTTTGCGTGACCTAAAATGACAAAAATTGCTGTCACAAATTCACAAGGTTTGCTACTCTAATGCACATGCTGACTAACATTACTAGCCATAATTGATCATAGCAGAAAATATGTGATGCTTTGTGAACTCAATGGAGAACAAAGGGGGCAGAAGGCGGATTCTGGAAGCCTAGAGGAGAACTCGTGATATAGTTGGTGATGCTTCCGTCAATGGTCGAGTAGCAACTCATGAATTCTATGAAGA